GGGAAGAGGAGAGAGAGGAGAGAGGGGGAAGAGGAGAGACAAACCTGTGGCAGAGATACAAGAAAGACACAAACTTAAACAACAAACTCTGAATCTAAGATTTAGATTTATGGACTGAAATGATCTGACACACGAACCAGGACTAAAACAGAACTAAACCAGAACTGAACCAGGACTAAACTAGAACTGAACCAGGACTAAAACAGGACTAAACCAGAACTGAACCAGGACTAAACTAGAACTGAACCAGGACTGAACCAGTCTTCTATTCCTTGTCTAATGGAAGACAAACGGCACACACAAACACACATCTGGATCGGAGCATTAGATTTACTCTGATTGATAGAAATTATTTGACACATTTGATTTTTAATTTTAAGCAAAATAATCTGTCCAGACACAAATTTACAAAAATAAAAGCTACATCAAAATTGTTAATTAATAATTGTTCTGTGTCATTCTTTGGGATTTTCATGAGAAATGTTCAAAAGTCAAATCCACAGATGTTTTTTTTTTTGTGTTTCTCCAACCACAACACAACGTCTGGGAGGGCATCTGACACAACACAGCGTCTGGGAGGGCATCTGACACAACACAGCGTCTGGGAGGGCATCTGACACAACACAGCGTCTGGGAGGGCATCTGACACAACACAGCGTCTGGGAGGGCATCTGACACAACACAGCGTCTGGGAGGGCATCTGACACAACACAGCGTCTGGGAGGGCATCTGACACAACACAGCGTCTACAGATTGACTAGAGACATGTGACCTGCTCCATCTGACACACAGGGACACAGGAGGACGGGAGGGCATCTGGGTTAAATCGTGATGCTTGGGACAAGTGGAGACAGTGCAGTGTCCTTATTTTGACCTCGCTCTGAGTCGACTGCGTCACTGCAAGAAACAGGTCAGAGATGAAAAGAGGGAGAAGAGGAGAGAGAAGAGGAGGGAGAAGAGGAGGGAGAAGAGGAGGGAGAAGAGGAGGGAGAAGAGGAGAGGAGGGAGAAGAGGAGAGAAGAGGGAGAGAGGAGAGAAGAGAGGGAGAGAGAGAGAGAGAGAGAGGAGAAGAGAGAGAGAGAGAGGAGAGAGAGAGAGAGAGAGAGAAGAGGAGAGAGAGAGAGGAGAGGAGAGAGAGGAGAAGAGGAGAGAGGGAGGAGGAGAAGAGGAGGAGGAGAAGAGGAGAGGAGGAGAAGAGGAGGGAGAAGAGGAGGGAGAGGAGAAGAGAAGAGGAGAAGAGGAGGGAGAAGAGGAGAGGAGGGAGAAGAGGAGGGAGGAGGAGAGAAGAGGAGAGAGAAGAGAAGGAGAGAAGAGGAGAAAGAAGAGGAGAAGAGAGAAGAGGAGGGAGAAGAGGAGAAGAGAGGAGGAGAAAGAAGAGGAGAAGGGAGAGAAGAGGAGAAGAGAAGAGGAGAGAGAAGAGGAGGGAGAAGAGGAGAGAGAAGAGGAGGGAGAAGAGAAGAGGAGGGACAAGAAGAGAAGAGAAGAGAAGAGAAGAGAAGAGGAGGGAGAAGAGGAGAAGAAAAGAGGAGGGAGAAGAGAAGAGGAGGGACAAGAAGAGAAGAGAAGAGGAGGGAGAAGAGGAGAAGAGAAGAGGAGGGAGAAGAGGAGAGAGAAGAGGAGAAGAGGAGAGGAGGAGAAGAGAAGAGAGAGAGAGAAAGGAGAGAGAGGAGAAGAGAGAGGAGGAGAAGAGGAGGGAAGAGAGAGAGAGGAGAAAGAGAGAGAGAGAGAGAAGAGGAGAAGAAGAGAGGAGAAGAGAAGAGGAGAGAAGAGGAGAAGAGGAGAGAGAAGAGGAGAAGAGAAGAGGAGGGAGAAGAGGAGAAGAGAAGAGGAGGGAAGAGAGGAGGGAGAAGAGAAGAGGAGGGAGAAGAGGAGAAGAGAAGAGGAGGGAGAAGAGGAGAGAGAAGAGAAGAAGAGCGAGAGAAATGAAGGAGGAGTGAGGGTAAGAGAAACACGAGTTAAAGAATGAAGAGAGAAGAAAGGGGGGAAAAGAGAGGGAGAGTAGTGAAAAAAAGAGTAAGAGTGGGGAGCGACATGAGAGAGAGAGAGAGAGAGAGAGAGAGAGAGAGAGAGAGAGAGAGAGAGAGAGAGAGAGAGAGAGAGAGAGAGAGAGAGATATGAGGGGAAATCCATAAAACAAGATCAAATGTAAAGAAAAGACAGAAGACTGAGAGTTGGGTTAGTCCAGGTTTAGTTCCATTTAAGTCGAAATATAAACTTGTTTTGTTTGCTCCCGTTTTAGTCCCGGTTCAGTATTGGTCCAGTCCCGGTTCAGTATTGATCTAGTCTCGGTCTAATCTTGATTTAGTCCCGGTCCAGTCCCGGTCCAGTGTAAATACAGTATAAGCAGCAGTTTGTCTGAGCTCATGTTGCCCTCTGCTGGAGAATATGAGAATGAACAAGACCATAGAGTCCTGGTTTAGTCCTGGTTTAGTCCTGGTTTAGTCCTGGTTTAGTCCTGGTTTGGTCCTGGTTTGGTCCTGGTTTAGTCCCTGGTTTAGTCCCTGGTTTAGTCGTTGGTTTAGTCGTTGGTATACAGGTACATCCAAAAAAAGAAAAATCATGGAAAACTGCAATATTTTTGTCCCTCATTTCAGAAAGTTTAATTCATATATCACATAGACACAGAGAGAAGTTTTCAGGCCTTTATTTTGATGATTATGTTTTTCAGATAATGAAACTCCAAATTCAGCGTCTCAGAAAAGTAGAATATTACCTATGATCAATAAAAGGGATATTTATAACAGACATTTCGGGCTTCTGAAATATTCATTTCTATGCACTCAGTACTTGGTTGGGCTTTTGGCATGAATAAGTGCATCAGTGCGCTGTGGCATGAAGGAGATCCTCCTGTGGCACTGCTCAGGTGAATGGAAGCACAGGTTGCATTGATAGTGGCCTTCAGGACATTTGCATTGTGGGTCTGGTGTTTCTCATCTTCTGTGTGGGGTTCAGGTCAGGAGAGTTTGCAGGACAATCAGGCAGAGTAACATTTTGTACCTTTGGCTGTGTGGGCAGGTACCAGGCCCTGATGGAAAACAAAATCAGCTTCTCCATAAAGCCTGTGAGCAGATGGAAGCATGAAGTGCTCTAAAATGGTACATGGATGTGTTGACTGTGGACTTCAGAAAACACAGTGGACCAACACGAGCAGATGACATGGCAGTCCAAATCACTCTGACTGTCAAAACTTCACACTGGACTTCAAACAATGTGGATTCTGTGCTTGTCTTTTTTTCCTCCAGACTCTGGGACCTTGATTTCCAAAAGACAGAGACAAGGTCAAAATAGTTGGTTCCCCTCTGGCAAAATCAACAATCATCACTGAAATAACTTGAAACTGATAAAAGCAATAAAAAAATTTAATTTACTGAAAATTGTCCAACAAAAATCAAACTAGGAAGAGTAAGGACAGTGTTCTTTTCTTGGTCTGCTTCATTTTTGCGTCTGTGAACATAGAGCTGATGTGTCTTGCCAAAGAGCTTCAGTTTTGTATCATCTGTCCAAAGAACATTCTCCCAGAAGTTTTGTGACTTGTCAGTCTGCATTGTGGCAAATTCCAGTTTAACTTTTTTATGATTTTCTCTCAGTAGTGGTGTCCTCACATGAAGTCCACTTTGGCTCAAACAGTGATGGATGGTGTGATCTGACACTGATGTACTTTGCCCTTCAAGTTCACATTTAGTTTCTCTGGAGGTTCTTCTGGGCTCTTTGGTTCCATTCGTATGATCCATCTCTTCATTTTGTCATCAGTTTTCCTCTTGCAGCTGCGTCCAGGGAGGTTGGCTTCAGTCCTGTGGACTGTAAACTTCTAAAGAACATGTGTAACTGTAATCACAGGAACATCAAGCTGCTTGGAGATGGTTTTATTGTCTTTATCTTTAACCTGCTTGTCTATCATTTTCTTTCTAGTCTCCTGACACAGTTCTCTTCTTCTCTTTCTCTGGTCCATGTTCAGTGTTGTGTCCATCATGTCTCCAAACAGCACAATGACACATGTCTCCCTTTAAACAGACAGACTGACTCAGGACAAGTTTGAAGAACCTGTGACGCAGATTAGAGACACACTGAAGTTTAACATGTTCCTATTGTCCAACTGTTTACAATCTTTTCTAGGGGAACCATCAATTTTGTCCAGGTCAGTTTCATTATTATTTTTTTTTTTATATAATTCTGTTGAAGAACAATTCAAAAACAGTGTCTGATTTTCATTGGTTTATTTTTCAGGATTTTTAAAAATTATTGCTTTTCTCAGTTTCAAGTTAAAGTGAAATTGTTGATTTTTCTTTCATTAGAAGAGGGGCACCAGCAATTTTGAACACATCTGTATATAAAATGTACTTTCATCTGCAAAGAGACTTTGGACCATTGAGCAACAGTCCAGGTGTTTTTCTCCACAGTCCAGGTCAGACTCTTTTGACATGTCTCTTGTCCCACAGAGGCTTCATCTGTGTGGAGAGGCTCTTGATGCACTGACTCTAGACTCAGCCCACTCTTTATGAAACTCCCCCAAATTCTTGAGTGGATTTTGAGGGAAGGCTGCGCTCATCCCTTTGGCTGGTGCAACTTTTCTTACCACATTTTTCCTTCCAGTTACGTTTTTATGAATCTTCTTGGATACAGCACTCTGTGAACAACCAGCTTCTTTAGCAATGACTTTTTGTGGCTTTCTCCTTGTGGAGGGACAGTAACTGTCTTCTGGACATTTGTCCACTCAGAAGACTTCCCCATGACTGTGTAACCCACTGACCCACACTCAGAGACCATTTAAAGTTTGAGCTAATTAAGATGTGACACTCTAATTTTCCAATACTGAACTTTATCATATTCAAATTTTCTGAGACACCGAATTTTGGGTTTTCATTATCTGTAAACCAAAATCATCAAAATGTCAAGAAACAAAGGCTTGAAAACTTCACTGAGTCATGAGTCGATGTAATATATGAGACAGGTGCAGTGGCAGGTGAAGTGTCTGGTGCGGTCCTGAACCAAAGAGTCAAGAACACATTTTTCCACATTTTATTTTGAAACAGACAAAAGTTTTTCAGAAAAATTGTAGATAATAAATAAATAGCTGAACCACTGGAAATCCTAAACCTCTTTTTGAAATTTAAAAAGATCTGTTTTTTTTTTTATTATTTGTGTGAAAGAATCCTGAAGTGTGTCCTGTTTCTGACCCGTATCAGACTCTGCACAGAACCCTGGGCTCTGGAATATTCCACAGTACGGCATTTAACATATCTCCATAACTCCACTTGACTTCCACTGGAATATTGTGGCTCCTCCTCTGTAACTGCCTTGGTATTTTGGCCTTAAAATGTGCATATGAACCCACTCTACATGATCCTGGGGTTTTTATTCACTATTTTATCTGTAAAAAAAATCCTTGTCATAATATAGAGGCAGGCTTGAGTGGAGCTGAGTGACGTCACACTCCCTTAGTCCACTTCTTTACGCTCTGTGTGGGAGCATGGGTGACGTAGGCTTGTGGGTGGAACATTGGACAAAATCTTACAGATAACCGTAAGGAGGGTTAATTACTCAAACATGCATGGATGACATCTAAAACCTCTCCAAGTGTGTTTCTGATGAAAGAATAAAGATCGATTTAGCAGAATCTGCCCTTTTGAATGCCGTACTGCAGAACACTCCAGGTGAAATGTCTCCATGGAGGTTCACAGAAAAGCTACACAGTGCAGCTTTACGTGTCATAATGATGCATTAGATCAGACGGCATCAGCGCAGTGGGGCTCAAGACTCTGCACCTCACTCACACAGGAGGCACAGTCGGTACAGACATCGCCCTGTCATCCCCACTCTGTCCAGCTGCTCTACACTTCACTTATCTCTGATGTTGTAAATGAATGGAGGGCTCGTGTCCGGGAGCGAGGAGCAGTTTAAATAAGGCTAAAATGGTAGCTGCTGAGTTTAGCTGGTGAGCATTTCTGGAGAACACTTCATGACATCACTAAATGGAACCAGACTAAATCTGCAGCATTCAAACTCCAGGTATCAGTGTGTTAGATGCCGTCCCATCCTCAGGGTATGAGTGACCTGCAGAGCCTGGCTTAGACTAGTCAGTTTGAGGTAACACCTGTATCCCTGTGTGTCAGACACTCTCCCGTCCTCTTGTGTCCCTTTGTGTCAGATGCCCTCCCTGTGTCAGATGCCCTCCCAGTGAGAGCCTGGTTTGGACCGCTGACTTTGAGGTAAAGTGAGGTTTTCCTGAAGCATTGGTTTCAGAAGTTTAAATTTTAACCGAAATATTTGGGTTGAAAAAAAATCTTGAAATGAATCGAGAAAAGCTTTAACATGCTACTTTTGCTAGTTTAAATCTGGTATAAGTCCTGGTTCAGTCCTGCTTCTAGTCCCAGTTTTAGTCCTGGTTTTAGTCCTAGTTTATTCCTGGCATTTTCCTTCTGTTACATTCAAATTAATCTTTTGTTGTTGTTTTTTTTTAAGGTGGACTTGTCCGGTCAGTTTCACTCAAAAACAAAACCTCAGAAACACCTATTCCACCTTAAATGTCCAAACAGGTTCCACGCGGTAAAAACGAAGTGGCACACACGTATTTTCCTTGAGAGAAACATTTCCTGCTTTTGGAACTTTGTGAGCGTCTTAAAAATGTTTCAGTCTTTACAAAGTTTTCAGTAAAATGTTCAGAATAAACGCAGTGGTTTGGTTTTCAAAAGGACCCCATCCTAGTCCGGTTAGGATCCAGGCTTAAACCAGGGCTCAGTCCTTGAACCCAAACTCAAGTCCGTTTGGTTCAGAAGAAATGTCTTTTCATCCTGCGAGAGACAGAGAATTGAGTCAGATGCCCTCCCTGTGTGTGTCAGATGCCCTCCCTGTGTGTGTCAGATGCCCTCCCTGTGTGTGTCAGATGCCCTCCCTGAGTCCCTCACCTGCTCATGTCTGCTCCTCGGTGACAGGCTGTGATTGGCTGCTGCTTTGCCTCTTCTCTGTCTGTGATTGGCTGCCCTGCTCCTCCTCTGTCTGTGATTGGCTGCCCTGCTCCTCCTCCGTCTGTGATTGGCTGCCCTGCTCCTCCTCCGTCTGTGATTGGCTGCCCTGCTCCTCCTCCGTCTGTGATTGGCTGTTTCCTCCCTCCTGTGTTTCATGTTCCTGCAACTCCATCTCTCCCTCACTGTCCTCTTCTTTTCCTCTCTCTCCCTCCTCTCCTTCCTCCTCGTCGTCGTCCTCCCCTTCCTCCTCCTCCTCCATGCCCTCTTCCTCTCCTCTCTCTGCCTCTTCAGACAGCTCATCCATCTCTTCAGCTTCTGCAGCCTCTTCCTCTCCCCCCTCTCCCTCTTCTCTTTCTTCTTCCTCCTCTTCCTCAGCCTCCTCTTCGTCCTGTTGAGAAGAGGAAAAGTTAGCCCACACATAGAACGTTATTTACGCATATTATTAGAAAATTAGAATATTAGAAAAACTAGTGAATGTGTGCAGTCCTGGTTTAGTGGAACTATGAAGCTGGATCACTTTCATATTTCAGATCACTATGGCAACCCCAAACTCAACCTGCTCCAGACCAGGTTAAGTTCCTGAATAACATAAAAAGATGACTCTTGGTCCAGTTACTGTGACATTTTGCATTTTGTTTTCATACACAGTACATGCTCACTGCTCTGTACTTACTTCACTCTCCAGTTTTATTTTCTTAATCGGTGATACATGGAGGAATTGGCAGCACTGCGTAGTCATTTGGTACAAATGGAAATAATTTTTTTTATTTTTTATTGCCCACACAGGGGTCAGAGATTAGAACTACAGAGCACAATAGGTCTGAGTTAAGCACACTGAGGCTTCCTCTGTATCGAGTGATATTCAGACACTGTACTTTCTCTGGGGTACAGTGCCAGTCTTTCCTTTGGCCTGGTCTTTATTATTTTAATTCCTTATATTTGGTGATTTGGATTGACTGGCAGTTCCTTAAGAAGTATGTAGCTCTTTCCTTTTGCACAATTCTGATTGGTTGGCTGGTGCTAACCCCTGTTCTGTGGGTTGAAAGATCGAGTTGTGAAGCTGCTTCATAGCACCACTCATCCAGACATGCTCAGGTGTGTTAGTAAGAGGCACTTGTCCAGGTTAAGTCAGCCTCCTTCACTGTCCTGGTCCAGTCATGGTCAAGACCTGGTTAGTCCTTCTATCGTCCACCTAAAGTCCACCTACAGTCCACCTACAGTCCTCCTTCAGTCCTCCTTCAGTCCTCCTTCAGTCCTCCTTCAGTCCTCCTTCAGTCCTCCTTCAGTCCTCCTTCAGTCCAGTCCTGGTTCTGACCGTTGTGGCCTCCTCCTCGCTGAAGCCCTGTAGGCCTTGCTGCTCTCGAGTCTGGACTTGGTTGAACCAGTCTCGGACTCGTTCATAGCTGAGTCCAGACTTGGAGACAAGCTCGTCCAGGTCTCTCTCGCTGAGGCCATGGTGTCGCAGGTAATACTCCTTCAGAAACCACACCCCCGACTTGACCTGAACACAGAGGGACACACCATTTAAAACAGAACTGAAAAGAATCCCAACAAGAAGTCTATAGTGCGCTTTTAAAACAAGTTATTTCAGCACAATGGAGCCTATCCCAACTCAGGGACTGCCGATGTAAACAATCCTTTTGACTAATTCAGGTACATTTATATTATTGCAATGTTTATTCAACAAACACAAAACACTACTACGGTTATGGAGCAGAGCTTTGAATGACAACCAGTGTAGTCCAGGTTCGGTCCCAGATAAAAGAATTTATATATTTTGTTCTGAATGTCACAAGAATTTGAGAAGAGATGTCCACATTTGAGAGACATGTGATACAAATTAGTGGCTGTGGTTAGATTGTCTCAAGTTTGGATGGAGGATTTTCACCCTCTGTTGTCTGCTTCCAGTTGGTTCTGGCTGTTCAGGCAAGAACAAAATAGCAAAATAAAAACCCTAGGATAATGTAGAGCGCTTAATGTGTGAATTGGAACCAGTCGATAGAGCCATGCTCACTTCCTGTTTGGAACGCGATGGCTAGCTGGTTAACAATGATCGTTTACAGTCAGTTCTGGTTTAGTCCTCTTGTACCTTCACTGCTCTGAAGTCCTGCGTTGAGCGTTTACTTGGAGCTCTCCTTCGTCGGGACCAGCCTCGAAAACGCTTCCTTGATTTCTTCTTCGCTCCTCCATTTAACGCTTCATCCACCTGCAACACACATCCTTTAGTCCACCTCTGCGCCATGTGAGCATCACCCTCACCTGTCCTCTCACCTTGCCGCTCTGGTACAGATAATACCACTTGAGAGCGCTGTTCTTACAGGCGTAGCGTGTGTCTCCAAACCAGTTGACGATGTGGGAGCGTGGAAGGCCGGTCTCTTTGGCGAGTCGTTCGTATTCGTTTGGCGAGGGCCACTGTGACCTGATGAATGCCTTCTTCAGCACGTGTAGCTGGGCCAGGGTCTTTTTCACTGCCCGCCGGCCCCCACTCGCCCTCTGCTGGGGGGAGGAGGGACAGTCCTCTGCAGCCTGAGGGATGAGAGACATCTTTTACTCTGGGCTTACCCCCGCTTCAGTTCTACTTCAGTGGTCGTGTCCTGTTCTCTGTGGGCGTGTCTCACCTGTGTTTTCTGTCCGGGCGTGTCTCACCTGTGTCCTGTGGGGGCGTGTCTCACCTGTGTTTTCTGTCTGGGCGTGTCTCACCTGTGTTTTCTGTCTGGGCGTGTCTCACCTGTGTCCTGTGGGGGCGTGTCTCACCTGTGTTTTCTGTCCGGGCGTGTCTCACCTGTGTCCTGTGGGGGCGTGTCTCACCTGTGTTTTCTGTCCGGGCGTGTCTCACCTGTGTCCTGTGGGGGCGTGTCTCACCTGTTCTGTGGGGGTGTGATCTCTGTGGTCTGGTTCTTCTGAGGGCAGTTTGCGTCTCTCTGTAAACCAGGCGTTGACTTCTCGTCGGGTGAGTTTGGTCTGAGCTCTTAGACGGCTCAGCTCCTCGTCAGTAGGAGTGGGGTTCTTCTGGAAACTTGCTTCCAGCTCCATCAGCTGTTCTGGAGTCTTCTCCTTAAACTTCTGCAGTGTAAAGTCTGGGAAAGCGTTTCTGAACTTAGCCCTGAGGTCAGAGGGGCTGCGCGATGCCGACGCCTGGAGACCAAACAGGAGAATTCACTTTAAGGAACAGTATGTAGCCTGCATTCTACTAAAAATTTAATCAGACCTATTCTGCAAACTGGACTTTTCAGAACTTTTAACCATGTTCTGTTACTAGACCATGGTATAGTTGTATTTGGAGTGATTCACGCATGTTTGAGCAATCTTTCATCGCTTCACTTCAAGACACCATTTAGCCATTTTCCTGATCTACCTCTACTGTTTTCACGTCCAGTGGTACACACCCACTGTGATGTGCACACGTCATCTCCAGTTTTATTTTCTTAAGCAATGTGTAGCTTTGTTGTGATGGCATTTACGGTGACGTCAGCTCCCATTAGGCACCGCGGTTTTCTAACGCAGAAGTTGTTTCTTTTTTGGTTTTAGAATTTTACTTTATTGATCCCAAGGAAAATTCAAGTGTTGTTGCTGCTGCAGCAGCATTTACACTATGCTTCCAAGTCGCAGTTCAGATCAATATTGTGATTTAAAATTGCCAGATTATAACACAATGATCCACTGGTGTCCTAGATTATAACTATAGAACAACAGAACCTGTGTTTCCAGAGCCTTAACCTGCAGCTAGAGACACATCCAGGTTTGTCTCATTCTCAGTGTATGGACAGGTCAGGCCTTATGTGAAAACTCAGGATCTTCAGAATTCACTCAGTGAGCTGCAGAGGATGCACTGGGGTTTAGGTAGTGACCATTCAGTTTTTTTTAGGTTTAAACTAATTTGGTTTAAGCACTGAAACTGGCAGCCCAAATGAGATGTTTGTGTAAGGCTCATGCTGCTTTCTAACTGGACAACTGTCTTGAGAATCAAAACATTTCAATTGTAACAATGATACTTTGCAGTGACATCACACTGTGTTCTACATGGATGTCTATAGTGCAATGTTCAGCAGTTACCATGATGACCCAATACACACATTAGCAAATGCTGAAAACACAAAATGGATTTAAAAGGTTACATGTTCAGGAGCCTGTGATCAGTTCGACCGTTCACTGCCCTGTTTCGAAGTTTGATTTTCAATAAAAAGGTGAGAGGGACTCACTGAAAAACAGGTGGTTCATGCTAGCTTGTGACTGTAATGTTTTTGAGAGGGACTTGTTTAACAGCACAAATCAGCTCATCTGTTGTAGTTCAGGTAAGTCGGTTCTTTCTGGTCAGACTGTGTTAAAGCGAAGCTCAGACTGAAGTCTAAACTGACTAACAAAGCTTTAGACAGAGCAGAGCTTCAGTTCCCCATGGAACGCTGATGATTTCATCTGCAAAGTATCAGTAAACAACTTGCCCATCTTGTCCTGTGTGATTTGGTTATTTAATGTAAAGAGTGAGGCGGTTCATAGTCTGACCCTGGTCTCTCTGGAGCTCGGAGATCCCTCTGTGTCGTCGCTCGAGTCAATTACAATGGTCCCACTCAGACCCGGTTTACAGTCCGGCTCTGACCCTCCTTCGCTGAGCCCTGGCTCGATGATTCTACTCCCAGACCTAGGACCAGACCCAGGACCAGAGCTGGGACCAGAGCCGGCTCGGAGAGGGGTCTCCAGGGGGGGCAGTCCGTGGTGGTCCTTCGAGTTCCTCTGGTTGTATCGAGTGTCGCTGAACCACTTCTTTATGGCGCGTTTGGACAGTTTAGTCACCTGCAGACAGAATGCACACGTGGTTTAGTCCTGCTTTAGTCCTGATCCAGTCCTACTTTAGTCCCAGTCTACTCCCGTTCCAGTCCCACCTGCATTAGCCGTGAGATCTCTGCCTCTGTGGCGAACTGCCGGCGGCTGTAGCTGGCTTTGAGCTCAGCGAGCTGTTCTTTGGACTTCTTGGGTTTGGTGGGACTCTGGTCAAGTCCTGAGGCGATCTCGGTCTTAGTTTGAGTCTCGGCGGGCTCGGAGGCGGGGGGCTGGTTACCGGTTTGGTTGTTCTGAACAGCGCCTGTGACGGTGAGGGTGAGGGGCGGGGCTACGGGCAGCACGTTCCCGTTAGCGTTAGCAGGTACCTGCGTTAGCACGAGCCCCGGCTGCCCGACGATGTGACACGTCTGAAACAGCGACTGGAGCCCCCCGGATGCCAGGCTCGCCGGGATCACTGTGATGGTGGGCGGAGCCTGCACAGCGCCGTTAAACTTCTTACGCCGCGCCTCCTCCACCTGGGGACAACAAAGCTCTAAGACACAAGAGTTTTACACAAACTCACAACAGTTTAAAAGAAGACTCTTTATTGCTGCGTCTGCAGGGCATCTGACTTAACCCTGAAACATCTGTCACTGACTCTGTATGGCTAAAGCAAAAAAAAAAAAAAAAGTGCACTTAAACTGGATCTAGAATTCTACTGTGACCATCACTGACCTTGTCTGGACTCTGAGTCTGAATGATGTTCTGTCCAAATCCCCACACGATGCACTGCACTCTACACACTTCAGTCAAGTACGCACTTTCTGAAGGTGCATGAAGTGCACGAGGGACAGGGGTGAAAATAAGTAAAATGAGACTTGGGACAGTCCACACTTCAGGTGATGGTGTACTAAAGGTGCTAGAGTAAACATCCAAGCAGCGTAAAACAGCTGTCAGCCATGTTCTTAAACTCCAGCTTAGTCACTGCCACAGCGTGTGGTCCTGTTTGAATCATTTGGCGAACTGGCCACGCTGTTTGAAAACATTCCAGTGAAATGCATTGTGGGGAATGTATTTGCCTGAAGTTTGCTTAAGTGTGGAGAGAACGGTGCGATGAAGTGTAGATCAAAACATTATAAGAATTGGGACATCCACAGTGCACAAGTTGGGACAGGGCCATAGACACACAGTGTGACCTTTGACCTCACTGACCTCCTCTGGGGTCCAGCTCACTCCGTGCTTCAGTCGTTGAGCCGAAAACCAAACTTTGATCTGTTCTTCACTGAATTTCGTCTGAGACGAGAGACCCAAGATCTCCGACAGTGACGGGTACGGGAACCTACGGAGAGAAGACATGAGAAAGGACCCAGACTAAACCCGGACTAAACCCGAACTAAACCCAGACTAAAGCCAGACTAAACCCGAACTAAACCCAGACTAAACCCGGACTAAACCCAGACTAAAACTCGAACTAAACCAGGTCTGTGGCTGACCTGTTGTAGGCTCCAATGAGAAGCACGTTGTTGTCCATGGCGGGGCTGTAGGAGGGGATGCTGCTGACAGGAATGAGGAGCTGAGTTTGGGGCGCGCTCGGAGCCGTGTGTCCCTGAAGCGCCGAGAGCACCTGAGCTAATGTCCCAGGTGCTAACATTCCACTAGCCCCGCCTCCTCGAGAAGCAGACAGGAGGGTTTAGAATATAGTTAGACTTAGACCAGGACTAAAGCAGGACTTCTCAAAAAAACTGGTCTAAGATCCAGTGTGACCCAGACTCTCACCTGTCCCTTTGACCTGCAGCACGCTGGAGCCGTTCACGACGAGACTCGGAGGAACAGAGACCAGCCGCGGCGCCACAGGGGCAACTGGGGTCACCGGGGTCACGGGGGTCATGGGGGCGGGGCTTAGCACAGGCATTTCTTTGCTGTCGTAGTCTTCCTCGCTATCGCTCTCCACTTTGATGATGTCATGGGTCAGGAGTTTGGTGAACTTCTTGTTGCCGTGGACCTTCTGTCTCATGATGGGGGTGTGGCTCATGGTGATGGGCGGGGCAGAGCTTTCACTTTCACCATCCTCCATTTTGACGAAGCTACCGTCGAACGTGAGGTCGTTGACGCTCTGCTGAAAAACCGTCTGGTTGTTCCTCGTGAGCATGGTGCGTGTGAAGCTCTCCTCCCCAGGGTGACAGCGTGCATTATGGGCCTGCAGCGTGTCGTAACTGTAACATAACAATATGTCACACAATATCACTTTTTAACTGCTCTATCCCAGATCCATCTACACTCTAGTCCTAGTTCAGCTTCAGTTCCCAGTGTAATTCCCATTTCTGGAACTGTAGTCACACTCCATACATAGGAGATCAACATCATCTCATTGGAGATGTTGGTGATGATGTGCAGTCCAGTCCCCCGGTCCAGTCCCCCGGTCCAGTCCCCCGGTCCTAACCTCTTGGTGCTGTAGTCACACTCCACACACTCGTACGAGGTGTTGGTGACGATGTGTGGATGTTCCGTGTCCACGTGACTCGTGAACAGGTTCAGGTCAGACGTTTGGAAGCTGCAGTATTTACACTCATATCCACCCTCCGATGCGCCTCCTCCCACTGGAAAGAAGTCAGCCTGGAAACAAGAGACAGAAGGGACCTTAAGCCTCGTCTCCTTACACTGCATCACATAAAGAGACTAAAACACTGAGCAGAGGAGCAGAGAAGAGAAATAAATACAGAGATAAAGTTGTTTATGCTAGCTTTACACAGAGGGCATAATACAAAGGGAGGACATCAGACACACAGGGACATTTCAGAACATGTTTTTGAACTGACATGTTTTAAATAATTAAATCTAAGTAAGGAGAAGCGTAAAAACTCACCTGCATGATGTCATCATCACTGTCCAAAGCTCTGACAGTGGCCCCGCCCCCTCTGGCAGAGCTGCGCTCTGATTGGTTGGCGGTGCAGAGGTCTTCTTGGTCCGACTCGACTGCTTCCTGTTTGAGGACCATACATGGCGTGGTGGACTTCCTCCGACTCGACATTGTGCTTCAGTTTCAGGCCAAAATCAAACTAATCTGAAGCAAAGATCTTTAGGTCACACAAATCAACACTAAAAGCACAACGATTTGTGAAAAAAATCGATCCTTTGCAGTAGGGCTGGGCGATATGATAAAAAAATATACATTTTTGTATTTTTTCTTCTCTTCTAAATGCTTTTTTGACAGTGTTTGCTCATATGTGCATTGTGTCACCAATGTAACAGCTTAAAAGTCCACCATAGGCATAGTACATGCAGAACATCTGCAGTGTAATGTCACTGTAAAGTATCAATAATAATTTTTCTGACAAAACTTCCCAATTGTGTGTAGTTCACCAAAACTGGGAGCAGTAAAAGTAGCCCTTTGTGGTAAAATTAGAATCACAATCAGGATGTGGAATGAGAGAGTCACAAATATAAAGAGGAAACTGATTTACCTTATAGTTTATTTTTAGTATTTTAATTATCCATTATAATGTCACAAAGCTAACATTTGCCGATACGATACATACCTCAATACATGGACCACGATACGATACATATCTCGATACACTGAACTTTCGATTCAGTACAATATATTTCAAATCAATTAGATACATTTCAATTAAAAAGTCTAAATCACTGCTGTGATACTAAAACTGTTAAAACCACTTCTTGTGCAAAGTTTATATGAAACCCAAACATTTTAATCCTCAAAACAATGAAAATGTCAACTATGTTGCATAAATGAGTTTTCTTCCTCCAAAACTGTAGCTCTGTAACAAAATAATTTTGTAAAATATACCATAAAATACTGTTGGCGATATATCGATACAGCAGCCCATGATATCGATACTGTATCATCACATTAAACTATAGCAATATTTTTTGGCTATATTTTTGCACACCCATTTCTTAGACCTTTTTCTGCATGAATAGTAGTTTTTGCATGAACTGGACTCCCGTGCAGGTGTACTCTTGTGAGTGTAGTTTGGGTCTGATTCGTAGTGAGTAGTAGTTTTGAAAGCTTTTGCCACGCCCCCCTTTTATTCGATTAATTGGTCAGCAGGACATGTCTTTTGTCGACCAAGAACAACAATTTAACAGAAATATCGTCTATGTAAAAAAAAAAGGCAATTAGATAAAATAATTATTTGAACCAATGACGGTCTCAAAAAAAAAAAAAAAAAAAAAAAAAAAAAAAAAAAAAAGAAAGACATAAAGAATTTAAGGCTGAGAAATTGCGCCTTGTTTGAAAACTCGCTGTTTGCCTTTGCACTGATGTAAACACACGTGTAGTAAACAGGCGCTGCTTCATTCTGCAGGACATTCTGTTCTGTGGGTTCGTGTCCTCAACTTGATCTAACGCCAATAGTTTCAAATGTTCACTTTAGAGACGAGGCGTGATTCAGTGGTTTAGGTTTAAGATTTGGTTCTTTTGGTCTCGGAGGAGGAGAGGCAGAGCCCAAACTGCGCTCAAACCAACGCAAAAGGAACCGGAGAACGCACGGAGCTCCGGTGAACATCCCGGAGCTAACACCGCCAACCGAGCCTCCACTACCTCCCCGCCGCCTCCTGCATCCTCCCGCCCGGTCACCCTCCTCCGCCAGCCCCGGACAATGCTCACCTCTCCGCGGGCACTTCTGGAGTCAGCCCCCGGAAACCTGCATCCTTCCCCGGTTCAGGGAGTTAGCCTCGGCCGCTGTAGCACGGTAGCATCTCTAGGTTGGCCGCTCTTCCGCCTTTTCCCCTCGGCTCCGGCGGTGTCTGAGCCGGTCCCACGCCGCTCCACAGCGCTCCTCACCGGGCACAGGCTCTGGGCTCCGGGGAGGGCATGGCTCGGGCCACGGCGGAGACAGAGTGCGGGGAAAGGGAGAATTTCGAGGAGAAAATACCGAGAGAAGAGGAGAATGTGAGGAGAATGTGAGCAGGGAAATGTTTAAAAAAGAGCAGACAGCACGTCCGGCCAACGCGACCCTTTCACAGTAAAACAGGAAGCACTTTATCACTGTACAGAAACAAAACAACTCCTAAAAAGTCCGCTGATTTGACTAAGCAGCTGTGGTCGTGTATTACATTCTTTAAATGTCCTGTATTATGCAAAATGGACTCCTGTGAGCTTTTAGTGTCCTCTGAGGACTAACCTCCTCAAAAACATACCTGAAGTTGTTTTTTGTTTGGAGATGTAGACTCCTAATAATAGTGTCAAGACTGCACTAATCGAGACCAAGACCAGGCCGAGACCACAAGACCCCGAGACCTGGACAAGACCAAGACCTCTGAGGGTCGAGACTGAGACTTTTAAAGGCCAAGACCAGGACAAAACTGAGTCCAAGCTCCTGCAAGACCAAGACAAGACTGAGTCTGAGCTCCTCCAAGACCAAGACAAGACCAAGTCCAAACTCCTCCAAGACCAAGTCCAAACTCCTCCAAGACCGAGACAAGACCAAGTCCAAACTCCTCCAAGACCAAGTCCAAACTCCTCCAAGACCGAGACAAGACCAAGTCCAAACTCCTCCAAGACCAAGTCCAAGCTCCTCCAAGACCAAGACAAGACCAAGTCCAAGCTCCTCCAAGACCAAGACAAGACCAAGTCCGAGCTCCTCCAAGAATGAGACAAGACCGAGTCCAAGCGCGGTAGAGAACAAGACCGCAAAAAAACTCAAGGCCAGTCTTGAGACCAAGACCGGTCTCGAGTACTTTGACACTACCTAGTAATTCAAGATTGAATAAGACCATGAGCGCTCATACTGATCACAGCCTCCTGAAAATGAAATCCATTTGGTACTTTTTTTTGTTGTTGAGACAATCAGTTACAAGCAGTGCTTGCTAATATGTGCACTGTGTCACCATGGTAACAGCTGGACTTTCCACCATACAAGTAGAACACCTCCATCGTGAAGCCCAGAGCCCACAGATAGAACCTGACCGAGTGGTCCTGCTCAGCAAAAAACGAGACAAAACTAATTCTGCTTCAACTTTTATTGATATGACACAATTATTACACTCACAAAGCCATAATCAGACACTGCACCATAACAATCAAATAAACCAGTATAAATATATAGCTCTGTATTTAAATGTTACATAATAAATAATTATAAATATTGTTGAGGTATTTTGAGTTAAAGTGACAGGAAACCAGGTTTAAATTTCTGATGCATTTAAAGTTTATTCTTCAAATAAACTCAGGAGAAGCTCTCAATCTCTCTCTTCATCTCCTGGGAAAGAAACAAAAACATAAGTGTGTCAGATGCCCTCCCATTCTCCTCTGTCCCAGTGTGTGAGGTGCCGTCCATGTGTGTGAGGTGCCCTCTGTGTGTGAGATGAACTCTGTGTGTGAGGTGCCGTCAGTGTGTGAGATGAACTCTGTGTGTGTGAGGTGCCGTCAGTGTGTGTGAGGTGCCCTCTGTGTGTGAGATGCCGTCCGTGTGTGTGAGGTGCCGTTCGTGTGTGTAAGGTGCCCTCTGTGTGTGTGAGGTGCCCTCTGTGTGTGAGATGCCGTCCGTGTGTGTGAGGTGCCGTCCGTGTGTGTGAGGTGCCGTCCGTGTGTGTGTGAGGTGCCGTCCGTGTGTGTGAGGTGCCGTCCGTGTGTGTGAGGTGCCGTCCGTGTGTGAGGTGCCCTCCGTGTGTGTGAGATGCCGTCCGTGTGTGTGAGCTGCCGTCCATGTGTGTCAAACGCCCTGTCATGATGCCCACCTTGATGAGGTCGGACTTGTTGGCGTTGTCACGGTGACGGTAAATCGACTGAGCCAGAACAGTGTATAGTTTCTCTAAAGGCTCCACTTCAGCGCCCTCTGTCTTCACCACCGCGCGCTGCAGCAGATCCTGAAATCACAAAAATAGTTTCCATTCTAACAAGTATTGTGATTGCCATTAGATTTACGATTTATATTTAAAATAGAGAAAGACTCATATATCAGTTTGAAATGTGCCCTTTTTAGTTTACAGGCTATCAGCCTTAAACCTCTTGCAGAGGCCGATATTTTGCTTGGAGTGATCTGACGCCTAAAGAATCTGTGAATAACTCTTTATTTGAACATAAGTGTGAAGAGGACGCTGCACAAAATGTGATTACAGAGGTGTCTGTTGTATTTAGTTTGTAGTAGAACAGGTTTGTGGATGAGTTTGTAGTAAATTCAAACAATTTCATTTAGGGAAAATATTTAAAATTGTCCCTACATATTAGCCCAAAAAATATGGGCCACTGGACTCTAAACAATCAGAATCAGCATTGGCCATAAAAAAAAATACTGGTCTAAACTACAGGTACAAGGTTTTTCTATATAAAGACAGAATGTTTTGTTATTTTTTACAGTTGCTAAATAATTTGGACTTCTAGGATTTGATGATTATGGAAACAGTGATTTCGTTTCAGTTGTGATTGTTGTCGTCGTCTTACACTCTGTCTATCATAGGCTGTGTACAGAATCTAAAGAGTCTTTGTTCTCTGGTCTTGGAGCATCTGTCTCACCTTGAGTTTACTGCGGTCAATCACCAGGGGCTCTGTGCTGGTTTTGCGTCCGTTTTCCCGTTTGTTCAGCAGCTTCATCTGTTCATTCACCACTTTATCAGCCAGTTTCTTCTGACGCTCTGAGGAGACAAAAACAAAAGTGAGTGCTAGGGGGCGCTATAGAGACGAGGGTGGGGAGTAGAGGACACTGCAGTCAGACAGAAGCATTATGGTTAAACTGAAGCTGAACACATCAAAGAGCAACTGTAATGAAGCTTTAGAAAGAAGGAACTCTTAAGAAGCATGTGCTGAGAAAGTCACTCGCTCGCTCAGAACACTAAACACTGAAACCTCTTAACTGATACAAAACTGATATAAAATGAAAAGTTTATGAAACGACCCAAAGCCTCTCACCTTTACTCACCTGTATTTGTTTTTACAGACTTTTACAGCCTGGCAGCTCCAGACTGGTATCCACCTGTATATTTCTTTTTTCCTTGTAAGCAGCCATATTTGTTTTGATATGGACGGACCATGTGTGTTTCTGATTGGATAATCCACCTCACAGTCACACTTGTTGGACAACTGTGTGTTCTAGATCCAAGTTGAGGAGCAAAGCAGAGCAGCTGTTAGAGCAGAGCCTGAGCAGCAGCAGTACAGTTACAGTTACACTGTTGTCTGCGCTGGGCACTCGGGGGCTTGGGGAGTACAGACCTCCTCTCCCGGCGCTCAGATGTGGTGCAGCTGTTGGAGGGACGATGGTCCTGTGGAAGCCGTTGGTCAGGTGATCGGAGCGCCGTTCGAAGCCGTTGAGTTGGGCATTAGGGGCATGGCCGTTCTCGGAGCACTCGGACAGAGACGAAAGCGAGGAGTAAGACTCAGACGAGGCTGTAGGGGGCGCCACAGGGGCCTTCTTCTTCTTGGGTTTGGGGATGACGCCTGTGCTCCATTTGGACTTTCGACGATAGCGCTTCCTCTTCAGTGCTAAAGAACAGTGGGGTTTAAAGAAGAGGGGCGGGGTTTAAAGGAGAGGGGTGGGGTTTAAAGGAGAGGGGTGGGGTTTAAAGGAGAGGGGAGGGGTTTAAAGAAGAGGGGTGGGGTTTAAAGAGAGGGGTGGGGTTTAAAGAAGAGGGGTGGGGTTTAAAGGAAAGGGGAGGGGTTTAAAGGAGAGGGGAGGGGTTTAAAGGAAAGGGCAGGGTTTTAAAGAAGAAGGGAGGGGTTTAAAGGAAAGGGGAGGGGTTAAAGAGGTGAGAACAGGTTTCTTTATGTGACATCACTTTAACCTGAACCTGAAGACAGCGAGTCTGCTGTTAAAGACTCAAATGCAGATGTGTGACCTGGTTTACGGTTAATATTTCTGTAATAGCTGGATCTATCCACAAAAACTAGCACAAAGTTAAGTGTTTTCTTTGTCAGTATGAATGAAAACATGATGCTGAAACTACAGCAGCTGTGATCTGTGGATGGGAGGAGCAGAGTGGTGTAATAGATGGAGCAAGGGATGGTGGTGTTTCTAACCTTTGCACTGCTGCACTCTTAAAGCCTAACCCCACTGAACTGTGGAAGTCCTGAAGTGACCAGAGTTGAGAAAAGTTTTAAACTCACTGCGCAGGTGAACGTCCTCGATGTCGTAATCCAGAGCAGCAGCTACAACAAAACACAACAACGTGAGACAGTTAGATTTTGCACAGTGACCTCAGGCCCCTCTCCTCAGAGAGACCCATAGACTGTATACAAATGGACATAGCTAACCCAATAGACGCCGCATTCCAAACAGGAAGTGAGCATGGGCACACTTCGGCTCCATTGTCTCAGGCTCCAATTTTCCACTTTTTATTAAAAGAGTGGTTCCTCTCTCTGTAACTGCTGCTGTCAGGCTCCTCATTCTGACCTTAAAATGTTGGTTTGAACCCGCTCTACATGATCCTGGGGGTTTTGCCCCTAAATCAATATATGAACTTTATGACTAGACCATAAACTGGATATAAATGGACATAAGTAATGCACTAGCCACAGTATTCCAAACAGGAAGTTCACATGAGGCTCTTCCGGCTCCTGCTGACTCTGACTCCCACTGACTTACATTGGAATATTGTGGCCCCTATCTCTGTACCTGGGTCCAGTCAAGTGGTAATGGAGGGAAACAGGGGCAGATTTTTGACATTCAAATGTCTCTTATTCAGAAACTAGAGGGACTATTGAAATAAGTAAAGTATCAGAATGTAGGAAAGAGTTAACACTCCAACAGGGTAAAGTTAAACCTGTGATATTCTTTCAAGTTGTTGACAAAAAATTTAAAAACTCATGTTGGTAACGGAGGGAATGAAATATGCAGCACTTTTTGGGCAATAAATCCAAACAGTGATAACTCTTGGTTCTCACTTACATATCCTTAACAAACTGGTTTGAATATTTGCTTCATATAGTTTTCTACCATATGGTACAAGATTAGGTTGAAAAACCTCTTACTTTTTGACTCATGAGATTTTTTATTAAGAAAGGTCATGGTAATGGAGGGAAAATTTTGCAAACAAGTAGAAGGTGCATGATTTTGCATAATTTCTCGCTTTTTTCTTCAGAATACTTTAATATTACTTCAAAATGAAAGGAAACTTTCTATAAAATATGTCAGTCCTTCCAAGCAAATTTTTATCATTTTAAATACTTTTTTTTTTTTTTTTTTAATCATGTACCTTCATCAACAGTTCAAAGATGGAATAACACAAGATATGATGAAATACATCCATTTATTTACATGATTTGCAGGTCTTTGAAATTTGGGAAATAATTTTTGTTCCATGTTTCATACATGGTCTGTTTAAAACGTATGTAACTTTAGAACCAAAAATGGTACAGAAAAAAGGTCAAGGTTTCATAAACTAGAGTACATATGTATCTGTTCAATACATTTTTATATCAGATGCATTAACTTGAATTTTTAGCCCTGCTGTTTACTTCTGCTTGACCGGGCCCACCTGCTGCTGCGAGCCTCATCATTTTGATCTTAAAATGTTCGTATTAACCTGTTCTACATCCTGGGCTTTTGTTGGGGTTTTTTGCTATTTTGTCCAACAAAAAAAAAACGTATTCATAATTTAGCACCTGGCTCCAAATTTGCTCCCATAACCGCTGGTATCGTGAGCTTCATTTAAGTGGAGCTGCACACTCTGGGTGACATGACACTCGCTTAGTCTGTTTCTTGATACAGTCTATGGAGCAGACAAATCAAGTGCCTTCTTTCCCCGAGGTTGCTCCCACAATCATTAGCTACAGGTTTGATTCACAGTGTCGCTAAACCAGCAGTGCAGACGGGAATGGGCGGTACCTTCAACAGCCTGGCCCCTGATTGGCTCTTTGGTTGACACTTGACTATTTATATCTTATAAATCTTATAAGTTTCTAAATGTTCCTCACTCCTTCTGCCTGTGTCTGTAAACATGCATGTGTTCACATGTATATTCACATGTGTGTTCACGTGTATATTCACATGTGTGTCCACGTGTATATTCACATGTGTGTCACGTGTGTGTGTCCATGTGTATATATCACATGTGTGTTCACGTGTATATTCACATGTGTGTTCCATGTGTGTCCATGTGTATATCACATGTGTGTGTGTCATGTGTATATATCACATGTGTGTCCATGTGTATATTCACATGTGTGTCATGTGTACACATGTGTGTTCACATGTGTATGTGTATATGTTCACATGTGTGTTCACATGTGTATATTGTGTGTGTGTATATGCACATGTGTGTCCATGTGTATATTCACATGTGTGTCCATGTGTATATTCACATGTGTGTCCACGTGTATATTCACATGTGTGTCCACGTGTATATTCACATGTGTGTTCATACGTAGTATGTTCACGTGTGTGTTCTTATGTAGTATATGCACATGTGTTTTCATGTGTATATTCACATGTGTGTCCATGTGTATATTCACATGTGTGTCCATGTGTATATTCACATGTGTCCACGTGTATATTCACATGTGTGTCCACGTGTATATTCACATGTGTGTCCATGTGTATATGCACATGTGTGTTCATGTGTATATTCACATGTGTGTTCATACGTAGTATGTTCACGTGTGTGTTCATATGTAGTATATGCACATGTGTTTTCATGTGTATATGCACATGTGTGTTCATGTGTGTGTTCATGTGTATATTCACATGTGTGTTCATATGTACTTGTGTTCCTCACCTCTCCTCATGCGGCTCTCTTTGACCTCCTGACACACACGCTCAAAGTCATGGTCCAGGTCGTCTCTGATGATGGCGTGCAGGGTGTCCTTCAGGGCATAGGCGCGGTGACGGATGTGACGGTCTAGAACACAAACACAGAAAATATCTTTACTCTCTCACCCCCTCTCTGTTCTAAGCACATGTCTCTGTCTCTCTCTCTCTCTCTGTTCTAAGCACATGTCTCTGTCTCTCTCTCTCTCTCTGTTCTAAGCACATGTCTCTGTCTCTCTCTCTCTCTCTGTTCTAAGCACATGTCTCTGTCTCTCTCTCTCTCTCTCTCTGTTCTAAGCACATGTCCCTGTCTGTCTCTGTCTCTCTGTCTCTCTCTCCTCTCTCTCTGTTCTATTCACATGTCAGTCCCTCTCTCTCTGTTCTGTGTGCACCATGTCTCTGACCTATAGAATCACTGTCTGGGTTGTAGTCCAGTGCGTTCTTCCAGATGAGGTCAGCGTCTGTCACAAACTCGCTCACAGTGATGTATTTGTGCTTGTCGATGTTTGTGAGCAGAGTGGACAGGTCCATGGGCTGTTTGATGACCATCAGGTAATCTGGTACCTGCAACCACACAAGCACAAAGACACGGGAAAGAGACGATGTGCTCACAGCTGTAACTGTGACAAGTTTAGGAAGGGCACCTTTAAGTTCATGTCATTATTGTAAATGCTGTTTCTAGGTTTATTATTTGAATGTTCAGTGTTTGTAGTTCAGTCAGTGGTGTTTGCGCATGTGTGTGTGTGTATGTGTGTGTGTGCACATGTGCATGCGCATGTGTGTGTGTGTTGGTGGAGGTTGAAGGAGTTGGTGGAGCAGCCAGTGTGCCACAGGGATGTGGCTACACTAGTACCTTACCACCAAGTGTGGAGTGAATGAATAATGCACTGTAAAGTGCTTTGGATGTCTCAAAAGGTGCTATATAAATGCAATGATTATTAATTGTAATGTAGATAAAGAGAACACAGTGAATATGACAGATTTACTTTCCATCATGTGCTCAAGGGTTCATGGGAGTTTGCCCAACCAGTCAAAATGTGCTTTGTGGATCTGGAGAAAGCATTCGACATTCGAGAAAATGGACAGATAGATGGATGATGACCAACAAAGTTAACACAGTTAAATTTAAGATTTGACAAAAGATCTTGCCTAGATTTCTGTTATAATATTACTACCCGATTAGACACAGGCAGCCAATGTGACCCAAGTAGTGGTACTTCCAAAACTGTTACCTAGCAACCATTAAGTAAACATGTAAACAAGGGACAAAACGTGTCTAAATTACACAATTAGTTATAATTAGACTGAAAAAATAACTGAACTGCTTTAATTAGTTAAATTACAGTTTAAACTGTGAGAAAAGTGCCTTCCTTATGTGTAAATTGTTTCTTCCATTTTCCGTGTTGATAACATAGTCAGAGGAATTTCGTTTTACAACTCAGCGCTATTTCTTGTATTTTTGTACTTTAATTTTCTATGTTTTTTTTTTTTTTTTCCACAAATTGCCACTTAACCGATGTAAAACTATGATCCATATTTAGCACTGGTCTACCAAACCAAGCCAGAATTAGACAAATATGAAAACTTATCATGCACGTTAAAGGACCCATATTAAACTATTTTCTGATCTGTTTTAATATTATTTCTTCATCACAAACATACCTGGAGTTGTGTTTTGTTTCATTCACACATGTTTAACACATGTGGAGATAAATAATGCAGGTTTACTCAAACATGTGTGAATGACACCACTCCAGGCATGTTTTTGAGTAGATAACATTCTAACATGGCTCACAAGAGTCAGTTTTGTGTAATATAAATATAGGCCCTTTAAATTCATGTCTTTATTGTAAATGATGTGTCTAATTTTATTACTTTAGTGTTGTGTATTTTGTAGGTTAAAATATGTGTAAATGTAACACAGTCAGACGCTGACCTCCTCGATGGCCACTGGCTTGGTGAAGGCGTTGAAGCGTCGGTCCAGGGACAGGCGCTCAGTAATGTTTCGCAGGAAGAGGCGGAGCTCACGCAGTACATCCTCCTCCTGCTCCTCCAGATGGTGGCGCTCTTGTTCTGAGAGCTGGCGCGGAGGAGGGGGCGGGGCCAGGGGCAGGATCTCCAGCGGGCGCGACAGCGCTGAGGGCACCAGAAAGAGCAGGATTCAGCTAAATTCAGCTAAGGTCTAATAACCTGTATGGATAAAGTTATTCAAGTGTGAACAAGGCTGGATTACTCATTTTACTAAAGCACACATAAGATCATTATATTTAACATTTGAGATTATTATCTGACAACTCAGTTTCTAAGAAAACACCTTTATTTTGTTGAAATAATGTTTAAAGAATCAGAAAAATGTTTCTTGTATAAATTGTACGAAATTTGTGGGCAGTGTGATGTCATCAACGTGCAACGTTTTTCACCATTTCCTTTTTCTTTAATATAAACTCATTTATATTTACAATAGGTTTTACCCCACCAAATTAGGTAAAAATCTGAGAATCATCAAAACCTTTCATAGCCACTGTGTGTAACAGTGGTGACTAATAGTGTAAGGTTAGTAGTATGAATGATATGCCGGTGACACAGATTGGCAACCTTGCTTCTGTCAGTTTGCCCCAGGGCAGTTGTGGCTTGTAGTATCTTACCACCACTAACAGTGAAGTGAATGAATACTGCTCTGTAAAGCGTCTTGTGTGTCTTGAAAGGCGTTACATAAATCCAATGGTTAGTTAGTTCATTTAAATCAGATTGCAGTAATTTCACATGTGCAGGGTTAGAGTATGAGTGACAGTTAAAGCAGTTTAACGTGTGTATGTTGTAGTGTCATAGTATGGTGTAGTGTGTACTGTGGTAGTATGGTGTAGTGTGTTAGTATACACCATACTATAGTGTGATAGTATGATGATGTAAGCGTGGTGTAGGGATGGTGTATGTGTGACAGTACAGCTGTTGTTGGAGGGTGGAGCTTCGGTGGCCTGTCTCAGGATGAGGTCACTAAAGAACTCGGTCCTCGCTGTGACGGAGGGGGCTGGGAGGAAGAACAACTCTCCATACTCCTCACGGAACAGCGCCTTCACCTGCAACACAAACAACAGCCCCATCACCTGTCACATACACACAACAGCCTCAACACCTGTCACAAACACACAACATTGTCTTCACCTGTCACATACACACAACAGTGTCTTCACATACACACAACAGCCCCATCACCTGTCACATACACACAACAGCCCCATCACCTGTCACATACACACAACAGCCCCATCACCTGTCACATACACACAACAGCCCCATCACCTGTCACATACACACAACAGCCCCATCACCTGTCACATACACACAACAGCCTCACCTGTCACATACACACAACAACAGCCCCATCACCTGTCACATACACACAACAGCCCCATCACCTGTCACATACACACAACAGCCTCAACACCTGTCACATACACACAACAAGCCCATCACCTGTCACATACACACAACAACAGCCCCATCACCTGTCACATACACACAACAGCCCCATCACCTGTCACATACACACAACAGCCCATCACCTGTCACATACACACAACAGCCCCATCACCTGTCACATACACACAACAGCCCCATCACCTGTCACATACACACAACAGCCTCAACACCTGTCACATACACACAACAGCCTCAACACCTGTCACATACACACAACAACAGCCCCATCACCTGTCACATACACACAACAACAGCCCCATCACCTGTCACATACACACAACACAGCCCATCACCTGTCACATACACACAACAACAGCCCCATCACCTGTCACATACACACAACAGCCTCACACCTGTCACATACACACAACAGCCCCATCACCTGTCACATACACACAACAGCCCCATCACCTGTCACAATACACACAACAGCCCCATCACCTGTCACATACACACAACAACAGCCTCAACACCTGTCACATACACACAACAACAACAGCCCCATCACCTGTCACATACACACAACAACAGCCCCATCACCTGTCACATACACACAACAGCCCCATCACCTGTCACATACACACAACAACAGCCCCATCACCTGTCACATACACACAACAACAGCCCCATCACCTGTCACATACACACAACAGCCTCAACACCTGTCACATACACACAACAACAGCCCCATCACCTGTCACATACACACAACAACAGCCCCATCACCTGTCACATACACACAACAACAGCCCCATCACCTGTCACATACACACAACAGCCCCATCACCTGTCACATACACACAACAACAGCCCCATCACCTGTCACATACACACAACAGCCCCATCACCTGTCACATACACACAACAGCCTCAACACCTGTCACATACACACAACAGCCTCAACACCTGTCACATACACACAACAACAGCCCCATCACCTGTCACATACACACAACAACAGCCCCATCACCTGTCACATACACACAACAGCCCCATCACCTGTCACATACACACAACAGCCCCATCACCTGTCACATACACACAACAGCCCCATCACCTGTCACATACACACAACAACAGCCCATCACCTGTCACATACACACAACAGCCTCACACCTGTCACATACACACAACAGCCTCAAACACCTGTCACATACACACAACAACAGCCCCATCACCTGTCACATACACACAACAACAGCCCCATCACCTGTCACATACACACAACAGCCCCATCACCTGTCACATACACACAACAACAGCCCCATCACCTGTCACATACACACAACAGCCTCAACACCTGTCACATACACACAACAGCCTCAACACCTGTCACATACACACAACAACAGCCCCATCACCTGTCACATACACACAACAGCCTCAACACCTGTCACATACACACAACAGCCTCAACACCTGTCACATACACACAACAACAGCCCCATCACCTGTCACATACACACAACAACAGCCCCATCACCTGTCACATACACACAACAGCCCCATCACCTGTCACATACACACAACAGCCCCATCACCTGTCACATACACACAACAGCCCCATCACCTGTCACATACACACACACAACAGCCCCATCACCTGTCACATACACACAACAGCCTCAACACCTGTCACATACACACAACAGCCTCAACACCTGTCACATACACACACAACAGCCCCATCACCTGTCACATACACACAACAACAGCCCCATCACCTGTCACATACACACAACAACAGCCCATCACCTGTCACATACACACAACAACAGCCCCATCACCTGTCACATACACACAACAGCCTCAACACCTGTCACATACACACAACAGCCTCAACACCTGTCACATACACACAACAGCCTCAACACCTGTCACATACACACAACAGCCTCAACACCTGTCACATACACACAACAACAGCCCCATCACCTGTCACATACACACAACAGCCTCAACACCTGTCACATACACACAACAGTCCACAGTCACACACATCACATACACACACAGCCCCATCACTGTCACACACAACAGCCCAACACCTGTCACATACACACAACAACAGCCCATCACCTGTCACATACACACAACAGCCTCAACACCTGTCACATACACACAACAACAGCCCCATCACCTGTCACATACACACAACAACAGCCCCATCACCTGTCACATACACACAACAACAGCCCCATCACCTGTCACATACACACAACAGCCTCAACACCTGTCACATACACACAACAGCTTCTTCACAGGAGGGGTTCTCACCTCAGGATCAAGCTCTGAGTATGCAGTACAGGTCGTGGCCAGCAGGAGGACGGGTGCAAAGGAGGGGATCCCTGACAGCAGAGTGAGGAAAGAGGAGCGGAGAGCGCCCCCTGCTGTCTCCCACCACTGCTGCAGGTGAGGCAGGTACAGGACGCTGGGCGAGGTGCGCTGGGCTTCACGGAAAACCTACAAAACATGTAGTGCTCAGGCCAAGGTTTGATATAAGAGAAAATAATCATAATCATAATCTGATTCTGTCTGTGTTATATTGATACTTTCCAGATGATGTTATCTACATTTCCTTTAAGTGTGATGCTAACTGGAGGCACTGCTCTGTCTGAGTATAACATTCAAATAACATTACAGTCACAAGCCTAAACAGGACTATGAAGGCTCGTATTGATCGCAGGCTCCTTAAATCCAGTTTGTATTTTTGAGTTTTCAGATAATCTCATGTGTGCATTGTGTCACCATGGTAACTGCTAAACATTCCACCAGAGACATGCATATAGAACACCCCCTGTGTGATTTCACTGCAGAGGATCAATAGTTTTGTGCTCCTCACCTGAGTGCAGGCCTCCTCTGGTGTGGTGCTGCTGACACCATAGATGGCGGCGGTCTCCAGGCTGTACACAGTGAAGCTCTCCAGCGCGTGAAGCAGGGCGGGTCCCAGGTGAGAGCTCTCACCTGAGCCAGGACGTCCCACGAGGAGCAGACGTGGCCGGTGAGAGGTGGGCTGCCGCACCGCGCTCCTGAGGGACACGTGGTTAACACAGCGTCAGTTACTGAATGTGCACAAACCCTCTGCACCCACCTGTCTGCTCAGTACAGATATATGTGCTGCTTTTGCAAACCTATGACTCAGATTGAACTTACTTAAAAGGTGTAAAGAGTAAAATAAAAGTGTAGTGGACTAGCTGTAGTTTGTCTTTGTGTTGCCATAGTGACAAGTGTCAGACCAGTGACCGGAAGCATGAGAACAAATGTTGTGAATGTTGTGACTGTTCTTGGAAAATCACAAGGTTAGCACAGAGCAGTGAGTGGGGATATGCCCTCAGCAGACTTAGTGACCCCTGACCTGGCGAAGTGCAGAAATTTGCGTGTTTTTCCAGAGGCAGAGATACTGGTGCCGCTCTCGTCTCCTCCAGGCATCACTCCGTCATCATGCAGACCAGCTGTGAGTGCTAAACAGAGAAGAGAAGAGTCAGAGAGAAGGACCACACTGTGAGGAAGAGGAGCCAGGACTCTACTAAAGTGTCTCTGGTATTTTTATAAGACATCTCAAACAAATGTTTTCCCTGGTCATTTCTATTAGTGACAAGGTTAATTCTTCCCATCTGTCCAGCTCCCTCTCATTTAAAGAGCCTTTACCCAATTTTTCCCCACATATTTGAGCTAAATGTGTCATGTCCCTGTACAGGTATAATGTATATTGTATACTGTATCAGCAGTTCTTGAGGTCAAAATAAGTCCACTGTGCTGAACTGTTCAGTTCAAAAGTTAGGACAAAAGGGTACATTTGTCATCCAGTTCTAAATGGCCATAAATCTAATATATTTCTTTTTTTTTTTTACTTTCAAAACTTAGATCTCTTTATCATCTGTATTTCTATTCTACTTATACATGTGCAATCGGTACATTGCATATTTTACATTATAAAACAATTTTACCATAAAAGTACACCCAGAGGAAAAAATAAAAAGTATAAAAGTTACATATTTTCAAAATTTAAAGAGTGAAGTGGAAAACTTGAGGTAAATTTATTAGAGCCTAGTAAATATCAATAATTTATAGCGGGAAAAAAATTGGTGCATCATTGTGTTTTGAATGGGAGAGAATTAGTTGTGAAAAAATTATAAGCGCATGTCATGACTAAAACATTATAATAAGATGAATTCCTACAGAAATCAGGACAAAACTGGTCTGGTTGTTTAGGTCTGAAGATACAGATGGTCTGAGAGTCCAGTACTGACACAGTGACTCTGTGGCTGCCCCCTGTGGCACCTGTGTGAACACACAACTACCGGTGTCAAAACAAGTATCCCTCAAACAACAGTGCCAATCTCTGGCCAATCTCTGATTGGTCAAAACAAAGTTGGGAGATGGATGTTGTAAAAATTACCTGGTCAGTTTGTTTAGACTTTGACACACCAAAATATATATAAAAAAATATATCTCCCAACTGTGTATCAGCCAATCAGAGGGGAGATCTTGTTTGAGGGATACTTGTTTTGACACTGATAGTTGTGTTTTCACACAGGTGCCACAGGGGGGCAGCCACAGACCATCTTTATCTTCAGACCAAAATAACCAGACCGCCCTGATTTATGTTGGTATTCATCTTATTATAATGTTTTAGTCATGACATGTGTTTATAATGGAAGTCAGTGGAATATGTCATGACCCTCTCCCATTCAAAACACAATAACGCACCCATTATTTTCCCCGCCATGAATTATTCATATATATATATATACTAGGCTCTAATAAATTTAGCTCAAGTTGTCCACTTCACTCTTTTAATTCTGAATTCTGTATTTTTTCTAATTTGTATGGTTTACTTTTAAGTTAAAATTGGCTTATAATGTAAAAAATATACAATGCATATATAAAATCTGCACATGTATGAGGAGAGTAGTGCATGAAGACATCTGAGTTTTGAAAGTCAAAAAAAATATGAATCTATGTGGATTTTATGACCATTCAAAAATGGGGACCCTCAAGGGCCCCCAAGGTGATGAACGTCACCTTTAAGCTGACCAAAGGACTAAGACAAAAAAAATCAGGCACAGAGACTCAGGAGTCTCACACCCCCACCCTCTCAGTAAAACAGGTACATACAGTACAGGTGTATACAGGTGTATACAGGTGCATACAAGTGTATACAGGTGTATACAGGTGTATACAGGTACATACAGTATGGGTGTATACAGGTACATACAGGTGTATACAGGTACATACAGGTGTATACAGGTACATACAGATGAATACAGGTGTATACAGGTGTATACAGGTGTATACAGGGGTATACAGGTACATACAGATGAATGCAGGTGTATACAGGTGTATACAGGTGTATACAGGTGTATACAGGGGTATACAGGGGTATACAGGGGTATACAGGGATATACAGGTGTATACAGGTGTATACAGGGGTATACAGGTGTATACAGGTGTATACAGGGGTATACAGGTGTATACAGGTGTATACAGGTGTATACAGGTGTATACAGGGGTATACAGGGGTATACAGGGATATACAGGTGTATACAGGTGTATACAGGTGTATACAGGGGTATACAGGGGTATACAGGGATATACAGGTGTATACAGGTGTATACAGGTGTATACAGGTGTATACAGGGGTATACAGGGGTATACAGGGATATACAGGTGTATACAGGTGTATACAGGTGTATACAGGTGTATACCGGGTATACAGGGATATACAGGTGTATACAGGTGTATACAGGTGTATACAGGTGTATACAGGGGTATACAGGTGTATACAGGTGTATACAGGGGTATACCGGGGTATACAGGTGTATACAGGGGTATACAGGGGTATACAGGTGTATACAGGTGTATACAGGGGTATACAGGGATATACAGGGGTATACAGGGGTATACAGGTGTATACAGGTACATTCAGATGTATACAGCGCACTGACCTGGCTCTCTCTTCCTCTTGGCCTGCTCAGCATGGGGAAACAGCCTTTGCACTCTCTGTAGCGCCCCCTGTAGAGCAGCAGACAGCAGAGGCAGGACAGTGGCGGTCAGTGGTTTGGCGGGTGAGGGGTTGGAGCGGTGTGCAGAGGGACTCATACTCTTCATGGCGTTTACAAAGTCTGTGCTGGTCACTGTGATGGACCTCACATCCAACAGCAGCTTCTGAGATGTTCCGTAGATCTGAGGGTATCTGCGACGCAGTGCACACAGAGCCGCCTCCGTGCACACCGCACGGATGTCTGCGCCACAGTAACCTACCACCAGGGAGCAACAGCACTACTATCATACAAGACTTTCAGAAAACCGAGACAAACAGACATCCGTCAGTGCAATAAAAAATAACTGACACTTTGCAGCCGATGTCATCAATATTCACTGGGGATGTGATACTAACTCTACACCCTGCTCTGTCTGAAACTCTCTTAATATGAGCTTTATTTTACCACAATCTGATCACAAAGAACTGACTGAGCTGGAATTAGCTTGATTGTGCTGTTAAACAAGTCCCTCTCAAATAACATTACAAGCACAAGCTAGCTAGCATGAGATAAGAGTTTTTCAGTTGGTCACTCTCACCTTTTTTGTTGAAAATCAAACTCCTAAACAGGACCATGAACATTCTTACTGATGACAGGCTTTACACAGACTATTTTAAAACCTTTCTGACAGTCTTTGCTAATGCGGGCATTGTGTCACCATGGTAACTGTTGAACATTCCATCATAGACTCCCAAAGCATACAAACATCCAAACCTGAGCCCAGACCCTGCTGCAGATTCTGTCTGTTTAAATAAAGACACACTCCAAATGAGGACTGCACAAACGAGTTTGAGCTAAATCTGTTGTAAAGCGTGTCTTCTTTTCTGAGAGTAATGTGTCTGACCAGTTCAAATAAACCAATAAACTAAACACAAGATCAAGTTTCTCACCGACACATTTCTCTGCCAGCTCCTGCAGGAAGTCGTCTGATGGAGCAGGTCTCCACTGACGCGTGTGGATCTTCAGGATCTCAGCACGAGCCTGACACAGAGACAGAGAGAGACAGAGACACAGAGAGAGACACAGAGACAGAGAGACACAGAGAAAGACACAGAGACACAGAGAGAGAGAGACACACACAGAGACACAGAGAGAGACACAGAGAGAGATGCAGAGACAGAGAGAGACAGAGACACAGACAGAGACACAGAGAGAGACACAGAGACAGAGAGACACAGAGAGAGACACAGAGAAAGACACAGAGACACAGAGAGAGACGCAGAGAGAGACACAGAGACACAGAGAGAGACGCAGAGACAGAGAGAGACAGAGACACAGAGAGAGACACAGAGAGAAACCCAGAGACAGAGAGAGACAGAGACACAGAGAGAGACACAGAGACAAAGAGAGAGACACACACAGACAGAGAGAGACACAGAGACAGAGAGACACACACAGACACAGAGACACAGAGACAGACACACACACACAGAGAGAGAGAGAGAGAGAGAGACAGACATAGAGACAGAGAGAGAGACACACACACACAGACACACAGACACAGAGACAGAGAGACACAGACATAGACACAGAGAGACACACACACACACACAGACACACAGACACAGAGACAGAGAGACACAGACATAGACACAGAGAGACACACACAGAGACACACAGACACAGAGAAACACACAGAGACAGAGAGAGAGACACACACATACAGACACACACACACACAGACACAGAGAGAGAGAGATACACACAGACACAGAGACAGAGAGAGAGAGAGAGACACACACACAGACACAGAGAGAGAGAGAGACACACACACACACAGATACAGAGACAGAGAAAGAGAGAGACACAGACAGAGAGAAAGAGTGGCATGAGTTTTTCTCTCAAACAGAATTCAGCAAACAAAAGAAACAAAGCACAAATTGTTTTTGAGGAGGTAGAGACATTCTAACAGGACTGAAGCTCAGGAGAGTCACTTTTGCATAATACAGGATATGATCTCTCTCCAGGTACCTCTCTGTCGGGAAGTCCAAACAGGAACTCTCTGTCGAAGCGTCCTGGCCGTCTCAGGGCGGGGTCGATGGAGTCCAGGCGGTTTGTGGCTCCAATCACGACCACCTCGCCCCGATTGTCCAGCCCGTCCATCAGGGCCAGCAGCGTGGACACGATGGAGCTGAGACACAGAGGACAGGTCTGAGCCGAGAGCCCGGTCAGGAGGACGGGTGCTGGACAGGGATCATGTCTCACCTGTGGATCTGGTCCTGTCGACTGGAGCGAACCGGAGCCAAACCATCAATCTCATCAAAGAATATGATGGAGGGACGCATCTGATAGGCCTGAGCAGAGAGAGACAGAGGGATACAGAAAAGTAAGGGAGAGAGAGCGAGAGAGAGAAAGAAAGAGAGAGACATAGGGATACACAGAGGGGAGAGAGAGAGACAGAGAGATACAGAAAAGTGAGGGAGAGGGAGAGAGAGGCAGAGATACAGAAAAGTGAGGGAAAGAGAGAGGCAGAGAGATACACAGAGGAGAGAAAAAGAGATTCACATGGAGAGTAGAGAAAGAGAGATAGAAAGAGAGATACACAGAGGAGAGAAAGAGAGAGAGATAGAGATACACAGAGGAGAGAAAGAGAGATACACAGAGCAGAGAAAGAGAGATAGAGATACATAGAGGAGAGAAAGACAGATACACAGAGGAGAGAAAGAGAGATTCACATGGAGAGTAAAGAAAGAGAGAGCGAAAGAGAGAGATAGAGATACATAGAGGAGAGAAAGAGAGAGAGAAAGAGAGATACACAGAGGAGAGAAAGAGAGAGAGGAGAGAGAGAGAGACATGGAGATAGAGACAGGAGAGAGAGACATAGAGATAGAAAGAGGAGAGAGAGTGTGTAGGATGTGTCTGTCGTGCTTGTGTCTGTGCCTTTAACCCACAGTATAAATGAGTATGAGACAGTCTAGTCACAGTCACCTGCTCGAACAGCAGGCGCAGCTGTCTCTCAGACTCGCCCACCCACTTGCTCAGGACGTCTGCTCCTTTCCTCATGAAGAAGGCCACTTTGCGAGAGCCCTGACTGCACTCAGAGGCCAGAGCCCGCGCCACCAGGGTCTTCCCTGTGCCCGGGGGCCCGTAGAACAAGCAGCCTCTGAGGAGAGGAGGAAACAGGGTAGAGCTTCAGTTCTGACCTGAGCGCCTGAGAGAGGAGAGGTCACAGTAGCTCTTGATGTATAACTCCTAACCTTATATATCTGATTACTCTGCACTGTTTTACTTTATTTTTATATTTTATTCTATTTTTATTTATATATATATACATTTACTGTATTTTCCGGGCTATTAGGTGCTCTGGATTATAAGGCGCACTTGGGGACACCCAAGTGGATTCGTGTATAGGGCGCTCTGGATTGCGGGGTGTGAGGACGTTTTTTGATGGGGTTAGAGGCTTAAGAGCGCGTCTAATAGCCCGGAAAATACGGTATATAATTATGCCTTATTTGACACCATTCTCTTGCTATTTTTGCTACTTATTTAAAATGTACTATTATATTTTTCTCTTTATTATTACAATATACTGTGATGTGTAAGCTAATGTATCCAAATCATTTCCCATTCATTAAAGTTTGTCTAAGTCTGAGTTTTACTGCGGAACATTTCCTCACAGTAGAACAGAGAGAGGTATGGGGTGACTGTGTCTGACCTGGGCGGCTGGATCTTGAAGTTGTCGAAGACCTCGGGGTAAAGCAGAGGAAACACCACCATCTCCTTCAGAGCAGAGATGTGTCCAGACAGACCCCCGATGCTGTCAAAGCCCACCTGACAGACCGACAGGGGAGACAGGGGAGATAGACCTGAGTGGGCTGCAAGTGTCCAATTGAATTTGAAATCAGAATTCTCCATAAACAACCAAATCTCCTGTCTTACTCTGCATTAAAGTCACTAATCCTGTAGTTTAGATCTGTAAAAACATGTTCTGAAATGTGATTCTTGTATCAGTTTGTCAGTTCACCTTTCAATCTTTTTGTCAATTGTAAATCTAATCACAATTAAAATGCTTGTCAGAAAAATCATACATACATACTTTTCCCAAATCGATCAGCCGTACACCAGACCAGAAAGACAGGTGAGACAGAGCCAGGGGTCAGGGGTGTGTGTCAGGGGGCGGGGTCACTTACTGTCTGGTCGATGGCCATGGGATCAATGTCTGCAAGTCCGGCCCCAGAGCTCAGTTTGTCTCGCCGTGTCCCGAGGAGGTTCAGGTTCAGAGGGCGACACCTGGAGGATACAGAGGGAGATGTCACAGGTCTGACACACAGGGTGACTGTAGGGTCAAAGGTCATGAAGTGTCAACCTGGCCATGGCACTGTGAATGTCCGAATCATCCGAGTCTTCTCCTGAGTCGGCTTTGTTCACCCAGGGAGACGGAGTGGGTCTGTTAGAGGAGACATGGGGTTAGAATGTTAACCCGGTGCATTAAAGTCTGTATCTGATTTTCATTGTCTTAAAACTGTGAAAAACAGAACCAGTTCATTATCAAACAATTTGCAGTGGTCCAAAGTTCTTCCTTACTTACCTTATGAATTCTCAGCATCCTAATTATTCACCCAGGTTATAAGCACTTTTCACAAATTTCAGAGACCAGAGCAGAGTTTTGTTGTGGCAATGAAGCTAACAACAACTAACATGGTAACACACACCTCCTGATTCTATGCACTATTCTAATTTAATGCAGAGAGTACACGGCAGACTTATTTTGAGCTCAATAGCTGCTTATACTATATATCTATACTGGAGCAAGACACATTTGGTCAAATAAATGAAAAAAATCTGGTACAGGATGTTCAAACGTTACATTTAAACTGTAAATAAAAAAAGTGTAGAAACACAGACTGGCCTCTGACCTGAAGCTTCCTCTTCGTGGGATGTTTGGACCTGAGGCGCTGATCCGGAAAGTGCCTCTGAACAAATCTGAACCAAACAAAACACAGGAGTCAGTCTCAAACATTGGAGAGGTCCTATGTACAACTCTGGCTCATACTGACTTGAAGATCGTGGCCCGTCTCTCTGTAAATACAGCACTGAGCCTCTTTATGTTGGTCTTAAAATGTTCTTATTAACCCGCTCTAAGTCATCCTGGTATTTTTATTTCACAATTTTGTCTGTTAAATAAATCCTATTGCTCATACAGGATACGAAGCCTGGCTCCAAATTCGCCCCTGTATTTGTGAGCATCCCAGACTTCATATGAGTGGAGCCGAGCGCTGTGGGTGACGTCACACTCACTTGGTGCACTTCGTTATACAGTCTATAGTGTGTACGTGTGTGTGTTCAGTTCTGACCGTTGGCTCCGACCTGTGTCTGTGGTGTGAGTGTGTGTGTATCCAGTTCTGACCGTTGCCCCCGGCATTGTAGAGAGACGAGGCACGGCTGGTTTTGGCGTCCACACTCTGACCACAGTCGCTGTCCTGGTCCTTGACAGGCTCTGCCTCTCCTCCAACAAACAACAAGAATCATTTTGACATTAAACTGTCAATAGTACAATACAAAATATGACTATTATTGTACACTTTTGAAGGCCCAGGCACATGGAGAACATGCAAACATAGTGGACGCACCATTGACCTGCTCAGTGTCGGAGAGCTGAGGGGGCAGCGGCGTCATGCTCCTCTGGGCTTTGGAGTAGATCTTCTGCACAAACACAAAGGTTTTAATTGTAATGCTTACTTATGCTTAAATACAAAAAATATATTTATGCTATAATTTTGTGTTTTCTTGTTAAAGAAGATTATCCAGTCAGAAAACAGAATGAGCCTCACATGAGTCTCTTGGGTTGCCAGTTCAATGCTGAAATCCAGTTTGCTTAAAGCTAAAATGTCTCTCTCTGACCTGAATGGTCACTACTTAAACACCAGCCCCTGCAGCCAGTCATGACTCAGTGCTAGTGCAGCCTCTGCAGCTCAGGCAGGGAATTCTGGAGGTCCTGAGCTTCACCTCAGGTCTGTCCATAAACTGAGAATGAGACAATCTTGAATGTGTCTCTATCTGCAGGTGAATGCTCTGGGGACACAGGTTAGTTGTGACAGGAGTAGAGTTTTGAAACAGTAAGAGGCAGGACACCTCCTTTAAGGCCGTGTGGATGTAAACATGTGGTGTGTGGTGGGAACATAAACAGCCGTATGTGAGTGGCTGATAGAGGCCCACAGCGAAACGCCCTGACACTCAGCTGATAAGACCTGAGAGTCTAACCCACAACCTCCAACTGAGGGGAGACAGGATAACCACTCTGCAACAGTAACACAGTAAAAACATGCACACTCCACTCAGAGAGATCAGGAGTCTAACCCACAACCTCCTCACTGAGAGGAGGAGGGGATAAGCACTCTACCACACTCACTCCTTCTCTGCTGGTCGCAAGGCGTTTCTTGTTCTTCATCTCGTTGACCGTCTTGAGCACCGACCGCACAGTGCTGCACACGACACAAACACAGGTCAAACACAGGTCAAGCTCAGGTCAGAGGGCACAGGTCAAACATTAGCCTCATTCCCACATGCAGCTGAACCCAAGAATTTTCCTGCATTTTGCCAGAACAGAGTCATGTGTGAACAAAACCCAAATGCCACATTTTAATAGAAACATTGTTTGAATGAGACTTAAACTGTTATGGTCATTTTGATTGTTGTTTTATTGTGTTATGGCGTTTAATGGTGTGTTATGTCATGTTACGGTGTGTTATGGTGTGTTATGGCGTGTCATGGCGTGTTATGGCGTCTTATGGCGTCTTATGGTGTGTTATGGTGTGTTATGTCGTATTATGTGTGTTACGGTGTGTCATGTAGTGTCATGTAGTGTCATGGTGTGTCATGGTGTGTCATGTAGTGTCATGTAGTGTCATGTAGTGTCATGGTGTGTCATGTAGTGTCATGTAGTGTCATGGTGTGTCATGGTGTGCTTTGTAGTGTTGTGGTGTGTTATGTCGTGTTATGTCGTGGTCATTTTGATTGTTGTTTTATTGTGTTATGGCGTTTAATGGTGTGTTATGTCATGTTATGTCGTGTTATGTCGTGTTATGTCGTGTTATGTCGTGTTATGGTGTGTTATGGTGTGTTATGGTGTGTTATGGTGTGCTTTGTAGTGTTATGTCTAGTGCTGTCATGTGATTAAAAAAATTGAGAGATTAATTAATTATGATCTGTAATTAATTAATCTAATTAATCTCATTTTAATCTCACCTAAAATTGCTGAGAAAAGCCTTCAATTTGAGGTATTTTCATTTAAATTCATTATTACATTATTGTGGCAGATCAAAAGACTGATATAAATTAAAAAAAAGTGACTTTATAAAGTCCTTTATTGTTTAACAAATCTCTCCAATTTGGCTGTTGAGCCCAAGTCTCCATGAATAAGAAACTGTTTGCTGTAAAGTAGCAAAGACGAGGAAATCTGAACATAATAACTTTTGTCTACTTAAAGACAATAAAAAGTCCAGTCTTTCCTTAACCATATTAAAAATATTATTGATAGAGAAATGCTTTATATATGAGATCACTGGCTTTAGTCCTGGTTTAGACCTGGTTTAGACCTGCTTTAGTCCTACTTTAGTCCTAGTTTAGTCCTAGAATGGATTAATCCTGGTATTAGTCCTGGTGTTAGTTCTGGTTTAGTCCTGGTTTAGTCCTGGTTTAGACCTGGTTTTAGTTCTGGTTTTAGATCTGGTTTAGTCCTGGTTTAAACCTGGTTTAAACCTGGTTTTAGTTCTGGTTTTAGTTCTGGTTTAGTCCTGGTTTAGACCTGGTTTAGACCTGGTTTTAGTTCTGGTTTTAGTTCTGGTTTAGTCCTGGTTTAGTCCTGGTTTTGTCCTGGTTTAGACCTGGTTTAGACCTGGTTTAGACCTGGTTTAGACCTGGTTTAGTCCTGGTTTAGTCCTGGACTGGATTAGTCCTGGTTTTAGTCCTGGTTTTAGTCTTGGTGTTAGTTCTGGTTTAGAGGCGCACAGGAGGAAGCGCGGTTTACGCAGCGTACGCGAGAAAACACGATCCACACGAGGCTCACGGGAGCACGTCGGTGTCCGCGCAGTGTCTACGGAAGGAAACGTGGTCCGCGCGTTCTCAGGTTAATGACGATGATGAAGGTGTGTGTTTGTGTGTGTTTGTTTGTGTGTGTTTGTGTGCGTGTCCCCTCATGTGGCAGGTCACTATAGGACAGTAGTGCAGACATCATGAGCCTATGCAGGTTGTTTTCACCAGTGACATTTAAGTTGTAGGAGATTTTATATTTGTTATTTTCTTTTATATTTCACGTCAGGAGAATAATTTCCAAGACACAAATGCGTTCTTACCTGTGCACTGCTGCCTCTGTTCTACTGGCTCTTCCACCTCGTCCATTGCCACGCCGCCAACGTGAACATGACGTTTACATCACTCTTACTGCGCGCGTTTTGTGTGGGTTTCCAGCAATGAGTGGAATTACCGAAATAAAAAAAATGTATAAATTTGTTTTTGTGTGTGTGTGTGTGTTGTTGTCTCAACAACACATAAAAACAGGTTTTATAATAAAGCAACTCGCATACAGAAACAGTAAAGTTAGAGATTAAAAATTAGATCAACGCGATTAAAAAACATAACGCGCTAAATATGACTGTAATTAATTAATCGCAATTAACGCGATAATTTGACACCCCTAGTTATGTCGTGTTATGGTGTGTTATGGTGTGCTTTGTAGTGTTATGTCGTGTTATGGTGTGTCATGGTGTGTTATGTCGTGTCATGGTGTGTCATGTCGTGTCATGGTGTGTTATGGTGTGTTATGGTGTGCTTTGTAGTGTTATGGTGTGTCATGGTGTGTTATGGTGTGTTATGTCATGTCATGGTGTGTTATGTCGTGTCATGGTGTGTTATGGTGTGTCATGGTGTGTCATGGTGTGTTATGTCGTGTCATGGTGTGTTATGTCGTGTTATGGTGTGTTATGGTGTGTTATGTTGTGTCATGGTGTGTCATGTCGTGTCATGGCGTGTCATGGTGTGTCATGGTTTGTTATGTCGTGTCATGGTGTGTCATGGCGTGTCATGGCGTGTCATGGTGTGTCATGGTGTGTTATGTCGTGTCATGGCGTGTCATGGTGTGTCATGGTTTGTTATGTCGTGTCATGGCGTGTCATGGTGTGTTATGGTGTGTCATGGCGTGTCATGGTGTGTCATGGTGTGTTATGGTGTGTCATGGCGTGTCATGGTGTGTCATGGCGTGTTATGTCGTGTCATGGCGTGTCATGGTGTGTTATGGTGTGTCATGGCGTGTCATGGTGTGTCATGGCGTGTCATGGCGTGTCATGGCGTGTCATGGCGTGTCATGGCGTGTCATGGCGTGTTATGGCGTGTTATGGTGCTGGTTCTGACTTGGTGCTGAGGCCATCAAACATGTTGGATGTCTGGTTTCTGTTGGTGATTCTGGAGCTCCTCCTCAGGCCTTTCACTGGAACAACAAAGGCAATTCAAATTTCTCTGTTCACTTCATCACATTTTTTTAAAAATTGATTGATCCCATTTTTCAGTTTAATTTTGTCTTCTAGTTTCCTGACCACAAACACAGCAGGCTTTGGTAACACTTTAGTTTCGGGAGCACATATTAATAGCTGCTTATAGTCAAATACATGAAGTGCTTCATTACATTTTTGTTAGTATTTATAAAGTACTTTCAGTGCATTTTTGTCTAAGGCCGTATTTTGCAAGTTTGCTTCCCATTAAAGCAGTGGGGATAACAATACATGTTTTGTACACACACTGAAATCTTAATAAGCATTAATAAATAATAATAACAACTGATTAATAGCTCTGTAACAGCAAATTAGCATACCAATTACCACTTAGATAGCGTTTAATTGTGGTCCCTAAACCAGTGTTTCCCAAACTTTTTTGGGGGGGGTCCATATTTTTAAAGTCACAAACCTTCTTGACCCATGTCCACAGACATTATTTGTAAATCACAAAATAAAGGTGGATTTGAGCATTATTGAACATTAATGAGGATATTTTTTTGTTGACTGAGTGATTGTGTCTCTGAACAATTAGTTTTACTCAAGTTTGAAACAATGAAAAACCGTCAATGAAGCAGCAGTAAAAGGATCCATAAGTGGTCTGCTTGGATATTAAATGTAGAACATTTCTTTTTCTTTTCAACATTCAATTGAACCAGCAATATTGGAACAAAATACTCAATAAAATAATTACAAAAATATTAGAAATGATACAAAACATGTCTTAACATCTGAACATGTGTCAGCCCTACATGTAGATTGTGACAAGTCAACCCCAAAAAAATCTCTTGCAACCTGAGGGTCGTGACCCAGTCTTTGGGAAACAATGCCCTAAACTACATTGTCACATCGGCTTTGAATTTGTGCCATTAAACAAAAAATAATTTCTTCCTCCTCAGTCTTATGTCTTGTCTGCTCCAAACCAGTCTTTTCCTCACAGAGGACTGGCTGGAGAAAAACAAAACAGAGCTAATCACAGAACATTAGAGTTTTATTCATATGTCTTGAACAGTTCTGCATCACTGTACTGCCTGCAGCAGAGAACAAGCAGTGGACAAAAGGATCTGGGTTTGAGAGTTCAACTTTCACTTACATTTGGCATTCTGAATCCTCAGAGATTTCCTGAAAGACACAAATCAAACGTTTAGTGGGGCCAGTTACATTTATGAGCAGTGCAAAACAGAAAAATTCTAAATGTGAATATTTAGATAAAAGTGTATACAACAACTTTTATTTAGCTGTGCTCCTTTTGGGCCAACAGCACCAGCCTGATAAGATGATTCTGGCTTTGTCCATCACCTGTGTCCACTCTGGTCCAGTGCAGGTCTCAAGGTCGCATGGGTTTTATATTTGCTTTGTGAGGTTCTGCAGCTAAATGTGTTCCCACCTTCCAAAATGGGCTTTAACTGTTATGTGGATGATTCAGAATCCACCTCTAGCGAATAAACTTTCATGCCAGTTAAGGCAATATTTGTGCATTTCCAACTTCTTGTTTATTTAACAGGAACAATGCACATAAACAATTATAATGTAATTGTACAGATTAGAGCAAAATTGTCAATTCCCACCTTCAGTCTCTGGACAGACTGCTGTCATAAACTGCACAAATGCCATTAAAATACAGTGTATATCAATCATACACACAGTCAGTCAGTAAGTAAAAGCATTCAGCTTCAGTCGGCACATCCAGGCACTTTGTACATGTGTACAGCTCCTGTTGCTGCATTCAGACAAGGCAGTTGAGTGTAGGGGGGTTTGGTCAGACGCCATACTTGGTCAGGCGTGGACACATTTTATCACTTATGGGAATCGTCAAAGTGTGCATTAAAAATAAGGTGATGGAAACACAACTGATAGTAAACACTAAAGAGTGCTCCGACCTGATGACTGAGGCCTGGACCTTCAGCTCCTCGTGGTCCTCAGACTCACTGTAGCTCATCTCATCATCTGATTCTGTGCCCTGGAAAACAACACCAAGGAGAGGCCAGATTAGACAATGACACTCATATCGATGTTCTTGCAGAAAAGAGCTCTTTAAGGTGGAACCCGCAGACTGTACAGTCTACAGTGGAACTCCATACACAGAGGTTCTGAGCACTCTGGAACGGGCTGGTCTTCATGCAGATGTTTTTGCTCTGTCTGGAATGTTTCACAGCTTGGTATTAAACGTGTCTATCTGTCTTACATTTGTTCAGTTACATGTGTTTTAATTTACAAAAAGACCTTCAAAACTTGTGGTGAGTGGGTTTGCCTTTCCACAGATCTGCAGTTTGAGACAGACAAGTCTATTCATGTTTTGTCCTCTTTTGTATTGTTTAAAATGACCTTATTTTTTGCTTTAGTCTTATTTTAAATCTGACTGAGGCTCATTTTAGACTATTTTGACCAATCACTCCTTTTAATTCTGTTGGTAAAGATTTGTCAGAGTGTGTGGTTCTGGCTGGGTAGGTGAGCTTAGACCTGGTGGTACCTGGTGGAGACGAACACTGCTACCCCAGTACTGTAGTACTCTGAAGTACTGTAACAGAATATGAATCACTCTGTGGAACCCACTTTGCTGCTGTTTGTGTTTCTGTGAACTGTTCAGAAGCACAGTCACAGATGTAACAGTTGCCCTTTAGTTTATTGTGTTCAACTTGAGGCGTGTTGTGTTTAAATGTATTTTCTAATATTAATTTATTAATCTATCACAGTTGACAATTGTGGGACAAGGAAAGATTCTGTTATAAAGTCACATATGTGCTGAGAAAAGTTTGAGAAGCAGTGTAAAAGTAATTCTAGACCATGTTTAAGACTATTATGATGAAATAGTCCGAAATAGAATGTGTTATATTTGAACATGGTAAGTTGTCTCTACATGATTTGGTTCATAATAAAATAAATAAAACAGGTTCTCTTACATTGGCCTCTGGCTCGAGTCCGGAGGAGGCGTCCATCCCCCGGGCGTTAGTCTGAGTCTTGGCCGGGCTAGAGACTCCTTTTCCCGGTCTGCTCTGCGGCTTCGTCCCGACCATCACCATGGCAACGGCCTCGCTCACCGTCGCTCAACAGTCCCACACCGACTCCACAATCTCCAATAAAACCGCGGATTTACCTGTAAAATGAGCGAACAGTTGGCTCTAACGTGGTTTTAAATGTCTCCTGCTCTGAGTGAAAAATCCACGGGAGTTTAGAGCCGCAGCAAAACAGAAAACACCCAAAAAACACCGCGATAACGTGATAAAAGTAGCAGAGATAAGAAGAAGCGTCCTGTCGCCGCCTGCTGACGTCACCGCGTCAGGACCATGTGCGGCCTATGGCCAGAACAGAAAGGACAAGAAAGAAATGATAAAAGAAATATATAATAGAGAAAATATTACCGAGACAGGATTTATCTGCATCACTGCAAACGCAGACGTAACATCGTGGCTCTATTATGGCTCAAATCTGAACTGTTCTTGAAAATGTGTGAAGCTTTTGCCTCTGACTGAAAGCACAATATCTACACTCTACTTTCTTTTAAGTTAAATATTATTGTGATTATTTGTCTTTCTGTTTGTCTCAGTTTTGTGATTATAAAGTCTTATTCTTTGAATTACTTTATGTACAAAAACTGTGTGGAGCACAGTTTAATATGAATATTCCAAAGTCATGGTCAATATGAACCTTTTTGTCTATTTTTGGCTCTGATACAAAAATAACTTGGTTGAAAATTATTTTACAAAAGCAAATAAAACACAGCCAACACTGTATTTATTACTTTACAACATTCATTAGAGTAAATGTAGAACACTCAAAACCATAAAGTTACCAACAGAAATCCACTTTTGTATTTTATTGAAGTGGAAACAGGCAGAGGCTCCCTCACATGTGAACTGCTTCAGAGATGTCATGATGCATTTGGATCTAGAGAAAATGAGACACTCTTTACAGGGTCAGGAAGATAAATTTAACAGGATATGGTCACCTTTTATTAGCTTATTTAAAGAAGGTATTTAAACTCCTATTTAAGTCCAAGCTATATGATGGACTTGTAATATGCACCTGTTCAACTTATACACTTTGGTGAAATATTATTACTTTTTGTCTGTGTGAATGTTCAGTTGCTTTTATTTTATTTAAGTTTTTTTATTATTATTATTATTACTATCAACATACAATATTTATAATCTAAAAGGGTCCTAAGATATTATATTAACAAATATAATGACATGTATATTTCTGTATACTTTGCTTGAAAGGCTGATTCATCTTTTTGACATGTCTGATGTCTTATTTTATGGACTGGCACTGTGTCTTGGATGTCAAAAACACAATAAACAGAGTATTAAAAAAAAAGAAATCCACTTTTGTTTTCTGTTGAACAGTAAAAGAACAGCACATACCTTCAGTCGACTGTAACACAGATTCAGGATTTAAACATGACTATGGTAAAAAGACTGAAGAAAAATATTTACAAATGAAAAAGTTTTTTTCATGACAAAATGTAAAATCTTTTTGAGCCGTTTGGCTGATTTAAAACCTCCAAAACGTAAGTGTTTTTAGTCCAAACTGATTTTAGTGCTCAGAGTTCGTCCCTGTTTCACTAAGGAAGTTCAGATAACTCTGGTTTAAGAGTTAACGCAGGGTTAACCTCCCCCGAGACAAACTCAGAAAAATCAGAGTTTTCTGTTTCATGAAACAGGTTTGGAGCGGAGTTAGAAAACTCAGAGTTAGTAATCCCTGAGTTCAGCAGGGGACATAAGCCTTGATCAATGAATCCCAGAAAAGGAGATTCACCATGACAACAGTAAACCACAAAGTCTAAAGTTTAATATAAAAGAAATGTGGAGGAGCACATGGTTCAACTTCTCTATTTTAGTATGAACCAGGCCTACATCATTTTGTTGCAGTGTACTTAGATAAAAATGTTTAAATGATCTTATTGATGATCTGATTTTAATATCTGATTTTAAATTAAATTAACCAATTACAATTTATTTGTTAATCTAAGCTGTTGAGGATTGTAGCTCATGTATCCGAAATAAATTAAATTTTAAAAGTGAACATGAATTAAAGTATGATCCACGGATCTAAAGATTTACACTCCCCAACACACTGCAGAAGGTGACGACTGATCAGGCTTTAACTACACACAAGTGTCCTGGTCCAGACCTGCTTTAATCCTGGTCCAGTCTCGGTTCTGATCTTTTGTCAATAAGTAGTTTCAGTCCCACTTGAGTACTGCTTTAGGCCCAGTCTAGTCCATCTTTAAATCTGGTTCAGACCCGGTTCAGTCCCAGACTTCAGTCGATGCTGCAGTAGATGAGGCTGGTACCTTCTGGCTCCTGGTCGGTGTGGACTTGTTGATGATCCTTCAGGTCCTGTTTGTTAGTGAACGTCTTGTCACAGTCTGAACAGCTGAAGGAGTTCCGTCTGCTGTGGATCTTCATGTGAGCCTGGAGGTGGTAGTTCCTGGAGAAGCTCTGACCACAGACTGAGCACCTGAAAGGTTTCTCCCCAGTGTGGACTCGGATGTGGCGGCGCAGGTTGGACGGACAGGTAAAGGCTTTGCTGCAGAAAACACAGAAGTGACACAGCTTTTTTCTCTTCTCGCATTTGGCGAGAGGTGGAGCGGGCACAACATCTGCCAGATAACTGCTGCCGTCACCGCTCTGGTGTTTGGTCATGTGACGCTCCAGGCTACTGCTGCTCTTCATGGAGATGCCACACACTGAGCAACTGAAAGGTTTGTCCCTGTGCACGGGGATGTGCCGTTGGAGGTGATAGACCGAGGCAAAGCCTTTGCCACACATGGTACAGAAGTGCCTCAAAGACACAACTCTCCTGGAGCCCGCAGATATGACAGTGCCCTCCTCTGGACCGCGGGGGCTCTTTAAGCACCTGTGTTTGATCTGGGACAGCGCAGCGCCCTCCTCAGGACACTGGGGGGTGTTGTTCTTCAGGCTCTTGTGTTTGGACATGTGGCGCTCCAGGTTACTTTGGGTTTTTGTTGACAATCCACAGACCGAGCAGCTGAAAGGTTTGTCCTTGGAGTGGACGACCATGTGAGTCTTGAGATGGTCTTTCCGGAAAAACTTCTTCCCACACACTGAACAGCTGAAAGCCTCATCCGAGTGGATCCTCATGTGCCGCTTCAGTTCATAACTCCACTTGTACTTTTTATCACAGAACAGGCAGATGTGAGCACCACCTGCAGGAGGCGGAGGAGCTGTAGTCTCGGGGCAGGCCTGGGATAGGTCCTGGGATAGGTCCTGGGACAGGTCCTGGGATAGGTCCTGGGATAGGTCTTGAGATAGGTCCTGGGGCAGGTCCTGGGGCAGGTCCTGGGGCAGGTCCTGGGGCAGGTCCTGGGGTAGTGGGGAAGTTTCTTCCTCCTCAGTCTTTACACTACTCCCGTCCTCCTCCATCTCAGACTCTGGAACACAACAGTGAACAGTCACATCAGTTTATTAGGTGAATCTGTCCATATGCTGGACTGTAGGTAATGAGACTTTTGTAGTATCAATACCTGCTCAAATGAGTTTCTAATTTCAACACTACAGTGCACAAAAAAATTAAAGAAACACTTTTAAGACACATCTAATCTCAGTGTGAAAAAAATTTATTAGATATTTATACAAATATGCACAGGACAATGTTTTAGGAACAAAGACGCCACCTCATTTAATGCAAATGAACAACAAGAGCAGATGAGTGGCACCGATGAGACAAGCAGAACTGGTTTTGCGTGTGGAGGCCATTTCAAGTTTCTCCCTCTTGGTCTTTTTTGGTTGGTTTTCCTCAAGTGCTGATTTGCCTACACTGATCATCATTACTGGGAGTATGAGGCTGTTCCTTAACCCTACAGAAGCTGTACAGATTGTCCAACTTCTCCAGGATGGCACGTCTGGACAGGCCGTTGCAAGGACATTTAATGTGTGTCCCTGCACAATCTCCAGAACATGAGAACAGGAGATTTCAGGAGACAGGCATTTAGCAGGACAGGGCAATAGAAGGTCCTCAACCCATCAGCAAGACCCATATCTGCTCCTGTGTGCCTGAGCCCTACAGAATGACCTCTAGCAGACCACTGGTCTGAATGTCTCTGCCCAAACAGTCACAAACACTCTTCATGAGGGTGGCTTGAGGGCGTCCTGTAGTGGGCCCTGAGCCCAGCACCCAGCACTGTGGAGCTCCATTGGCATTTCCTAGATGACAACAGAATTGGCAAGTCCACCACTGGTGCCCTGTGCTTTTGACAGATGAGAGCAGGTTCACCCTGTGCACCTGTGAAGAGTCTGGAGAAGATAAGGAGAATGCTGTACTGCCTGCAACATGGTTCAGCATGAGAGGTTTGGTGGTGGGTCAGTGATGTTCTGGGGAGGTAGATCCATAGAGGGACTCCCAGACCTCTACCAACTAAAAACACCCATCTGACTTCCATTAGTTATCAGGATGAAATCCATGAACACACTGTCAGACCCTGTGCTGGTGCAGTAGGTCCTGGATTCCTCCTGGTGCACGACAATGTCCAGCCTCATGTGGCAAGAGTCTGCAGGCAGAACCTGGATGATGAAGGGATTGATACCGAATGGCCCTCACGATCACCTGACCTAAACCCAACAGAACACCTCTGGGACATTATGTTTGGGTCCATCAGACACTGTCAGGTTACTCCTCAGACTCTACAGGAGCTCAGTGATGCCCTCACACAGATCTGAGAGAACATCCTACATGACACCATCCATCATCTCATTAGGATGTTGTCAAACCTGCATAGAAGCATGAGGGGGCCATACAAGAGAAGCATTTTGAGTTGCAGAAATTAAATATTGGGAAAATGGACTGTCCTGCCACATCATTATTTCACTTTGATTCAAAGTGTTTATAAAATAAAACCCTCTATAAGATGAAAATTGTATTTCCATTAAAAGAGGTGGCGAGTCCAGGTCCTGGCCTTCCTCACAGGGGGCGCTCTGATCCTTGGACGATTCCTGTGGAGTGAGTGTCTCCTGTACCTGAAGGGGGCGCCGTCTCCTCTGGCTTCACATAGAGCTGTACTGTGATGACGTCACTGCCTGACTCTTCAGAGTGGGATGGTTCTGGCTCTGGCTCTGGCTCCTCTTTAATGGAAAACAATAAAACATGTGATGACATTTGATTTGAACTCTGTGTGGTGTTAACTGCTCACAAAGAAGGTTTGTATCAAATCTGTACAAAGACATTTGTAATAACAACAGGCAGAACTCGATCAAGTTATGAACTCCATGAAATCAAGAAATTCACCTGGAAATGACGGACTAACTGTAGGATTTTATATTTGTTTTTGGGCCTTCATTAAAAATCTGTGACTGTTTGTACTGAATGAGTGCCTCAAAAGACCAGAAATGTCAACAACAATGAAGCAGGGGATTATATCACTAATACCAAAAACTGGAAAAGATAAATCAATAATTGAAAACTGGAGACCAACCTCCCTACTAAATACAAACAATAACATTTTAACTAAAATACTTCCTAACAGACTCATAAAATATTTACCAGCGTATAAGCTCAAATAACAGACTGGTGCTCGACCTTATTGATTACTCTGGTCTCAGAAATTCTGAGGCTCCTCTGCTATTTCCAGATTTTTATAAGACATTTGATTCAAATGAAAACTCATTTATATTACATGCCCTTAAAATCCTTGGATATTTGGATCAGTCTTACTGTACCCAAGTGTTTTTCCTTCATATCTCGAGTAATCATGAGGTTAAAGGTCAAACTGTATTCCATAGAAAAGAAATCTGGTCTTGTCAATTCACAAATAACTTCTGGAAACGTGTCACAGCTCCTGTCTTGTATCTTTGGTTGCAAATGCAATTTTTATTTATCTACTGAAGACATAATAAGATATCTACAACTCAACAATAATGAACTAAATCGTATCACCATCCTAATTCTAATTAGAAAATTCTATATAGACAATTCAAAATTCCCTGAAACTCCCATCAAATTTGATCTTTTTTTGAATTGGCCTAAACATTTATACAGAGACTATTCAAAATATGAGGAATAAAAAGGACTGTAGAATACTTCACCACAAACTAAATCATACTAAACTAATCATATCTTTTCTGTTGTTCTCCTTTATTATCTTTTTCTTTTGCTTCCTTATTTTGAAAGCTGTTAATACCTATTTGTTAAATATTTGCAAAACAATTTGTACTTAAACATTTAAACATTTCTGTCATGTGTTTTGTTAATTCCTTGTGTCCTTCAATTTTAAATTAAAGCCGCGCGCGGCGATGGTGGCCCTCGCCCCGGGCACGCACCGCCCCCCCATGCGACCTCCGGGGACTCGCGACCGCCCCGGCACGCCACCAGAAAAATGACATAGTGTACCTTTAAAATTGGATAAAGTGAATGATTCTAGAGACAAACTGTAGACACTAAGCCACAGGTCACGTGACTTTAATGGTCAAGAGCACTGTCACACTAAGACTAAGTGCATGAAAACACATCCTCCACCAGAAAAGTTACATATTGTGGCTTTAAATTTCTCAGAAGTGAAATTATTCGAGAGGCCAAAGTGTAAAACTAGGGCATAGGTCTTACTGACTTTTATGATGAGGAGTACGTCAGTGAATGTTTTGGCAAAGTTTTACAAATGAATGTAAAACTAATTTTATGTCACACAATAATAAATTGTGTGCATTCATATAGGTGGTGCTGTATCCCTGATAACTGTATTTGACATATCAATGGAATAAGGGTCATGCAGTGTATAACTGATAGAAATGTCATCACAATCGGACAAAACATGTGCATATAATAATTTTTACAATATTTTTTGGAGGATTCTCTGTGCCCCTGCTGGCCAACCGTGAAAAATACACCATGACTGTAATAGACATTTTTGCTTATAATCATGCATAGAATTTAAAGGTTTTATGGAGGATTTTTTTTTGTTTCAAGTTGTCAATGATAGCATTATAGAGATGCAGTAGCCTTGTAATTATGATGACCAAAAAAAAGAGAATAAAAATTCATCAACTCTGGACGTGGTGGGGCTAAACATTTGCCAATAGATATCGACACTGCCTCGTTATCTGTTAGCTGACAGGCTGTCAATCAATCTCCCTACGTTTCTAGCGTAACTGACTTGCCTGCGCGCTGCCGGTACGTGGTTTACGTACGCCTGTCACGCAGTCCACAGACGCAAGCCGCACAGACGCTGTTTACTCCACCAACGCAACAGTTCTTAGCGGCTTTTTTTGACCTATATCTTCCTCGCAGTTCGCACAAAGTTTGTTGCAATGGCAGACAAGAATCCAGGAGCAGTTCACCGCAAAAGAAAGTCCGTTTTTGAGGTCGCTGAAAGAAGAAGACAAGGGGAAAAGCAGCGAAGCCAAACTAAGGTGATTCTTGAAGATTCATTCCAGCGATGGCGCGACTGAAGCAGACGCAGGGTCTAAAGACTGTCGCACTGGTCGCCAAATTACTCCTGGACAGGTCACTTCTGCTTATTATGAAAACGTACTTTATTTCCAAGAGCTAGACAAACGTTTTTCAGGACACGAAAGCGATATCCTATGTCTGAAAACGTAATTTTCAAGGCAAAGAAAGAGTCCGCTTGCTGCTGCGTGTTGTAGCTAGTTCATTCGCACGGAATCTCCGCGCAACCTTTTCTGCACCCCTTTCCTGCTCCTGTCCCCGCTGCCCGTTCCGCTCTTCCCCCTGCTCCTCACTTCTCCGGGCACGGAATCTCCACGCACCGCTCCCCTCTCCCCTCTCCTCTCTCCTCTCCCTGCTCCTCACTTCTCGTCCACGAACGAAATGTCCGCACACTCCTCACTTCTCCGTCTTGCCTAACCAACACTGTAGTTAGTTGTTTACAAGTCATGTGCAGCGCACCGGCTGTAAACAAACCAGTTTCTGGCGTAAAGAGGAGGCGGGAGGAGGCGTTTCTACGTAGGGAGCTGTAGGGGAGGGGGGGTGGTTTCACGCATGCGCAACATTTGAAAAAGGACAAACAGTCGCTGGATTTCTCGTTCCTTGGAAAATCCTCTATACAACCTTTAACCCCCGACTTTGGTCCAAGTTTGATAATGTTGACATTTCATGTCTAAGGTAGGGGGCGCTATACTGTTCACTTTTCATATGTTTTATAGTTTATTATATTCAGACCAATATCTCGCATTAGTGATTCAAATTTCAGCACAATTGAACTAAGCATGTCCCTGTAATAATTTTAAAAATATTTTTTGGGGGATTCTTTGCACCCCTACTGGCAAACCGTGAAAAATGCATCATGTCCGTAATAGACTTTTTTGCTTTTCATCATGCATAGAATTTAACTTCCGAATTTGGTCCAAATCCGATAATGTTGACGTTTCATGTCTATGCTAGGGGGCCCTATAGAGTTCACAGTTCATATATTTTATAGTGTATTATAATCAGGTCGATATCAGGCATTAGTGATTCAAATTTCAGCACGATCGGACTAAGCCTGTGGGTGTAATAATTTTTTTACTATTTTTTGGGGGAGTCTTTGCGCCCCTGCTGGCCAATGGTGGAAAATGCATCATGTCCGTAATGAACTTTTTTGCTTGTAATCAAGCATAGAATTTATGCCCCGAATTTGGTACTAATCCAATAATGTTGATGTTTCACGTCTATGCTAGGGGGCGCTATAGAGTTCACTTTTATTAAATTTCATATTTCATTACATTCACACCAACATCACGCAATTGTGTTTTGAATTTGAGTTCTCTAGGCCAATGCCTGTGGCCGTGACAGGTCACCGAAAAAAGGCGTTATTCGCCGGCGTGCTACGGGCGAACCGTAAGGAGTATCCCAAAAAAACTTGGCAACTTCTGTGAGTTCATGTCTGTAGATGTGACATGTCAAATCTGAGCTCATTTGGACCAAACCCCGGGGACTTGAATCTTTTTGTAGACCCCCCAAGTCAAAACAGCGCCGAATTTTTGATCCAATATGGCCGACTTCCTGTTCGTCATAGGGGTGCACAATGATTGGCTTTTTTGTTTGTCTCCTTGAGTTCTATCACTTCTCCGAATTTCGTGACTGTACGACAAAATATGCCTCTCAGCCTCCCATTCATTTCAAAATGTTCAAAATTCTAGGGGGCGCTGTTGAGTGGGGGGGCTTTGGGCATAGTCGCGATGCCCATTTTATGAAATTTTTCACCGGGCCGATCGATCTGATACCCGGTTTGGGGACTTTTCGTCGATGTTTAGGCCCTCAAAATCGCAATCGTTTGCAAGGAAAAATAATAATAAACAAACGTAAGAAACCGGCGAAAAACAATACCCCTCGCCCCTAACTTTGTTAGTGGCGAGGGCCAAAAAGGAGCTTAGGCACCAGTTAGATGAACTAGGAACTCTCCTGGAGTTGATTGGAAGAATCTTTTCAAAGCTGAGCAGAGCGCAGGAGGAACGTTACCAACCCAAACACAAAACAGTGCTTCCTGACAGAAAGATCCAAAAGAGACGCCCTCCCCGGTACCTGTTTTGAGTCCCTGTCCTCGTGTGTTGAGCAGCTGCTCCAGTGCGTGTCTCTGTCTCTGTGTCTCCTCTTTGTATTCTGACATGGTTCTCTCCAAAAGCTCAAAGATTTCATCTGCAGCCACAGACAGACGCTGCCTCACCGCCTCCCGCAGCTGCTCCGACACCAGACACATGTCAGCACCCCAGGGAGACACACTGCAACACACCTGCTGTAGATCTGCTTTTGTCCTGCTGTAGATCTGCTTTTGTCCTGCTGTAGATCTGCTTTTGTCCTGCTGTAGATCTGCTTTTGTCCTGCTCGCTCGGTTCTGGTTTAGTCCTCGGTTATAACTCCTTTATTCTTGGTTTAGCGCTGGCTGGGAAATGACTTTCTTCTTACTTAACACCGGACTGAACATTAAAGTTATCTGAGTGTGATCAGGACAAAATAAAACATTATTCAGAGACATCTTTGAAAAGCAAAGCCTTTGTTTAGGGCGCCATTTTGAAAGGTTTGTGTCACGTGTCCTATTTTATTTTCCGCTGCCACTTCCGGCTCGAATTTATTTAATTTTTGATGTATTGAATTATTAAAATAATAGTCAAATAGCTCGCATTTATTGCACTTAAGCTTATGTCACTGTAAAATTAAATAGTTGTATTTTTTGTTCCATTCATTGTTTTAAACAGACTAAACATATAACATATATAATATATAACATATTCTTCGTGATGCAATGAGAAGCTAAAATTATAAAAATCTAAAAACATTTGTCCCAAACCACAGAAAAAAGGCTCCAGGGTCTTTTAAAATCTGACATAATAAAAGCATGAATAAAAAGTACAAACATTCATTGTTATTTGTGATGAAACGTGCAGACATAACTATACTTGAACAATTCATTCCTTAAAAACACTGACACACACTTGTTCAGAACTGATCGCAAAATGTAAATTTATTTATTCTTCATGAAACAAAGGAACTTCCCTGAATAATTCAGACTCAGTCAGAAAAAGTCATTAAATCATCTTATTTTATTAAATTGGTCAAATCTCTGAACCAAGGTCACAGTGTGATTCTGTGGTTCCGTGCTAAGAGTTGAGTCTCTGGTTCAGCTTGTGGGTGCTCTTCTCTTAGATCCATGTCTTCTTCACACAGTCTGTGGGGTGGGGGGGATGGTGTGGTGTGGGCTCACAGATGAAAGTGTCTGTGTTTTGCTGCCCCCTGGAGGCTGGTTGGTGGTGCAGCACTCATTCCTCGCAGTGTGGGCATCCATGTGCTTCCTCAGACTCTCCCCTCGGGAAAAGCTTCTCCCACACACTGAACAGCTGAAAGGTTTTTCCCCAGTATGCACAGTCATGTGACGCCTCAGGTGGTTAGCACTTCGGAAAATTTTTCCGCAGATCTGACACGTCTTCGTACCAGCCCCTGAAAGTGTTCGGCCGGTGTGGATGGCCACATGACCCCGGAGCGCGTCTTTACGAGAAAAGCTCCTCCCGCAGACCGAACAGCTGAAAGGTCTCTCTCCGGTGTGAACTCTCATGTGACGCTTCAGCTGCCACTCTGCCCTGAAGCCTTTAGCACAGATTGAGCAGAAGTGACGCAGAGCGCCACCTGGGGGAGACAGAGGAGTCGCAGCCTCAATCCAGCCCAGGGTCTGCTGTTCCAGCGCCTGACACTGAGGGGTGCTGTCCTGGGGCTGGCTCTGGCTGTAGGTGTGACTGTGGAGCTGGTTGTGTTTCTGATTACAGATGTGGTTGTGGGGTAGTGCGGGGGTCTGGTCCTGGGTGGAGCTGTGGTTGTGTGTCTGGCTGTGATTCTGGTTGTGGTTCAGGTTGTGGGTGGATTCAGGCCAGTCCTGGGTCTGGTTGTGGCTGTGGCTCTTACTGTAGGTGGGTGTCTGCTCATGGGTGTGGTGCAGTTGGGGGGTGTGGTTGTCCTGGGTGTGGTTCTGGTTGTGCGTCTGGTTCTGGGTGTGGTTGTGGGGCAGCAGGGGGGTCCACGTCTCTTCAGTCTTCACCTCCTCCTCATACTCTGGAACACAACAGTCACATGAGCAACACCAGAGGCCCCCACAGTCTCCACAGGTAAGAACACCTTAAAATGTTCCTCTTTGAAGCAGCGACATCAGTTAAGAGCACAAACTAAACCCACAGTTTGAGCTAAGATGCCAAGCAGCAACTCTGCTGGGGGAAGTATGTAACCTGAGCACTAGCCTCTGTCTCCTCCTCCTCACTGTCAGCAACATTCACCGTTCATTTGTCCACAGTCTGTTACTGGCCCACGTCTGTTTCTCTGTTGGATTTCTGTTGATTAAATCCATGATCTTGTTCTATATTGAGCAAAATGGACTCTTATGGTCTCTGATCATCTTTAAGCCATGTTATAATGCTGTTCCGTCCTCAAAAGCAGACCTGGACTGTGGACATTACATTACATTACATTAAGTGTATTATTTGAGAGAAAGAAGCACTGACCTGTTTTGAGTCCCTGTCCTCGTGTGTTGAGCAGCTGCTCCAGTGCGTGTCTCTGTGTCTCCTCTTTGTATTCTGACATGGTTCTCTCCAAAAGCTCAAAGATTTCATCTGCAGCCACAGCCAGACGCTGCTTCACCGCCTCCCGCAGCTGCTCCGACACCAGACACATGTCAGCACCCCAGGGAGACACACTGGGACACACCTGGGACACACCTGAGACACACCTGAGACACACCTGCTCAGTCTTGTTCAGACCCGCTGTGACCTGCTGTTGTCCCGTTTAAACCTGGTGTAGAACTGTATTTGGTCCTGGTCTAGGTCTATATTTAGACCTGTTCGGATCCTCACGGGCTTAAACTTTCGCTTTGTTTAGAAACATTCAACTTTTGTGAACCACAGATTTTTTCCTAAAATGTTTCGCGTGTTCCGTCTGTTGTTGTTCATGGCGCCATTTTGAGAAGTGACGTCATACTCACTGCCGCTTCAGTTTACCTTTCAAAGTAAAACTCAATACGTTTTTAATAATTATTAAAATTATATATATTATTTAAATTGTTTAATTTTTTGTATAGTCTATAATGGTATTGTCCTGCAGTTAAGTCTGAACCATTAAATAATACAGTTTAGTCTTATATTATAGTAATTCAAAATGTGCCGTATTAAACATTCCTCGTTCTTTTCAAAGTAATTACTGTCAGAAAAATGTCAAAACAAAATAAAGAAATTGCATGAATATCCCAGGCCAGCTGAGAGACATAGTCCGTCCAGTGTGGGACATGCTCTTCACCTCAACGGTCTGATACAGTGACAGCGTCACTGCCCGGGGACAAGAACCACGGCCCCGGACTCAGAAGAGCTGCTCTTCGTCTCAGCCGCTTCACACTCGGGTCTCACCGTCCCAGTGCTGCAGGTCCTGATTTGATGAAGCCATGAGGACAACAGCATCTGCAAACAGAAGAGATGATCCTGTGTTCCCAAACAGGGGCCCCTCTGGCCCCTGACTGCATGAATAAAACATCAAAATTAAAGCCACAATATGTAACTTTCCTGATGAGGAGATTTTATTGTTTTGCCTGGAGTGTTCCATAGAAAGGCATTAAACATGTCTGACTTGCATTTATTCAATTAAAGCTGTTTTTATAATACAAAAAAACTTGAAACACAGGCACTCACTGTGAGCAGACCCCAGACCTGACCTGTACCTGTACCTTGGTCTGGAGGTAGATCCATCAAGAGAGATTTTGGACCATCCTCCAATATAAATTAATAGGATAATTCTGAGCCCCTAAAACTCTGGAGCCCAGGACAATAGAACTCATTGTTCCCTGGTCTGCTGCCCTGCTGGGGGTAAAGTCTGCTTGTTTCTGTGGAAAAAGTTTAATGTAGGGCTGTGATTCCATCATGTTTCAGTTTAATGCAGCTCTGTGCTCAGCTGCTCTTTCCTCCTACAGGTCAGTGACAGGTGGACTTAAACAATCACAGAAAAGAGTGAAGTCTCGAAAGAAATTCTGAAAATTGTGAAATGAATTTTTAGGCATATCACCCCCTCTAGTTTAATGCCATACTGTGAATTATTCTGAACAAAACAATAACACAGCTGACTCTCCACCAGAAAAGTTAGGTCGCATTCCTTTAAATTGGATCTATTCTGCAAAATGGATTTTGAACAGGTTTTACTGCAGGTGTTTCCCTGTCTTCACCATTGATCCTGTGAAGCTGTATTTTGTATTTGGAGTGATTCATGCATATTTGAGTCATCTTTAAAAGCTTATTTCCAACATGCCCCTTTTCACCACTACAGGTACACGCCCACTGTGACGTGCGCTCTTCCTTCTGCAGTTTTATTTTCTTTATCTGTGATACACGTGGGATTCGTCAGGATTGCACGCTACTGTGATGAGTAGTTATCCAGGATGGGGAAATCTAGGAGGGACCCACAGCATGCGGCGCAAAATCTGTCCCACTGGGCATCACAGTTTTCTAACGCAGAAATCAGCTGACTTATTTATCAAGTCGTTTTAGGTCATTGCAAATTAAAATGTCCAAATGATAATGATCACAGGTGTCACAAGCACAATAAGTCTGCTTTAAAATTCAAACATCAAACTGCCCATATATTTCCAGTGTTGTCTTTATTCCCAAAATAAACCTTGATTAACAGCATTTCGCAGTTTATTTTCCTGATCCAAAAGTCGGGGTAAAGTCTGGTTCTGCAGCAGTTTTGGTTGTAGCTTCAAACATTCACTCGTTCATTCAAGCAGCAACTCCAAAAAGCCCTTTAATTTCAAACGTTTAAATACTCATCAATTTCATAATGTTTTCTTCCTCTTCGGAATCCTCGAGCTTCCTGCAAAATCCAACGTGGGACTGAAAGCGGTTTATGACATAAATAAATATAGAGGATTTTAAAATAATGTTCACATGTTCTCGAACTCAACAGTTTTGCCAGAGTTCCAAAGTAAATCTCCCTCCCATAGACTTTAAAAATAAATATTAAAAGTCTCTGTACCTGATTTTTTATTGTATTAAAATGTGAAAAACAGAACTAGTTCATTGAAACAGTTTGCAGTGGTCCAAAGTTATTCCTCACTTACTTTATGCATTCAGAGCATCCAAATGATTCACCACAAGGAGTTTCTAAGAGTTTTTCACAACTCTGAGTTTTGCCGTGATCATAAAGCTCACAACAACTAGCATATTAATAGAACTTCCTGATTATCGGACAATAAAGAGCATTAGAATTAGATGCAGACAGTACACAGTCGACTTAGTTTAACCTCAAGAGCTGCTTGTACTGGGGAGAGACACTATTTGCTCAAATAAATGAGAAAAATCAGGTGCAGGGCCTTTAATAGTATAAAGGCACAATGCTTTGTGGTAACTAACGTCCAAAAACACATTTAAAACTTAAAATTAATAACTTAGTGGTTTGTGAAAATTGTAATAAATGTATAGATCCTGTGGTCATTTAGCCCACAGCAAACGCTCAAACTTTAAATACTATTATTTTTGTCCCAGACAGTCTATGGGAAAAAAGGAAAGGACAATTTACTTTGTGGTGGGCAGTCACTGTTGAGCTCCAATGGTTTCTAAAATAAAAAAGGATTAAACCAGGAACATACCAGAAAAAACCCAGGGAAAAACTCAACACTGAACCACGATTTGAGCAGATAAACCAGGACTAACATGAGACTAAACCAGGAGCAATCCAAGGTCCAAACCACGTCTGTTAACAGCCAATCCCATTTAGGTGGAAATAGGACAAATTAAAAGGGGGTACATTTGGTTAATAAATATAATTAAAGGGCCCATAGTCTTGGTTGGTTAATTTTAGACCTTTAAGACCTGATTTAGTTTAGCAGGACTTAACCAAGACCATGAGTAAAGTCTTGGTTCTTTCTAAACTTCCATCGTCTAAACCATCGGAACTGCAAGATGTGGCTGGTGTGGTTCAGACCCAGTTCAGTCCTGGTTCAGACCTGGTTTATTCCCTGGTTTAGTCCTGGTTCTTTCCACCATAACCACCTCAACTGTGTGGGTTTGTGTCATGAGGAAAGTAGCGGCAGAAGACCTGGTTTATAGTCCTGGTTCAGACCCAGTTCTTTATTCTAGATCTTTTTGGCTCAGTTCTGGTCTGAGTCCGAGTCCTGGTCCATGTATTCTTCTTCCGGTGATGCTGCTGTGTTCTGAGTTCCCCACTCGTCTGAATCATACTCAATACTGTCATTATCATTTATCTCTCCTCTGTCCTCCTCTGCTGCTCCTTCTCTCCTCTCCTCCGGGCGCTCCTCCTCCGCTCCCTCCTCCCGCTCTCTCTCGGCGTCCTCGTACACAGCGGCGCCGTTGTTGTTGGTGAACGCCGCTCGGTCGGTGCTGTCTTCGATGTAGACTCTTTGATGGCACATGGGGCAGGTGTCTTGAATATAGAGCCACTTCCTCAGACAGAGCGCGTGGAAGTAGTGGTTACACGGCGTGATCCGAGCAGACGCGCTGAACTCCTGGTAGCAGATGGCGCACACGTCTCCAATGTTGTGTAACTGCGCCCCCTTGAGCTCGGGGAGGGAGTTGATCTTCTTCACAGCACTGCGGCGGTTGATGAAAGTCCTCCATCCGTTCTTCGCCTGCAGATAAAAGTATCGAAAATCAGACACTAATCGATTAATACCGTATTTTCTGGGCTATTAGGCGTTCTGGATTATAAGGCGCACTGTCATTAAATGGTCTATTTTCAAACTTTTTTCACAAATAAACCGCACCAGACTTTAAAGGAAACCCAACAGTGTGATGGGTGAGTGGTTTTGTTTGTCTGTGGTGTTCACGGTGACTCTGGGCTTTGTTCAGTTGTGGCGTGTAGGGAGGGTGCTGTCTGGGACCAACGGATTGTCGGTGTGTTCGCAGTGACTCAGTTGTTCAGTTGTGTCTAGAAGTGGCACATTGCACTCGTGGCTTTTTGGTTAGTTCCTCCGTTCCTTGTCGGTGTGAAGTGATGAGTGTGTCTGTGGGTGTGTTTCACTGTGTGGTCGCTGCCTGCTCCGTGTGTGTTTGTGGCTTTATAGTTTACTGAAGTCGTGCTGGGACACCCGAGTGGATTCGTGTATAGGGCGCTCTGGATTGTGGGTCGCTCAATCGTTTTTTTGATGGGGTTGGAGGCTTAAGAGTGCGTCTGATAGCCTGAAATATACTGTAGTTTGCAGTGATATCAGGGTGTTCTACATGCATTTCTACAGTGATATGTTCAGCAGTTACTATTGTGATACAACGCAAACACAGTCTGGAGATAGTCTGAAAACTCGACGAGATTTAAATAGCACATTTTACATTTCCAAGCATTCAAGGTCATTTTTAGGAGTCTGATTTTGGACAAAAAGGTGACAGTGATTAACTGAAAACTGAAATGTGATGTGAGAGGGACATGTTGTTTTGTAACCTGTTGTAATTCCAGCTATTATCAGATTGTGTTAATGGGCCCATATTGCACTTTTTTCTGATGTATGTTATGATGTTGTTTCCTCATCACAAACACACAGTACCTCGCATTATCTTTTGTTTCATTCACACATGTTAAACACAAAAACCCTGCATCTTTCAGCTGAGTTCTTCTTTCGCTCTGTTCCACCTTGTGATGTCATGTGGTAATGTGGTCTAGTCTAGTTTCTCATACTTTTGAGAGACTCTCTCCGCTCTGCTCTTCCAAACCTAAATTAATCATGAATTTAATCAGTTGGTCTCTCAACACAACTGACACCATCTTCTCAAAAAAGAACTTGGGTTTGGGGGAACCTGCGTGCCCCACCGGGACGTTTGCTGTGAGCTACACGATGGACGGTTGGGAGAAGTGGCACATCTGTGGAGGACATAGAGACATTTATCTATTCAGAACCATGATTACAGGACTTTTGCTGATTGGATTAGGCATGGCCCACATTTTTTGGAAAACTCAGAACACCGAGGCAGCTGTTCAAAGCCCCTCTAGGCTGCCCGACTGGACTGAAACGGGCAGAGGTGTGAGCACTCAGACTGTGACTATAAACCACATTTATGAACTGTGAGAAAACCATGAAGACACTCACAGCCCTGCAAAGACAAACACACAGACACAGAGGTCAATATGGACAAAGAGAGAAGTCGTGGAAACTGAAATGCAGCTACTTGCACTAACCCCAAAACTTATCTGTTTTTAGCCTCCCTCATCCAGCACTGGCCTCGGACAAGCCCTCTGCTGGAACAACAAGTCTCCTCGAAGGACATAGCAGGGAGACTCTTTTGCATTCTTTTGCACTGACACCTGTGGATGTTGACTCTGTCTGGGACGATGCCAGGCAAAGCGACTCTCCAGGCCCTCCCCACATCCCACACCTTCGTTGTTGTATTGTGTTTTTGTATTGTATTTTTCCTGTAACTGTAAGGGTTACTCAAACATGTGTGAATGAAACAAGAGCCAATTTTGATTAATGTAGGACATTTAAACTAAAGCTCAGATTAAAGTCTAACTTAAGTAACAGAGCTTCTAACAGAGTGGTGCCTAGAGTTAGCATCACAGCCCCAGGTAATGCTGCTGGATGATTTGCAGAGGATCAGTAGTGACCTCAGTACCTGCAGGTAAATGTTGAAGTAGGCGTGCAGACACATCATGCAGGCACGGATCTTGCTGCCGGACTCAAACATCATGGTGTAGGCACCATTTCCGAACATGACCACGCCAAACAGGAACTCAATAATGTTTCCTGTGGAGCGCACGTAGTACACGTAATCATCCAGCTTCTCCCACAGGGTCACTGAGAGCCCGTCTGCCATAAAGAGCCCGTACACCGTCAGGGAGACCATCACCTACACACACGGGAACAACACGATTACTCAATGCATTAGTCTCATAAGTCAATTTACAATTCCACACTCAGTGGTGCTAAGCTACTATTGTAGCCACAGCTGCCCTGGAAGCTCAACAGAAGCGAGGCTGTCAATCTGCACCGTTGACCCTTCACACCATCACTATCACTCACACACACTCCACTTTCATACTAGGCAATGTGCGTGAAGTGCAAGGACACAACAACAGTTTTTGACTGATGCCCCACTGTGGCACCTGGAGCTCTCAGTGGTCTCCCATCCAAGTCCTAACCAGGCCCGGCCCTGCTGAGCTTCAGAGACACAGAGACACAGACACACGGACCCACACGGACCCACACACGGACCCACACACGGACCCACACACGGACCCACACACGGACCCACACACGGACCCACACACGACCCACACACGGACCCACACACACACACACGGACCCACACACGGACCCACACACGGACCCACACACGGACCCACACACGGACCCACACACGGACCCACACACAGAAACACACACAGAAACACACACAGAAACACACACAGAAATACACACAGAAACACACACACACAGTGTGGTCCAGTCCCTGGTAAAGTCCCTGGTCCAGTCCCTGGTCCAGTCTGTTACCTTGAGGCAAAGCTCCACACAGAACGCTGTTACTGCAAAGAGCCAGGTGTTGAGGGCATAGTGTTTCCATAGTAACAGAGAGAGCAGCACAGGTAGAACAAGCAGCGCAATGGACACCAGAAGAACAGGGAGGTGGCGTCGCAGAGACGAGACATGAGACGCGCTCAGGGACATCAGCACCGGGTCTGCCATCCCGTGCACAAAATGGAGGATCGCCGTCAGCAACAGGCACATGTTTCTGCTCAGACGCACCTGGACACAGCAAAGAGCCACTTGTGTTGGATGCCCTCCTTCTCCATGTGTCAGATGCCCTACTCCCCTTACCAGTCTCTCCTCTGGGTCCAGACTGCTGAGTCCAGTCTGAAGTGCCAGGATGAAGAACAAAACCGGAGCCACGAAGCCCAGACGCTTGTCCTCCTCCTCAGTGGAGCCTGAAGCAGAAACAACACGCTCTTTACTCCCGTCCTTCAGTGCTTCTGGGTTAAACCTGTCAGGAGCACTGGGATCCATCTCCAGATTTTGAGCTAGTCTTGGTCTGAACTACCTGGAGGATTTGACCTGTTGTGCATGTTTTGGGTTGATGGGGGAAACTCACAGGGAAACAGCGAGAACATGTAAACTCCACACAGAAAGGCTTGGCAGTTGAACCCAGTGCTGCCCAAACAACTGTATGTGGTGTGTATATGTCAGTATAATGAAGGGATGGGTGATGTATCAGTACGAGTATCGGTATAGACTGATATAGATACAAAACTTCTATATTGATATTTGCTGAAATAAATTCTCAATACTGTTATCTGAACTGACTACTGAGTTAAAATGAAAATAGAAGAGCATTATATGTCTGTATGTGACACAAACATGTAACAATTTTTTTTAATTATTATTTCTTTTAGTAATTTGTGAAGGTTATTTTAATTTAAGATAAAACTGTGTGCCTGGCTATGTATTTAAAAAGCTAAATATCAGTATCGTCTCAAAAAATAAGAAAAAAATATTGGCCCATCCCTAGTATAATGGCACAAAAAAGAAAACTTAAAAACTGATTTAAAAATAAAATATAAAAATAAATAAATAAAAAGAAGACAAACCTGCTCTGTCCAAACAAAGGTATAAAGTCATACATCTGCACTTCTGTGTTTAATTCACATTGTGCCTTTCACATTTGAAGGCACATTTTAGCACATTTCTGATGGATTGTAAAAGTGTGTATGAGTTACCGATGAAGGCGAGGATGCTGAGGCCGAGGTAGTGTGCGACAGACGAGATAACGGCGCTCATCCCCAAAACTGTGAGCGTTGAGTCACAGCCGGAGATGATCAGATTGGACAAGAGCTCGCCAAGCCCCTCCCAACTCAGCATGCCGGCCTATCAGAGGAGAGAGGATAACAACTCTGCTATAGCAACACTCAGAGAGAGGAATCTAACCAACAACCTCCTCACTGAAAGGAGGAGACAGGGTAATCACCTGTGTTTGCGCTGTGGTGTCTGTAGTGCCTCCTGCTGGCTCGTGGCCCTCCCGGCTCACTGCTCGGATCACGTAGATCAGAAGCAGGGCCTGAGCAGTGACGCGGGTGAGCCAGAAAACCCGAAGCACGTCGGGGAAACGAATCCTTTTCCAGGTGTCCTCCAGAAGCAGCTGCAGGCCGTAGATCCGGTACATGTGCCGCACCAGCAGATACACGTACCTGAGGACGACAGCCAAGAACTCACTTATTAAACATGGATTTATTAAAGGTGGCCAATGTATTATCTACAAGATTATCAAAATGATGTTTTGGAAGCTATGTAGAAATTGGAATCTCAAAAAAGGTCAGCTTTTTTCTGAGTTAAAATACAGCCTCTGTTGTAAGTGTGATACCTGCACTCACCTACAGGAGTAGTAAAACCACCGGAGCCTGACGGCGAGACAAAACAGTGTGGTCAGAGCCAGCGCCAAACCCGAGAAAACAGCCACAAGTTGCCGAACGTCCACCGGGAGCTCCAGCATCAGCGCCCACAGCGGCATCACCACGTCCAGAACGATCAAGGCCGCCAGCAGAGAGTGAACCCTCAGCAGACAGATGAACCCGATACCGAACGCCAACTGCACCGCGGCCAGAGCCAACCACACCGCCGCGCCGGCTCTGGGCAGCAGGCGGAGAGCGGACGCCGAACTGTGGAGCACGCCATGGAAGTCTGAATGCGACGCCGCGTAGTAGTTCACCAGGACGGAGGCAAAAGCCAGAAGAACGCCCAAAAACAGAGAGTAGAATCTGAATAGGGCTTTTTGAGAAAGGAGCAGGATCACCAGGGACACCAGCACACCTGAGGGATGGAGAGAGAGGTGAGAGATGGAGAGAGAGGCGAAAGACAGAGAGAGAGGCGAGAGACAGAGAGAGAGGCGAGAGACAGAGAGAGAGGTGAGAGAAGGAGTGAGAGGCGAGAGAGACGGAGTGAGAGGCGAGAGAGACGGAGAGAGAGGCGAGAGACAGAGAGAGAGGCGAGAGAAGGAGTGAGAGGCGAGAGAGACGGAGAGAGAGGTGAGAGAGACGGAGAAAGAGGTGAGAGACGGAGAGAGAGGTGAGAGACGGAGAGAGAGGTGAGAGAGGTGAGAGAAGGAGGGGGGAAAGAGTAAGAGAAAGAAAGGGAGAAGGAGGGCAGAAGAGGAAAGAAGGTGATAGGAGGGATGAAAAGAGAAGGAGAAGGGAGAGATAATTGTTATGATAGTTATAGACAAACCAAACAAAACACGTGTTAATAAATAAAATGTTACTCTTCGCAGCTGATGTAACTTACATTCCCTAGAGGTAAGATGCTAACTGGAGGTGCTGTTGTGTCTGCAGCTCCTTTACTCATTGGACTTTAATCTGAGCTTTATTTTAACACAATCTGACCAGAAAGAGAGTTTTCTCAAAACTGTGACTAAAGTTACATTTGTTGATTAGACATTGTTTAACTGATGAGTTTAACTACTGGGACAACAAGAGAAGTATCTTCATCACTCAATCATTCAATCAAAGCCTATTCTAGTATCAATATTTACATATATCTGTTCTACGTATATCTGTGTGGTGTAATGTTCAGCAGTTATCATGGTGACCCAATGCACACATTAGTAAACATTGTCCAAAAAGTTTCAAGAGTCTGAAAACTCCTGTGCACAATTCAGATTTCACAAGTCAGGTTAGATTGTGTTCAAATCTTTCGCAGTCTCGCAGAGCTCCAGACAGAGCAGTGTCTACTAGGGGTGTGCAAAAATACTGAAATATCGATATATGTGATGATACAGTGCCGATATCGTGCACTGCTGTATCAATATATCACCAAGAGTAATTTTTTGTATATTTTACTAAATGATTTTGTTACAGCCACAGTTTTGTTGCTTGTTCAGCAGAAGGACACTGATTTATGCAAAACCTTTGATATTTTTACTGTTTTGATGGTTAAAATGGTGATGATTGATTTTATATTAAATTTACACATAAAGTATTTTAACAAAGACTTTTAGTATGACAGCCATGATTTAGACATTATTTTATTGAACCGTATCGAATTGATATAAAATATATCGTTTTGAAACAAAAGAGCACTGTATCGAGGTATGTATCATATTGGCCTCTTAATGCATCACACCTCCAGGGAATGTTGATGACATCAGATGCAAAGTATAAAATTCAGTTTTTAATCATTCTACTGCAGGTAATCTCATATGAAACTAATTTGAAGAATTTGTAATAAGAGCCCAAGAACTACCTTACTAATAATGACTTTAAACTAAATTATAACTTTTATTTTAAAACATTTCACTCTGTTATACATGATAAGATTCTCTAACCTTTTTTTTATTTTATTTTTTTTGCTGACAGTGTTAAAGTGGATTACATAATGTTAATATACAACAGTCATCTGACGTTTGACCCAGTGGCTAAATAAACAAACAAGTTTAAGCCACATTTGAGCACGTTAAAGCATTTAAAACTATATATTCGGGTTTAAATGAATGTCTAAGTGACTTTTGGAATGACTTTTATGTGTTTTGTTGCGTTCTTGCTCCGTTAAATAGTTTGGAGTTGGACATAGCTTCACACACTCATTAGCCTCGTTAGCATTAGCTTAGCATTAGTCGCTAGCTGTCAGTTTGTTGACGGAACCGAAACGGAGCCGAAACTCCCTGCTGCTTACCCACGGCCCGGACCGACAGCCTCCCCGCGGTACCGGCCCATCCGGCACCGGGCTCAGAGTACGAGTTTAGGATGGCGTCGATGATGAAGATACAGGGCACCCGGAGAGCCACGTCCAGCGCCGCCAAGGCCCGCTGGTTTAGCCGGCTTTGAGGCGAGGCCATGGGGCTGTCAGCGGGGCTACAGTCCGGTCCGGAGACCCATGCACTAAGGCTACACCGATGTCCTCCACCGGCTGCGCTTGGATCCGTGCACTTTCACTTGTGTTGATCCCAGTAATATCATCTGTTCCTGTCCGCCATGTTGCACCCCCTGTTGCTCCTTCCACTTTAGTTTATTTTCTTGTTTAATCAAAGTTACACGTCGTTAAATGTGATTTCTATGGCGTGGATGCACCGGACACTGGGGTTGGTCCTGTTTAAATCTCGCTGTTACCGAAAAGTACACAGAACAGCTCAAAAAACACATTTGTTCATGATTTTTCACACTGCTTCCTGCATCGGTCTCTCAGGTTCAGACGCTGGACGTAACGCTACGCAACTTCCTCTGAGGAAGCGTGCTGCAGTAAAACAAGAAAAAGCAACAAGATTTCATTATGTTAATGCATATATTCTGAAATTGACTTTGTCCTCATATAAATCAATACATAAAATATGAATAGTACAAACGTTATTTACATACACTTTTGACAAAGTAAGGAGCTTGTGGGTTAGACTCCTGGGCTGCGTCTCATTTCTTTCCTCACCTCTTTCTCCTTGATTCCTCTCCTCGATTCTGCAAGAAATGGATGAGGAAGTTCCATCCACAGAGGAGACACTGGGAGAAGAGAGGAGTAAAGGAGAAAGAAGCAGAGGAGCAGAGGAGCAAAGGAGCAGAGGAGAGAAGAGCAGAAAGGCACGAGAAACTAGCTGAGGGTGAATGGGACAGCCTTTCCTCAGACACTGGTTCTGCCCAAAACGACCCTGTAGTATGCTGAAGCTTATTTTATGTTGTTAGTCCAAGACTTTTAAAACAAAGTCAGACCAAAGTCTTCATTATTAATATGTTTGATTTCTGTAGAGATCAGAACTGTGGCCAAACCTCCCTGTCAAAGCCTGATTTGGTCAGGCTGGGCCTGGTTAGTACTTGGGTGGGAGACCACTGGGAAAATCAGATACCACAGTGGGTGACAATGGCAAAAAAAACACGGTCATTGTGTCCTTAGGCAAGACATTAGGCAAGACATTTCGTCTAGTATGAAAGTGGTGTGAGCATGGCAAGTGTTGGCGGTGGGATGGGCCCATGGCACAGATTGACAGCCTTGCTTCCATCAATCTGCCCCAGGGCAGCTGTAGCTACAGCAGTAGTTTACCACCACTGAGTGCGAAATGAATGAATGAATAATGCACCAAACCGATTTTAAGTGTCTGAAAAAGCGTTCTGTAAGACTAATGTGTTATTATTAGAGTACGTGTGCATGTCGTCCTGTGTTACTGTGGCAGAGTGATAATGAAACGATAATAATAAAGTAATTATAGTTTTTTTATTATTTAAGTATTGATCATGATGTGGGGAAGAACAATCTCGCTGTATTGTTGTAGATTGTGTTCGCAAGTTCCACTGGATCCTCGTCTCGTGCTGCCGCCATCACCTCCAGGACTTGACTAAAATATAAAATACAAGAAGTTAAAAGAAATCCCCTTATATCCCTGTTTTAATCTTGGTGAAGTTCTAGTTCAGTCCCACTTTAGTTCTGCTTTAGGACCTGCTTCAGCCCTAGTTTAGGCCTGCTTTAGTCTTGCTTTAGTCTTGGTTTAGTCCTGGTTTAATCCTGGTCTAGTCCTGGTTTAGTCCTGCTTTAGTCCTGCTTTAGTCCTGGTTTAGTCCTGGTCTAGTCTTGGTTCAGTCCTTACATAATGTGACATGGTTCGTTCCTGTCTTTTAAACAGTGTCTTGGTTCCCATTTCTTCTTTGTGGGGAAAGTGGTTTTGACGAGTTTGGCTCCAGCATGAGTCGCCTTCACGCCACACCACGGAGCATCTGGAAAACAGAATTATTTTTCAACAATTTTAGATTCAGTCACTTACTCAGTGTAGAAATGGGTGAATCCTGGTGTAGTGGTGTATGTGATGATGTCATCATCTCAAACTGAAGCGAAACTTTTTCCAGTTGACTACAATGTACTTTGCCATGAAATATCTGAAAGGTAAATTCACAAATCTTGAACCTGATAATTTATATAAGACCCAATACCTCACTGTATTGTTATGATTATAATATCAGTTTTTAGCTGTTTCGTTCAATTTTAAATATTAATGGCCTGTAAAATGTATTGATGCCATCAGAAACCAGCAATTGCCCACCCCTACTGGCAACTGACTGCAAACTGTGGAACGTGAACACAACACGAATGTTAATGTGCAGTTTTAATAAATGTTACTGTTATGTCCAATGTCTAATACAAAAAATATCAATAGAAAAAAAATATTCACATTACTTATGTGCAAGAACATTTAGACGCCACAGTTCAGACAGAATGTGATATTTGTCCACCAAGGGTCAAAAGTACAAAAAAAGATTACCTCTACATGATCCTTTTTTATTTCACTATTGTGTCTCTAAATCAAGATATGAACATTAATATCAGAAATATCAGGTCTCTTCTGTTCCTGAGGTTGCTCCTGCTGGTGTTAGACAGGTTTGATTGAGCGGTGTGGGCAGAGGGGGCATTACCCTCAACAGCCTCGCTCTGGATTAGCTCTTTGGTCTCTATACTACACTTCGATACTCACGGGCACAATTCCAACTAGAAAAGCACTCAGAGAGCGCAGACCTCTGCCAAGGACTACAGTCCCCCTCATATTAATTGTGTTTTCCATAAATATTTGTCTCGTATCTTTCAATTTGGAATATGAAAGAGGATCTGATTGTCCATCCCTGAGTCAAATTTCATGGGGTTTGGTCAATAACTAACCGAGATATTGAGAAACTAAATTTTTGGCCCCATTTACCACAATGTTAACTAAAATTTCAAAGTGATCCAGAATCCAGGATTTCTTCCGCATCACCCCCAAAATGAAATCAGTTCTTCCTTTTCACATTTCCAACAAATCCTGAAAATTTCATCAAAATCGGTCCATAACTTTTTGAGTTATGTTGCTAAAAGACAAATAAACAAACAAACAAACAGACAAACGCCGGCAACAACATAACCTCCTTGGCGGAGGTAAAAATGAAACTCTGTTCCAAATTTGCCCCTACAACTGTTAGCCTCGATGAGCTTCATTTGGAGCTAAACACTGTGGGTGACGTCACACTCTGTACAGTCTAGAATATTGGAGGCTCTAGAATACATCTTCATGTTTGATTAAAGACTTGTTTTATCATATTGTTATAACTAGAGCTGCGACGATTATCAGGAATTGTAATAATTGTGACTAACTGACTACTGTTACAATAATTGTTGACTATTTTAATCTTTAATCATGCATTTATCACAAAGAAAGTAGGGATGCACTGATCCGATACTGATATACTGTAAAACGTGCTAGATCACATATCAGCTTCCAAATATCAGTTCAGCCAATATCCTGGTTGGCATACATCAGTGTAACAAGACTATTTACTTCTGCGGTTGCTTAAGATAAATAAAAGCTCCACAGTTAACACCAGAGTTCTCACTCTTTTTAACTGACAAAATTTCAAAAAATTTTCCATGACTTTTTCATGACCTAAAGTGAATTTCCTTTGACTTTACGGCACCTGCATGTGTAGAACTGATCAGACTTTTAGGGCAAAAATGAAATGTTAACTCTTTCCACTCACCTGGTGGTTTGGGATTATAGTTTTTTAACATTCAAAATCCTGTCAGTGCATTTATTGTCGTCTCTTTTAAACAAAAGGAGCAGGCGTTCAGAAATAATCAGAACAGCCTCATGAGAACTTAACAGAATACTGGAGTTACGTGAAAGAGATACTAAAATTCTATGACTTTTCCAGGCCTGGAAAATGACACTTTCCCCATGACTGTGGGAACCCTGTAACACATAAATGCTGTTTTCAGTCTCTGCATTGGTATCGGTTGATATCAGGGCAGACCAGCAGATACTTAAAGCTATATAAGATATATAAAGTATTGAAAATTGGTATCTAAACAAAAAAGCTAGCTTGGTGCATCCCTTACAGAAAGGAAAGTTTTTAAATCCAAATGATCAGAATATATTTTGTGTGATTTTTATCTGAAATACTCTCTATTAAGAAACCTACATTCTTCATATTTTAGCTTCAAAAGTTACAATTTGGTTTAAATACAATGTTATAAAATAGTCCAAATCTTCAGAATGGTGTATGTGTGACAAGTGAAAAGTCTACTGTTGTTACTTGTGCTGTGGTCAGACACATTTCAACAGCACAAACAGACTCAGCTCCAGAGACAGGAGAATATCCTGTCCCTCTGGAGACACTGATCTCTCTCATTCTCTGGAATTTTCAAATTAAATGTAACTTTCTGAACTTCCAGTGTTTTTGTTTCTGATTTGGTTTGGTGGATAGAACTTGTGCTAAATATATATCATAGTTTTACATCAGTTAAGAGACAGTTTGTGGAAAACAGTAGAGAAAAAAAGTACAGAAATACAGGAAGCAGCACTGGGTGTTAAAACAGAATCCCTCTGCCTATGTCACCAACACAGAAAACTCCAGCCAAACTGCAGAGACAGTTCACACACAAGGAAGGACAAGGACATTTTAAACCTTCATTTAAACATTAAAAGTACCCCTTCTCACATCCATAAAGCATTTAACAATTAACCACAAAAGTGTAGACAAATCATCACATTCATATTATTACACTAGACCAGACATGTCAAACTCAGGCCTGGGAGCCAAATTTGGCCCACGATATAATTATATTTGGCTTGCGAGATCATATCAGATACGTATTAGAGCTGACCGCCGGCTACAGATAGACTATAGAGACATAATTTATTTAAAGTGTTGTTATTATTTTCTATTCTGCTTGTTCTGGATCCAGTGTTTAAGCAAAACTACTATTAAACATTTATTTTAATAAGAAAAGGTTTAACATTACATATCTCAAAAGAAGAGAAAACATGCAGATATTGCTGAAACTTTTCAAGAAATATTTAGTTTGGCCCATGACTTCAATGTCATGGGCTAAAGTCAATGATTTGCATATTATAATCTGAATTGCTCCTCCCTGACTTTGGATCTTCATATGTGATTTTTAACCTGCTGCGCTCCTGCTGGGCTGAGCTGCTCTGTCATATCATCATATCATGTCATCTATACTAAACGTGCAATGCTCTGATCTGTGGAACACGCGAGTGTCAGAGGGAGTCGTTTTACTGTACACAGCAAACAGCTGACGTGTAGTGGGTTTACAACTTTCAGCTCGTCTCGCTTTCATATCCTGTTGCAGTCTTTGCATTCAGAGATTTTAAATCTCATACTCATGTCTGTGCTTTTTGTCGCATGTTTAAAAATCACTTCACACTGAAAAATGCTGTGTTGTGCGGCAGCTGTACACAGCACCTCCGGTGGAATTCTTTTACATTAGAGTTTCCCCTGGTTTGTGTTTGAGCTGTGTAAATCTCTGTAAATGTGTACCTGTCTCAATCAGGAGCCTCTCACTGGGCACAGACTTCATGGCTTCAATGTTGGATTCAGTTTTTAATGAGCTGGAAAAAAGAAATAATAGTTTAACAAAACGAAACACAGTTGTCTTTTAAATGATAATATGAGGTTTATAATTAGACGTGTCATTAAAACAAAGTGAAGTGTGATGTTTCACAGAAAATCTTATAATTATGAGAATAAACTAGATCAAATAAGACGACTTGCTTCATGATGTCAAGTCTTCTCAAAATGACAATGGCATATGGTGAATAAATTTGACAGCTATCATTAAATTACAAAAATAGACATTATATGATAAAGAAATTGTGTGAGCATCCAAAAGTTAATGGTGTGCTTTCTATTTGACCCGTCCTTCAGTGTCTCTGGTTAAACCTGCGTTTGACCCGTCCTTCAGTGTCTCTGGTTAAACCTGTCAGGAGCAGTGGACTTAATTTGAGTATCTAACTGGAGGATTATTGTGCTTGCTTTAGTTTGATGGAGAAGACCCAGACACAGGAAAACATTCATTTTCTTCACTGACAGACTAGGAACTGAAACAGGGACCTTTTTGCTTTGTGGTTATAAAGCTAACCACTCTGCTACTATATGTGCGTATAGTCCTCATGTTTAACATGTTTGACTGACCAGCCGTTTATCCCAATGTACAGATCTAACTCAGTAATGGCAACAGCATCCTCTGGCGTCCCATCGAAAGAGTGCACCTGATAAAAGACAACATTACAGTTACATTACAGTAAATAAAATATTATCTGTTGTAATTGTACAAGCTTTATAAGTACAAACAACTGACAAGTAATTAAAGGAAAACAAATGAGAAGTAAATAAAGTTTAACTTAACTTTACTATGTCATAGTAAATTCAATTCAACACTTTATTTTTTTCAGAGGAAAATTAATCTGCTTTTACATGTTTTTCCCCATAGATATTTTAGTCTTTAGTCAACCAAAGAAATTCTTCACAAGATGGAACAGAGTGTTTTCTGTTTTAGAGAAGAACTCAGCCTCAATGTGCAGGTTTGTGAGTTAAACATGTGAAACAAAAAACAACTCCAGGTGTGTTTGTGATGAAGAAACTACATTATAAGATCAGAAATATTTTGAAATCAACTGACCACTCCTCCAACACAGCGGTCTCTATTCCTCTTCATAATTTCTGCAAAAATCATATTAAACATTTAGCACTGTAGTATTTTTTGATGAATCTGTCTCAAATCTCACCAATAAATTCTTGATGGGAGTTCCTGCAGTGGAGGAACATGGGCAGTTTGGTTTCTTCAGCCAAATCAAACTGCTTCTCAAAATATCTGCAGAAGAAAACACAAATCACTATTATTGAAAAAGTCCAGAATTTGTGCAAAATTTAAAAACTGTACACACTTCAGTTGTGTTTCCTTTGGACAAAATTCAAGACGATCAAAATCTGAAAAATAAAATATGGACATTTGGAGACACTTCAGCTATACATGTGTGTGTGTGCACAGAGCATAAACGGTATAAAGATGTGGACTGTGTGGTGTCATCCACAGAGTTTGGCTCCAGTCAAATGAAGCTCCTGGAGGCCGGCAGTGGCAAATTTGGAGCCGAGTTTCATATTTGGAATTCTGACCAAGAGTATCATAGCAATCAAAGAGCCAATCTGTGAGAGTGAGTGAGACTCTTGAAGGTAACGTCCCTTCCTGCTTCACTGATTTAGCAGGGAGCGGACGCTTAGAAAAAACAAAAATTAAACTTGTTGCTGATGCTAGCGGGAGTGAACTTAGGGAAAGAAGGTGTCTGATTAGTCTGTTATTAATGTTCAGACCTTGAGACAGAGACACTTCACCTGTACATGTGTGTGGACATTTGGACATTTAGACACATACCCAGTCCACACTCTCCGATAGCGACCACTTTTCCTTTGGCATTTGTGGCGAGGTTTTTAAGTTCAGACAGATAAGTCTCGTCTCCAGACTTCTCAAACTCGGAGCAGCGCGTGGGATGGCAGCCCACTGTGCAGAAAAACTCCTCTGGACATAAAACAAAGGAAAGTTCAATTATGAAACTATGATTTATTTGCATGTCTTCAAGGAGAAAGACACTTCAATACCATACTACGAAACATTCCAGGCAAAGCAATAACATCTGCAAAATGACGAACAGATAGTGAACCCCGACCAGAAATCTTACATACTGCACCTTTAAAAATTTAGTTTAGACTATTGCTTCTTCTGGTTATAAATGTATCCCTTATATCCCTTATAAATAAAAGGCAAAAGAAGAAATTCAGTTTGTCAATTGGACAAAAGTTGATTTTGGTCAATGTAAGAGGACTGGCCTCTGACCTATGGCTGTTGCCATGATATCTTAGGGGATAGACTTGCGCAAAGTTTGGACAACAGCCTCTGACAGGGGTTAACTTTGATGACACTCTGCCCTTCCCCCACTTGCTTGAACCTCCATATCTCGGACCTGTCACCCAAGCAAGATTTACTGACCTCATGCACTCCCTCCTTGAGGTAACACACAAAGACCCGTAAAGGATTAAAGATCTTTTCACAAATTAACTTTTCTACAAAGCTTCACCTATTGATAATTCAATTGACCGAAGTTTGTTCACTGACTATAATCGACAAATTAAAGACACTATGGGATTTCTGATGGAACAATTTCTGAATCTCAAGCCAATAGACTTTCTCCAGAGAAAGAAAGGAATGAAATTCAATTCACTCAATGAACTATGGCCAGTGTGTTTAATACTGATTTTGTAAATGTCATGTGAATACTTTCTTTGTGTAAAACTGTTAATGTACATAGTGTGAATATGTGAGCTACGTCATAAAACCCCCACTCAACTAACTTACATTCCACACGCAGACCAATCATTGGTCAGCTTTCCCGCTTATCTTAAGACTTAAGACAAGGAAAACAGACCTCAGCCCAGAGAGATGCCAGTTTCGCAGATCGCTCAGTTCTGACCAGTTCATTCAGATCTCTGTTCAGCAGAAGATCGCTGAATTAGTTCAGCTCAGAATGGTCAAGATGTAGTAGAGCCGAACAAAAGGGACAATGCCCAAGTTCTCCCTCTGTTGAAGCTGTGCCTGTCGCTTGACGTGTTTTTCATTTAAATACCTGTAGCTGATCTGATTTGAAAGCGAAGCTTTCATATTTTTCCAAATTTAAACATCCGCATTTTTGCAGACGTAGTCTTTTTGACTGATTAGCCTTAATCTGTGACCCGCGCTGTTAGACCTCACAGACACAGAAACGTGTCCTCCAATCCTCTGGAACAGAGGCGAGCGTCTCTCAGCCTGACGCCGACTGAGCCTGGAAGATTCATCAGATCACGTGGCCTTCGTCCATTTCTTTGCGTTTGATTCTTCAGAACCGACGTCCTGAGAAACTCAAACCCTCATTGGACCCAACAGGACCACCTCGTGACTGGACATCTCCACTCTCCCCGGGTTGTATGCGCACTGTTACAGAATGGCTTGTTGTATCAATCTAGACTCAGCACAGAACTTTATATAACTCTTAAAGTTGTGCCTAATCTCACATTTCTAGACACCAGTTTAGAGCGACCTACACTCATTTACATATTTGATATTTAAATGCTGTCTGTTTAACTTGGTCAATAAATATCCATAAACCACAGTTTGCGTTGGTGAATAGTGATGTTATTTCCAGTGATGTCATTCAGAATATGCAGGTCACTGATATGGTCAAGAATTTACGAACCTTCAGAACAATTGTTTAATTAATTATTAATTAATTAATTAGCATAGGTAATTTATTAAATTGAATTGGTAATATTTCTCAACATTTGTTGAGTGGTGCCCCAAATTTACTTCTTCTTTACATCAGAGCCAAACACTCACAAAGGCCACGTGAGTGCTGCTTTAGCTTAGAACTCCTAAATTCCAATCTGTAACATCAATTACCCCCCTACATCACGGTATCACGCTGTGAGCGCATGTAGATTTCTCCTACATATTTTGGTGCCAGCGTGGGGCCAGATGTAGTCACAGTACATCAAATACATTTCACTTCTTCAGTTCTGTTCAGGAACTGAAGAAGCAGCTTGGATGAGCTGTGAAACATATTCGACAAAATAAACTTTTGTCGAGTTGACAAATTCCATTTCTTCTGAAGTGAATATTGTGAAAAGCTATGCACAGAATGATTACACTTCAGCAGTTTAATGGTTACAAATGTGAAACGTGAAGCAAAATGACTTCAGCCTCTGAATAAAGAAACATACCTCTGGTTTGAGCAAGTTTCAGCGCATCTTTGCTGTCGTCCAGACTTCCTCCAGTGATCATAAACTGTACAAGATAATTCAAATGTTTAATCAGATTCCATTTAGACAAAGGCCGAGCCAGTCCTGTTTTTGTTATAGGTTAGTTCTGGCTGCTTTTTGCTATGGAGCTCCTCAAAACAGACCTGGAGTTGTGTTTTGTTACATTCACATGAGTAATGCGTTATTATAAGTCTGTCTACATCTCTAAAGCTCAAAATGCTCTGCTCCACCTTGTGATGTCATGTAGTGGTGGTTCTCAAATTAACAGCTTCTTTTACCTTAGTTCAGTAGAGATTGGCAATTCCAGGTCTGAAATTATCCAAATGGTTTAAGTGAAAATGTATGGGGTTTAAAAAAACAGTGACGCACGTCCTGTATTACTACATGATATCAAAAGGTGGAACAGAGTATTTTGAATGAAACAAAACATAACAGAGATCAGAAAATAGCGCAAATATTATTTTCAGAAGTCACCTTTTCCACTCCCACTTTGAGTGCTCGGTCAATTATGGCATCAAAATCATCTGTGAAATCAAGTGAGTGAATTAGTTCAGACTATACATTTAAATGTAATGTAATTCCTCACCGTCGTGTTTCTGCTTTCCTCTGTACAGGCCTCTGAACATGGGGTCAGTCAGATTCACCCCAATATCTGCAATAAGAAAATGAGAATTCAGGTTAAAGAGGGGGTATTTGACTTCAACGGGCTTTTAACTCTTAACACACAACAGATTTAGATCACTGTGTTACCTTTTATTGTTTTGTCTAGCCAGAACCACACACTTTGACAAAACTTTACAAAGACGAGTGGATCTGGAGTCGTACCCTGACTCCCTGATTTCACAAGGTGTGACTGACAGGCAGATTAACCAATCAGAAAGGTTGGTTTGCATCAAAAACAAACAAGAAGACAAAAAACATAAAGAACGCAGAAAGAGCACAGACTTTTATAGAATCAACAACCGAAGCACAAAACAACTACTTATTAATATAATGTTTTGAAGGGTTTTTTTAAACAATTTTTACTCTGTTGTCCAGTTCCAGCCCCTTCTGTATTCGAACAGAATTAACCATTCAGAGTGACATCACAACACAATCAGTGTGCATCCTGCTAATGAAACTACTGCACATATCACATCAGCTTTGTCAAGCTGAAGCATAAAGTTTTGTGGAGAAATGGCATGAGGGAGCATGAGTGACGTAGGCCTGTGGGTAGAGCCTTGTACAGGCTTGTAGTGCTAACTGTAAGAGGGTTTGAAAAGGGCCCGAGAGAGATCGCTAAATGACTTAAACATGTATGAATGATGTCTAAAACCTCTTCAGGCATGTTTTTGGTGCAGGAACAGCATTAGAGCATGGTAGAAAGATAAATAATAATAATAATAACACATCAACCTTATTTGAAGCTTGTTTGTTGACCTTTGAGGCTTGCTATTCTCTTTTATGTTAATGTTACTAACTTGTACACTGTACACAACAAAAGCAACAATTCATTCTCAAACATAGCAACAGTGTCCAGGTGAATACATTCACTTTTTGGCTGATTTGAGCGCTTTCTTTTCCTGATTGATTCATTACATAAACTGCTCATTGTTTTTCCAACCTCAACATTGAAACACAGCAATGCAATAATATGGGTCTGTTCAGAAATGGCTCTAAAATGTCCCCTATTGTTACTTTGCAGCTAATGTCGTCAACATTCTCTGTGGATGAGATGCTAAGTATCGGCTCTGTCTGAAACTCTGTTACTCAAGTTAGACTTGAACTGAACTGACTTAGCTGAAACTATCACAGGTGAGTCTATTTGTGCTGTCAGCAGCAGATCCTGTGGAAGAGTCAAAAGTGGCCCTCCTCTGTGTATTCTAGACCAAGATCTCTGCAAAAACAAATTGTTGATAGAGATTGTGAAGGGGATGTAAATTACAGCTCCTAATGTGGAGACAAAGACAGAAGAAAAATAAAAGGTAAACTGGAAATTATAGGATATTTTGGATATTATCTGGACCAAGTGAAATAGAGCAGTGGAGAAGATGAGGAGCTAAAGGAAGAGAGAAAGGAAATGAAGGAGAACCAAGCAAATGAGATCAAGACCGAGACCTTCGTCCAGGATTCACTGCATAATCTGACACTCAGTGCAACACTGTGAACTTGATAGTCCTCCAGGACAATGCTGAGGATCATGTGAAGGAAAAGAAGTTCCAGTTAGATGAGGGCAAGACTGAGTCCTTTGTCCAGGACCCAAAAATGAAGTGCACACTTGTGAACTTAAAGGGCCAAGACAAGACAAGAAGACAGAGAGCTCTGCCCAGGACTCACAGTCTCACTGTGGTCACCTGTGAACTTAATGGACTACTTGGACAATGATGAAGAGTTCACAGAGTAGAACCAGTTAGATGAGACCGAGATGATGCAATGAGATTCGGGATTAGACTGTGTTAAGACCTGGTTAAAATCTGGTTTAGACTGGGTTAAGATCTGGTTAAGACAAACAGCAGAATGGAAACTCTGCATTATGCTGGGAAGAGTCCTCTCACTCACTCACCGCACCTTCAGTAAAAATGTTTTTAAAATAAATATTGTTTTTATAAATTCTGTTCACATTGCACGAGTTTTAATCCATAGGTCTCCCACGTTTCTTACGTATTTTTTTATTTTATATTTCAATTTCTCAATTTATTTTTCTCACATTTAAAAATAATTTTTGACCCCATCAGCCTGATTCTAAATAAATGGTGTGATTGAGCCTAAATCGTGCTCCTGTCACTTCTGCTCTCACAGCTCTGTGCTGTGTTGTCATTTTAGCATGTAGCCTCAGTGCTAACCGTACCAAACAGGGCTTTTTGAAGCAATCGTGGGCTTTAATGATATTTCCACAGAGCGAGGCGGTGTGTTAGGGGTTTGTTTCTCTTTTAATAACGTGTTTCTTACCGATAAACCTGAGCTGAGCCATAGTGGAGACAGAAAAGTTGTTAAAAAGCGCCGCTGCTCGGAGCAAAAGCATGGAGCAGAGACTACCGTAATGTCTGGAGAGGAGGGGAAAAGGACATGGGAAAGTGGGGGTTTAATGAAATAATCATGAACTAAACATGAATTAAACAGATTATAGTTAAGTACTAAATTCAAACTAAACACAAAAGTCATAAAAAAACTTAAAAAACGGGGTTAAAATGCATCTATTTGCGCGTTTACATTAGACCGCGGTATTCGGGACCGACCTGATAAATTCCCAGAATGCAGCGCTGCAGAAGGTGACAGCGGACTCCAAGATGGCGGCCGCGTTTCTCACTCACCAACAGAAAGTTTTGCGGCTTTACAAGAAATCCCTGCGACACCTAGAATCCTGGTGCATCTTCAGGTAAAGGGAAAGACGCGAACCTGCAGCGGACACCATGCATTTAGGAGAAAAGATTAAGGACGTGTTTCTGTTTTGTGTTGTTAGCGCCGGGGCTAAGCTAAGTGCTAACTGGCAGGTCAAATAAAGCTCAACTATTTGCTCCAAGAATCATTTGAGTCTAGTTCGACATTATTTCGTCTTTGTGAAATCAGTGTAAAGACCATCTTTCAAGTGGAGCTGAGTTGTATTTATGGAACAGCTTCGTGTAATCGATGTTTACTTTGTTTTCATTAATAAGTAGGGATGTAATGATATCCAAATCTCACTGTACAATACTGTACTGTACTATACAATATTTTCACGATCTACATCTCACGGTACGATATTTATTGTGATATTTTGTGGAGGCAAACATATTTTTGATTTCAGTCAAAGAACTAAAATTTAAAATACCTTAGAACTGCTATTTCTTCATGAAGTTTGCGTTAAAATGGAGCAAAGGATCATGGTCAATGTAGTTCCTTCTGTTTCTTTTAGTTATTGCTGCACCATAACAATGAATTTAAAGGTTGTATAGAGGATTTTCCAAGGAACGAGAAATCCAGCGACTGTTTGTCCTTTTTCAAATGTTGCGCATGCGTGAAACCACCCCCCCTCCCCTACAGCTCCCTACGTAGAAACGCCTTCTCCCGCCTCCTCTTTACGCCAGAAACAGGTTTGTTTACAGCCGGTGAGCTGCACATGACTTGTAAACAACTAACTACAGTGTTGGTTAGGCAAGGCGGAGAAGTGAGGAGCGGGGGGAGCGGGTGTGCGGACATTTCGTTCGCGGACGAGAAGTGAGGAGCAGGGAGAAGAGCGGAGCAGGGAGAGAGGAGAGAGGAGAGGGGAGCGGTGCGCGGAGATTCCGTGCCCGTAGAAGTGAGGAGAAGGGGGAAGAGCGGAACGGGCAGCGGGGACAGGAGCAGGAAAGGGGTACAGAGAAGGTTGCGCGGAGATTCAGTGCGAATGAACTAGCTACAACACGCAGCAGCAAGCGGACTCTTTCTTTGCCTTGAAAATTACGTTTTCAGACATAGGATATCGCTTTCGTGTCCTGAAAAACGTTTGACTAGCTCTTGGAAATAAAGTACGTTTTCATAATAAGCAGAAGTTACCTGTCCAGGAGTAATTTGGCGACCAATGCGTCAGTCTTTAGACCCTGCGTCTGCTTCAGTCGCGCCATCGCTGGAATGAATCTACAAGAATCACCTTAGTTTGGCTTCGCTGCTTTTCCCCTTGTCTTCTTCTTTCAGCGACCTCAAAAACGGACTTTCTTTTGCGGCTAACTGCTCCTGGATTCTTGTCTGCCATTGCAACAAACTTTGTGCTAACTGCGAGGAAGATATAGGTCAAAAAAAGCCGCTAAGAACTGTTGCGTTGGTGGAGTAAACAGCGTCTGTGCGTCTTGCGTCTGTGGACTGCGTGACAGGCGTACGTAAACCACGTACCGGCGGCGCGCAGGCAGGTCAGTTACGCTAGAAACGTAGGGAGTTTGATTGACAGCCTGTCAGCTAACAGATAACGAGGCAATGTCGTTATCTATTGGCAAATGTTTAGCTGGCCCCACCACGTCCAGAGTTGATGAATTTTTATTCTCTTTTTTTGGTCATCATAATTACAAGGCTACTGCACCTCTATAATGCTATCATTGACAACTTGAAACAAAAAAAACAAAAAAAAAATCCTCCATACAACCTTTAAGCAAAGAAACTTGTGATTTGATATACTGAGGTGGCCCACGATATTATTGAGAGACCTTTGATGGTACAATATCATGATATTTTGTTTATTGTTACATCCCTATTAATAACTAATATTTGAGGTGCGCTATAACACAAACCTTTCTGATCTGTGCTCTGACTTAGGGCTGGGTATCTTTATTTGGTTCAATATGTTACATTTCAAATCAATTTAATACGGTTCAATAAAAAATAAAGGCTAAATCATGGTTGTGATACTAAAAGTCTTTGTTAAACAACTTCTTGTGCAAAGTGAATATGAAACAAACATTTTAATCATCAAAACAGTGAAAATGTCAAATATGTTGCATAAATGAGTTTCCTTCCTCTAAACAAGCAACAAAACTGTAGCACTGTAAGAAAAGAATTTTGTAAAATACACCTAAAAATACTGTTGGTGATATATTGATACAGCAGGCCCCGATATCGATATTGTATCATCACATTAAATGATACGATATATCGATTTTTTTTGCACACCCCTACTCTGAATCCTTCTGGTCTCATTTGGATGTTATTGCTTTGTCTTGAACATTGGATTTTCCACAGTATGGCATTAAACTGTCCTGCATGTATACTATATTGCTCTTATGCAGAGGTGGGATCAGGTCGTTGTTTTTTAAGTCTCAAGTAAGTGTCAAGTCTTTGACCTCAAGTCTGAGTCAAGTCCCAAGTCGAGTCTTGAGTCACTGGCCCATAAGTCCAAGTCGACTGTTTTGAGCTTCAAGTCTTTAAACCAAAGTTCCAAATATAGCTCAGATTTTTGCAATTTATATGAAGTTTAAGCTACACTGTACTTTAAGAAGTATTTATATAAGAGTATTTATATAAGAGTTGTAGAAATGCAGATTTTTCCTTTTTAAATGTCTTGTTAAGATCTTAGTGCGACTCATTACAGTCAGAATAGAAAGTCTTCTCAAGTCACAGGGCTCAAGTCCAAGTCGAGTCCCAAGTCTTGGTCTATGTTATCAAGTCAAGTCTTAAGCCCAAAAAATGTGACTCAAGTCTGACTTGAGTCCAAGTCACAACTTGCAAGTCCCCACCTCTGCTCTTATGTACTTTGAAATGCATGTATTCTTTGGAGGCGCACCTTCAGGTCACCTCCGCAGATCTGATTTGTAACTTAGCCTGATTGCACCACTTGCTTGACTCTGTCCAGACAAAGCGATACAATCTCCATCAGAAGAGTTTTATAGTTCATGTTTAACTTGTAACTACACGTAGTTGTGGTGATTTATGAATTTTTATTTATGTTGTCATCTTTAAGGAAACCTAGTCTATATTAGTAACAAGTCTGATCAATATAGGGACTATGTAGTTAATGAATGTTCAGGTCCAGAAGCATTTAAACATCTGAGAGAAGGTTGAAATTAGAACTTTAAACTGATTAAAATTCCCATGCATTTCAGAACATCTTTGTAGAGGTCTGAACTACAGAGTTAGCAGCTTTTGCACAGAATAAGACCCCATGGAGACACAGGGAGGGCATCTGACACACATTTAAATTCCATTTTGTTCTTTTCCTCAGGGATAAGTACCGTTTCTACGCCTGCCTGCTGCGTGCTCGCTTTGATGAGAATAAAAATGAGAAGGACCTGGTGAAAGCCACGATGCTGCTGAAGGCCGGAGAGGAAGAGTTCTGGGCCAACCAGCATCCTCAGCCTTACCTGTTCCCCGACTCACCTGGAGGAACTTCCTACGAGAGATATGAGTGCTACAAGGTCAGAGCGCTGATCTGTTTAAAAATCAGATACAAAAAAGTCATGTGACACGACAGAAGTGAACCTTTCTTTTCCACATAGGCTAGTATATCCCCATAGACCACTATGGAACCTACCTGGACAACTAAGGGATTAAACACATACAAGGACACATGGGACTAGAAAAGAAAGTTCTACCATTTAATGTGGAAAATCACATTATGTTGTCTAAAGAGTGTTTTTTATTATCATCGTAGCAGAGTCCTGCCTGGGTCCATTTTTGGAGACCCACACGTTAACCTGTGATTTTATCAAAGTTAGTCTGCTGATTACGACCAGGAAATAGTTGTATTACATTGTTTCATCTGTCCAACCAAGATATCTGCTGAACCAATATCTGGAAGCTGAGCTATTCTATTTAGCAAATGTTTTCAGTATTGGTGCAAGTATCAGTGCATCCCTAATGTAAAACTGGACTGAAAAAGGACTAGACCAGGACAGATCAGGGTCTGATTTGGAGTAAACACAAAACCTTTGAATTTTTTGTTTACATTTTTTAATTGTCTGATCTTAACTTTGTACTGCTTTTTAAGTAGTATTTCATAAACCAGTAACATTACTCTGTGTGTGCGTGTGCGCGTACGCGTGTGGGTTTGCGCGTGCGTGTGTTGCAGGTACCGGAGTGGGTGCTGGAGCATTGGCACCCCTCGGAGAAAGCCATGTATCCGGATTATTTCTCCAAACGGGAGCAGTGGAAACAGCTGCGTTTGCAGAGCTGGGACAGAGAGGTGAGTGCTGCTCTAACACTCTCCTCCGATTAAACAAAGAGCTCTGATTGGTCCAAACTCCGCACTCACCTCTGATTGGACAGACTGATCAAAAAGTCGTCTCCTTGTTTTATAAGAGGTTCTAATCCTAATTTGTATCTGATAAATGTATTTTAAATTAATTAAAACTATTAGTGTTGTGGTTTGTGTGTTTTGTTAGAATTGTTCTCTTGGTGATTCTTAAATCTACTTTTACCTTGAGAAGCACATTTAGCACTGGGGTTTTATATATACTACATTTCACATACAGAATGTACCAAAATTCATCCAGTATACCATCAAAGTCACTTAACAAATCTAGGATTATTCTGAAATCCCAAAATGAAATTAGGTCCATCTCCACAAGCGAGTTGTTATTCGTTCACGTCACAACTCAGCAGTTTCATATGGACCACAGTTCAAATATGAGACATTCTTGGCCATATTCAGCATTCTGTGCTTTGTTCTGATGTTTTTGGTGACGTTGACTCCCATTGGGCACCACAGTTTCGTAAAGCGGAAGTCAACTGACTTGTCTTTTCTTTTTTTTTTAAGTTGTCTTAGGTCAATATTGTGATTTTAAAATGTGCAAATGAATCATTATGATCCACAGGTGTCATAGATTATAACTATAGTGCAGCCATAAGCACAATATGTCTGCTTTAAAAAGTACTTTGACTTTTGAATTCCAAATTTCTTACTCAGTCCTAAAATCATTTTACACTGAATGAACCACATATTGATTACAACAGACCAGCAGTGTTTCTGTGATTTCCTCCACTAAATCTGTGTGTGGACACTTTTGTTGTTTTGCAGGTAGCTCAGCTGGAGGCCGAGACTCCAGCCTCTGGACCCAGAACTGAGGCTCTTCCTCCAGCCCGAAAAGAGGGAGACCTGCCCCCCCTGTGGTGGCAGTTTGTGACCCGTCCCCGTGAGCGCCCCACATAAGCACAGCGCCCCCTGTAGATCACAACCAGCCCCAACACCTAAATATGACTCACCAACTCATTAAACCACAGTGAAGGATATAACAAACCTGTATGTGGAGATGGAGCCAGTGTTAAAAGTCACTCTCTGACTGTGGATCAATGTAAAATTGTACCTTTAAATATTTCAATAAAACTATATTATAATGACAAAAGTGGTAGATAATTGATTTATTTTGTATATTTGTAATAGCCCGATTAGCAGCCTGAGCTGTGGGAGTGTGGAGCAGAGTTGAGTTTATTAATTAATTTATTTATTTATTTATTTGAGACAGGGACAGTGCACAATTTTTGCATTTACCTTAACAGGAGAGATGCATTGTACATCAGGTTGTAGCATCAGTGCTAATTTCCACCTGTTGTCCCTGGGCAGGTTCATTGATTGATTGTATTTAACTGACCTTGACAATCAACTGTTCATGAAGACCTATGTAGCATGTTTTGGGTTTGAGTCAAGTCAAGGCGTCCAGTGCTCACCCAAAAGTGCATTTATTCATGAAAAGTATTTACTTAAAAAGCAGACAAAAGGAGGCACAGTAAGTATAGGTAACAAATGTTCTAAAGTGTTAACTTTAGCAAACTACAGATTCACTCAAATTCTTAAAACAAAAATAGAGCTCGTTATCAGTGTAGCAGTGTTAAAGGTGCACTGTGTAGCATTTTTGGTCGAGGATCCTCTGCCTGTTTGTCTCCATGGAAAGCCTTGCCTGGAATTTTCCACGTGTTCATTAAATGAATAATAATTCAGCAATAAACATCTGCAGAGCTGATCCGCCCCACCTCTTCAGAGACATTAGACTGGAACACACAGATGTTTATTGTTGAATTATTCATTTGATGAACGCAAAGCTTTTCATGTTGGGATCGACCGGGAGAGGAGGGGTCTTGTCTTTCCTCCCTCCTCAGATCAGAATGACCTGAAAAGTTCAGTGTCTCAAATCAAACTCTTTTCCAGGTGTGCTGTGGCTTTTCTCTCGCTCTTGTTTAATCAGTTCATAAAAAACATCACACTCGTTGCTCCAATGATTTGCCTTCCCAGAGTCACTGGGAGCACTTTGTCTAACCTGTCCCATGTCCTCATTATACACTTGTGCCCTTAATAATCCTGGTTTAGTCTTGATTTAGTACTGCTTCAGTCCTGCTTTAGTCTTGGTTTAATCCTGGTTTAGTTCTACCTTAAGTCTCTGTAGAGAGCGTGGTGGTCCTCGTGGGCCCAGTCGATATATCCTCAGGCTGCAGTGTCTGTGTGTGACCAGAAGGTGGAGTGCTGTGTTCACTACCACTATTACTACTACTACTACCAGCAGCCCTGTGGCGGTCTAACTAGTCTGTGGCAGCTGGACAGTGCCTTCAGCCTCGCTCCTCCGCAGATCTCATCTTGTTTCTATGGCGACCTGTGAGGTCTGAAGTCCAGAGGGCGGACCATCATAGAACTGGACTTTAGGGAGTAAAAGTCCGTGTCCGCCCATGAAAACCAGACCAGACCATCAGGACTAAGAAGGTTCTGGGCTCTGAGGGAGTACAGCCCACCCTGAGACCAGAAAGAGACCAGGGTTAGATCAGGATCATAACAAAAACCGAAAGAGACTGCCCCCATGTGATACAGACATAGTCCTGGTTCAGTAATGGTTCAGTCCTGGTTCAGTTCTGGTTCAGACCTGGTAGTAGACTCCGTTGAGGTTGGTCTGGTAGCACTGCCTGAACCACCAGCCGCTGTGGCAGACTTCAGCACAGAGGTTCCCAGAGTCCGGGGTCCCAAAGTCCTGGCCGTCGTGGTACCATGCGAACGAGTCCGAGATAGACCCGGAAAACCCAGAAACATGCAGGCGGAACCGGCTCTGCTCATCCTCGACCCTGCAGCACAGACCAGGTTTAATCTGGGTTCAGTCCTGGTTCATTTCTGGTTCGGTCCTGTTCGGTCCTGCTTTAGTCTCGCATTAGTCCTGCTTTAGTCCTGCTTCAGTCCTGGTTCAGACCTGGTTTAGTCCTGGTTTAGTCCAGATTCAGTCCTAGTTCAATCCTGATTTGGTTCTGGTTCAGTTCTGCTTTAGTCCTGCTTCAGTCCTGGTTTAGTTCTACCTGAAGTCCCTGTAGAGAGCGTGGTGGTGCACGTGGGCCCAGTCGAGCAGGTGTATCCTCAGGCTGCAGTGTCTGTGAGTGACCAGCAGGTGGAGCGCTGTGTTCCCGAGCCAGAACTCGGACCTGAGATCCCCAAACCCGACCCGGTACTGGTCCCAGCCACGATTAAAGCTGACGGAGCCATCACGCCGCCTCTGGAACACTGTCCAACCTCCCCCTGCAAGTCCCAGGTCAGACCAGGTTTAGACCAGGATTAGACTAGGTTTATACTGGCTTCAGTCCTGGTTCAGTCCTGGTTCACTATTAGTTTATTCTTAGTTCAGTCTTTGTTTAGAACAAAATTAGACCAAGTTAAATCCTGGTTCAGTACTGGTTTTATCCTAGTTCAGTCCTGGTGTAGTCCTGATTTTATCCTGGTGTAGTCCTGGTTTAGTCCTGGTTTAGTCCTGGTTTAGTCCAGGTCAATCCTGGTCTCACCGTCAGTCTCCATGTCACAGTAAACAGGAAGTGAAACGCCCGGTGCCACAGCGACGGAGTAGATCCCAGAGCGATGGACGCCGTTTTGGATCAAAGAGGCACAGTCAGAAGGACAGGAACCCAGAGGAGCAGCTGAGGACACAGACCAGCTTTAGAGATCCTGGACAGAGGAGAAGGTCAGAGAGGCAGAGGAACAGAGGAGAAGGTCAGAGGAGATCTTGACCTGGTCTTGGGGGGGTCTTGATGGTCCTAGGCTTTGGTCTTGGGTGGGACGGGGTACAGGAGGTGCTCAGGGTCTTGGTCAGGTTCTGGACTTGAGTCTGGATCTCGTGCATGAGCGCGGCGTGCACGTGAAGCAGAGTGGACACTTCAGAGTGAAGCAACTCCAGCGCCCGCAACCGACCAATCACAGACGAGTTCACAGTCACATGACCCTCCGACTGTCAGAGAGACACACGGCAAGGACTGAACCACGACTAGAACAGGTCTAAACCTGGACTAAACCTGGACTGAACCAGGACTAAACCAGGACTAAATCTGGACTAAATCTGGACTGAATCTGAACTGAACCAGGATTAAACCAGGGCTGAACCAGGACTAGAGTAGGTCTAAACCAGGAGTGAACCCGGTCTGAACCTGGTCTAATCCAGGTCAAATGGGGACTAAAGACTAAGCCTCACCTGTATCTCCAGGTTCTTAACTCTTCTCTGATGCTCTTGGATCTCCAGCTTCATCTCGTTCACTGCTTCCTGAACCTGCTCCACCCGCTGCTTCCTGTCACCTGCCTCCCTCCACCAATCGGACGCCTCGGCCTGGCAGCGGAACAGGTCGGGGCAGCGTTCTCGCGGCGATGACCCGGATCCGGCGGGCAGGGTGGCGCGGATCAGGCAGCGGCCATTAGGAGTCACCTCACTGCTGAAGTCCCCGCAGACTGAAGCGTTCTCTGAAAAGAAAGAAAGATTTGTAATAAACTGATTCCTAAACTCTGTATTTTCCTTTCATTCAAATTGTAATCAAATGTATTTTTAAATAAAGTTGTAATCAGACTTTTTGAAGGAGTAAGAGGAGCAGAGGAGAAGAGATTAATACTGTTGTTGTGTACTTGGGCAAGACACTTAAACCACCTCACTCCCAGTGTCTGTGAATAAAAACTCATTCAGAAAGCTTCAAATGCAATGAATGAATGTTTTTGCAGTAAGTAAATGTGTTTTAGTAAATTTGTTTTAGTATCAACTTTAAGACCTGCTTTAGTCTTGCTTAGTCCTGTGTTAGACCAATGGTTATTCTCACTTACAGGTCCAGGCTTAGTCTAGGTTTAGACCTGTTCCCGCTCTCTCCTTAAATTCTGGTTTTGTCCTGGTTTAGAAATGTGTAGACTAGTGCTGTCAAGAGATAAAAAAAAAATTAGAGATTAATTAATTATGATCTGTAATTAATTAATTAATCTAATTAATCTCTTTTTTTAATCTCACCTAAAAATAGCTGAGAAACGCCCTCAACTTGAGGTATTTTCATTTAAATTCATTATTACATTAATGTGGCAGATCAAAAGACTGCTATATAAAACAAAAAAAGTGACTTTATAAAGTCATTTATTGTTTAACAAACTTTAACAGATGCAGTCAGTTACATTCCACACTATCATCATTATTATTACTATTACTAATCTGCATAAATAAACTCAACTTTACAACACATAAACATAAACACCCTAGAGCCACATCAGATGTTTGACATTATCATGTGTTTAATCCAACTTTGCGCAAGTTTTACAGAAACGAAACTTAAAACTGCATGGCTCATTTGCATAAACTAAGTGGAGAAAAAAAAAGCTCTTGTGTCGCTGATGTGTTTCAGCTTCTGTTGGACTAAAGGAAACGACTCAGTGGAATATGAGTGTTCTCTTTGTGACAGAGGGGTGTTGATGCTGAAGGTGAGTCTGTCCTGTGTGTGTCGTGATGTTTTCAGAGATCAGACGTGTGCAGGTTTATCACAGATGCGGCGGGAACGGGAATGAAAATTACAATTGTTTGTGGGAGTGACTGTGTCCCAACAATACATAAAAACAGATTTTATAATAAGGCAACTCGCATACAGAAACAGTAAAGTTAGAGATTAAAAATGAGATTAACACGATTAAAAAACATAACGCGCTAAATATAACTGTAATTAATTAATCACGATTAATGCGATAATGTGACACCCCTAGTTTAGACCTGGTTTAGACCTGGTTCAGCTCTAATCTTTTTTATTTTTTCTTTTCTCTGAACTCTCATCTTGAGTTCATGGCAAAAATGACCCAGAAACCTTTCACACTCAGAGAAGCTCCGAGTAGAGTCGCTGCTCCTCCACCTCTGTTTCGGTCATGTGTCTTTAAATGCTTACCGTGTTGAGTCTGGTTCTCAGTCTGGTCTAGATCCTGGTTTTGATCCTGGTTTTGGTCCCGGTCTTGGTTCCAGTCTGCGTTGGAGACCTCCCAGTTCTCTGTGTCGGAGATGGAGCTTGGGTGGAGCACGTCCTCATTGTGGTTTAAGTCTGGTCTCTCGTCAAAAGCCAAAACCCAAATGAGTCCAGAGACCAACAAGATCCACACCAGACCAGGCCAGACCATCCTGCAGGGTTTAATACTGGTTTAGTCCTGGTTTACTCCTGACTGTCAGTTATGTCTTTGAGCTGTTTTAGTCCTGGTTTAGTCCTCGTTCTGATTCAGACCTGGTTCAGACCTGGTTCAGACCTGGTTTAGTCCTGGCTCTTTCGCTGACTGCAGCAGACTATAATTCCGAGGATTATAACTCGGGATTAGCTCAGACTCTGTGGGAAGCGGAAGTGAAACTTTTGCTCAGATAAAAGATCAGTTAATATAAAATAAAACTGTTACATTCAAATTAAACATAAAAAGTGTTAATTATTTTAAAAGGCTTCACAATATTCTGCAGAAAAAAGGCAGTTCAGCGGTTGTGTAGTGGCTCCATCTGTTGGCCAAACGTCAGAATGCATCTGTAGAATAAATACAAGGAAGCGAAAGTAAAAATTGAAAAAACCCGACGCACAGTTTCACGTTCACGTTTTGTCTCGCTGCAGAAAACGAGTTTCGACCTGAAATTTTAGACTTTTTTACGATCTTACTAAATATTTTTGAACTTTAAAAAGAAACGATGCTTCACAATTTGAGCCAACACGAAACCGGAGGATTCAACTTCGAAAACAGTCGCAGGTGAAACCCGGACTAAACCCGGACTAAACCCGGACTAAACCAGGACTAAACCAGGTCTAAACCAGAACTAAACCAGGTCTAAACCAGGTCTAAACCAGGACTGAACCAGGACTAAACCCGGACTAAACCAGGACTGAACCAGGACTAAACCCGGACTAAACCCGGATTAAACCAGGACTAAACCCGGACTGAACCAGGTCTAAACCAGGACTAAACCAAGACTAAACCAGGTCTAAACCAGGACTGAACCAGGACTGAACCAGGACTAAACCCGGACTGAACCAGGACTAAACCCGGACTGAACCAGGTCTAAACCAGGACTAAACCAAGACTAAACCAGGACTAAACCATGTCTAAACCAGGACTGAACCAGGACTAAACCAGGACTGAACCAGGACTAAACCAGGACTGAACTAGAACTAAAACAAGACCAGTACTGAGCCAGGACTACACCAGGTTTTAACCAGGACTAAAGCAGGTCTCTACCAAGGACAAGGACTTAAGCAGGGCAGAACCAGGACTAAACAGAACTAACCCAGGATTTTCTAAGGATTGCAGTAAACCTCAGACAAAATCCATACTGAACCAGTCCAGGTCTGAAACCAGAATTCAAACTTGGACATGTGGCCAGTTTAAAAGTCTGCACATGTTTAGAGTGACACCGGGGATTCAGTCATGTTTGATATTTTATATTTTGTCTTTTAGGAATGCTGTGCTCGAGTCCAGTCTGTCTCAAAACGGACTCAAAGCTCCGAACCCGAGGAAAACTGGGACCACCATCGCAGGACTAATTTACAAGGTCTGAACTCGGACTAATCCCAGACTAAACCAGGACTAAACCCAGACTAAATCAGGACTAAACCAGGAATAAATCAAGTTCAAACCAGGACTACAACAGGACAATTCTGTGAGAAAGACACTAATACACTTTACAAAATAGCAGTGATTTGGAAAGCACTTCAGAAAAGGGGGGCGGGTGGGGACTGTTTTTACAGACTGTGTTTGACATTCCATATTTTAAATGATTTATTTCTTTTATTATTTGTGCTGCTGTTGACCTGGACCTGACTGCAATGTTTCCTTTCTGTGTATTTTTATAGTGAAATGACAAATAAATTCTGAACCTGGTCTGAACACAGACTCATCAGTAGTTTCTGGCCTAAAATTTGAGCTCTTACAGAAATAATTTCACTTTCACTCAGGTGTCTTTATTCTCACAACAACCACACACTGAACCGGGTTTAAACCAGGTCTAAACCAGGTCTGAACCACAGCTAAACCAGGTCTGAGCCAGGTTTAAACCAGGTTTAAACCAGGTTTAAACCAGGTCTAAATCAAGTCTGAATCAGGTGTGAATCAGGTCTAAACCAGGTCTAAACCAGGACCAAATCAACACCAACTCAGAAGAAATCCAGATCCAGAACCAGATCGAAACCATGTCTAACTCAGGTCTTTTTGATGTTTTCAGGATGGGGTGATTCTTGGTGCAGACACTCGGGCCACAGATGACATGGTGGTCGCCGACAAGAACTGCATGAAAATCCACTACATCGCACCCAACATATAGTGAGTCCAAGACGTCATTTAGACCTAGTTTAGACCTGGTTTAGACCTGGTTTCTCTCCTCAGTTGCTGTGGGGCGGGTGTAGCAGCAGACGCTGAAATCACGACTCAGATCATGGCGTCGAACGTGGAGTTGCACATGCTGAACACCGGGAGGCCCCCTCTCGTCGCCATGGTTACACGTCAACTCAAGCAGATGCTCTTCAGGTCAGTGACACAGCGCTCACAGCCAGAGGGTCCCTGCTTCAACTTCGGGGCCTTTCTCTGTGAAGTTTGCATGTTCTCTTTGTGTCTTGGTGGGTTTTCCTCCATCAGCCCAAAACTTGTGCATTTGATACTTTGCAGCTGATCTCATCCATGTTCCTTGGAGCTGTGATGTTAATTGAAGCACTTCTCTGTCTGAAGTTGTTTTAATCAAGTTAGACTTTAAGCTGAGCTTTATTTTAGCACAATCTGACCAGAAAGAAGTGACTTATCTGAACTTCAAGTGGTGAGATGATCAGTGCTGTTAAACAAGTCTCTCAAATACAGTGTTGGGGGAGTTACTTTAAAAAAGGCATGTTTGCTCGTTACTCGTTACTTTTTCAAAAAATAATCCCTTACTTTACTTAGTTACCCTCTATGAAAAGTAACTTTTTACGTTACTTGTCACTTTTTGGTGGTAAACTTCATCTAAGGTAAATGACGGCAGGAGACCGATAGTCGACAAGAACATTAAGGGAAAGCTGAAAAGAGCTTCAGGACGTGTTAAGAGGTAAACCGGTGGGGTCCGTGCAGTCTGCGGGTGAGGGATGTCCACTTGGTGCGGGAGAATCCCCTCGGGTGTTCTTCCTCTGAGGCGGTGCGCCGTGACTGGCTCTTCATTGGCCAGGAAAGGCTGGAGGCGTTACAGCTCCTCCCACCAGGACCTCTCCACTTCCTGATGTTGTGGGTCCCGCTGCGCCGTCTCTGCCCGAGCGGGGACAGGCCCGCGTACACAGAAAAGTTATGTTATGCCGAATTGAAAAAGGAACTATGTTTCGTTACCAGATTTTCAGTAGTCGTTACTTTGTAACAGTTACACCCGACACTGTTCAAATAACATCACAGTCACAAGCATCAGCAGCAGTTTATCTGTGAGTCACTCTCACCTAAACTTCTAAGCACGATCATGAACACTTTTATCACAGGTTCCTGAAAATGTTCTCTTTAAATAGCTTTTGCATTTTTTCAGATAATCTTAAAACTTTAGACATGTGTATTGTGACACCATGGTAACTACTGAACATTCTGCCAATACAGATACATGTAGAACACCCCCAGTGTGATATCACTGTAAAGTAGGTCTAATCCTCCAGCTAAGGTAGTCCTGACCAAGACTAGACCAAGATCTGGAGATGGGTCTTACTTCTCTTTCTCCTTCTCCTCCTCGTCGTCCTCCTCTTCTCTTACGTCTCCATCTCTCTCTCTCCAGGCTCATGTGGGCTTCTCCCTCCTCCCTCTCTCCTCCTCTCCTCATCTCCTCCCTTCTTCCTCTCCTCTCCTCTCTCACCTGTCTCACCTCTCTCCTCATTCAGGTACCAGAATCACACTGGCCTTCTCATCCTCTCTCTTTTCACTCACCTCTCTCCTCCTCTCATTTGTCCTCTCTCTCTTTCAGGTACCAGGGTCATGTGGGCTCCTCTTTAATCGTTGGAGGGGTGGATGTGACTGGACCTCAGCTCTACAGCGTGTATCCTCACGGCTCGTACGACAAACTGCCCTTCCTCACCATGGGTCAGAACATACCTGTCTTCACAGATTCTCTCAAATAATTCTCTAAAGTCACTCGTCCAGTTTTATTTCATGTCATGTCCTTGTTCCTTGTGCTGCTGCAGGCTCTGGGGCTGCGGCGGCTGTGTCTGTGTTTGAGGACAGGTTCAAACCAAACATGGAGGTAATGTTTACAGACCTGATTTACCTGTGTGAAGTTGGCCCCCCATCAAAAGCAAAACTGCACACAAACTAGGTCAATCGTTTGTGCTCCATTTGTGCTGCAAAAGGTTTTGTTTGTGCTGCTTTAATTTTGGAGATATTAAAGATTCTTTTGAAGATCAAACTGGGGTCAGCAGTCCCCCAAAGCTTCAAAATGCTCTAAAACGGCCAAAATGGTGTCAATCGTTTGCTTCGTTTGTACTGTACTGCAAGAAGATATTAGCAGTTTTACAAAAGTTTTAGAACACCACACTTTTTCCAGTTTTTTAATGTTTATTGTTGACCAAAACATATTTTAAACTTTTGATTGATGTGTGTGTCCACCTTTGGCAGATAGAACACCTGAACACACTCGTGGCTTGTTCTTTTTACAACAGAAAGTTCTTCCCAAGTCTGTTGCAGAAGTTTCAAGTTCATCCAAAACCAGCTCCATGAGGTTTAAGTCTGGAGTCTGTGCTGGACACTCCAGGTTTTCAAGTTTACCATCTTTTTTCCTGAGGTAGTTTTAGCAGAGCTTGGACTTGTGTTTTGTTCTTTTATGTTTTTTTGTTTTGTTTTTTTTTACCTCTATCTGTTTTTACCTTTGTACCATTTCAAGCTCTTCATTGGACTTGCAAAACTTGAACTGAAAAAAATAACTGGAAAAATGTGAGTGTTCTAAAACTTTTGACCTGTAGTGTATTTTGGGCTGATAAAGTCATCCAGCCCCAAGTCTAAAATATGAATCTAAAGTTAATTACTAAAGACTGATAAAGACTTTTCCACAGCCTCAGATCGTTTCTCTTCACCAGTTTTGTGGAGTTTTGTTAAAGAGCGAAAATGTGTGATGTCATATAATTACCACAAAAATAATACTTCATAATTTTAGAAATATACTCGCACAAATGACAATTGTCACAGCACAAAACAGCACAAATGAAACACAAACACTTTATTTCATTTTCTGCCTGTTTTGAGGCTTTTTCAACATTTTGAGGGGCTGGATGACATCATCAGCCAAAAGCAAAACTGTTCATATCTTTAGGGCCGAGAACACTTGTGAGTGAAAACGACAAAATATTTTATGGGAAGTGCCTTTCGTTTAGATGGTGACAGCGTTTTTGGGACTTAAAAATGCAAAAATCTGAAACCACCGTTCAGAGTGGAAAAGTTGAATACGCTCCGCTGTAGTGTTTCCGTCTACACTGCCCAAGACACAACACTCTGGTCAGATGTGATCCGTGTGTCATTCGTTCATTTTTTTTCAATATAAAACCAAAAATAAGAAAACAAAAAAAAATACAGTTTTCTTCATTATTTGTCTCCAAAACCAAAAAGAAAAAACAGATAATGATTCATTTCTTCAGTTTTCGATTTTGTGTTTACATGAAGAATGGAAAAAACAGATAACGACCGTTTCCTGTTTACATGACTTCTGTCATGTCAGACTTTTGCACTGCATACGGACTGACCCAGGACTGATCCAGGTCCGGGACCACACCGGGACCACACCGGGACCAGAGCGGGACCAGAGCTGGACCAGAGGGGACTCCGAGCTTTGACTCAGAGCCTCCGCAGGGTCCAAGCCTCAGCTTCGAGCTCCGGCCCTGCCGTGGGCTCTGAGCCTCCGGTCTGGTCTCGGTCTCAGTCCCGGTCTCAGTCTCGTTCTGGTCCCGGCCTGGTCCTGGTCTGGTCTTAGTCTCAGTCCCGCTCTGGTCCCGGTCTGGTCTCAGTCTTGGTCTGGTCCCGGTCTGGTCCCAGTCTGGTCTCAGTCTTGCTCTGGTCCCGGTCTGGTCCCGCTCTGGTCCCGGACCTGGATCAGTCCTGGTTCAGTCTGTACGCGGTGCAAAAGTCCGACATCACAGTTACGGAAGTCACATAAACGGGAAACGGTCGTTATCTGTTTTTTCCATTCTTCATTTAAACTCAAAATCGAAAACTGAAAAAACAAATCATTATCTGTTTTTTCATTTTGGTTTTGGAGACAAATAATGAAGAAAACAGTTGCTTTTTCGTTTTCTTATTTTTGGTTTTATATTGAAAAACGAATGAACGAATGATACATGGATTAGATGTGCTCAGGTCACATATGTGTTTACGTCACATACATACAGTACCACCGAGTCGACCTGGCATGCACCCAGTCCAATTTCACACACTTTTGCATCACCGTATGCACGCAGATTTCCTCCTGAAAACACTCATCTAAACACGGAATAAAATGTGAAGACAGAATGTCACTTTTGCGTCTTAAGTTTCAGACTGTCATCATATAAACATAAAAACCATTATAGCACAAACAAAACTTTTTGCCGCACAAACAAAGCACAAACAACTGACATAGTTTTTGTCTAGGTGTGTGTTTGATGGGGGACCAACTTCACACAGGTACCTGGTTAGTCCTGGTTTAGTCCTGGTTTAATCTTGGTTTAGTCCAGGTTTAGACCTGGTTTAGAGCTGGGTTAGAGCTGGGTTAGAGCTGGGTTAGAGCTGGGTTAGACCTGGTTTAGACCTGGTTTAGAGCTGGGTTAGAGCTGGGTTAGAGCTGGGTTAGTGGTAGTTTAGTCTTGGGTTGGAAAACAGAGCAGGTTAATTTTCAAGTTCTTCCTCCCCTAATGATTCACCTAAAGCACTTTTCTCTAGGGATGCACCAATCTGATACTGGTATTGGATAGTGATCCAGAAAGATTTGCTGGATTGGTTTCCAGATATCGGTTCAACCTGTCATGCATATGTCCTGCTTGGACATTGATGTAATAAGACTGTTTACTGATCAGAGTCATACTGAAAGTCTCATAATGAGTTGTTCGGTGCTTACATGAGAGATAAACAACAGACACATAACACATTTAGATCAGTTTTGTTTTATATTATTTTTGTTTAAAGGAAATAAATGCTGTTTTCAGTCTCTGCTCTGGTATCGACTGATATCGGAGATTGGCAGATATTTAAAGCTATAGAATCAAACTCAGAACTGAAAATGCTGGTTTGGTGCATCCCTACTTTTCACTCTTTCAGAGGCCAGAGGGAACTTTACTGCCACTGCAGAGTTAACACTGCACTTCCTGATTCTGGGACAGTAAAGGTTTTATGATCAGATGCAGACAGGACTCAAGAGCTGCTTGTACAGTAGATCTGTACTGGGGCAAGACACATTTTACTAAATACATAGGAAAAAAATCAGTTGCAGGCTCTTTAAGTTCACTGATGCTCATTTCTTTTACAAGATGAATGATTTAGTAGAAATCTAAAGTGAGCTGTCCCTGTCCTCAGCTGGAGGAGGCGGAGCGTTTGGTACGAGACGCCATCGCCGCCGGAATCTTCTGTGACCTTGGATCAGGAAGTAACGTGGATCTGTGCATCATCACCGAGAAAGGAGTGGAGATGAAGAGAGGATACGAGATAGCGGCTACAAGAGGGGAGAGGTGAGGGAGGGCATCTGACACGATCTGACACACAGAGATACAGGGAGGAGGGGAGGGCATCTGACTCTTCTGCCCTTGTCTTTACAGAGAGGGGAATTATCGGTACAAACGTGGGACCACGGCAGTTCTCACCAAAACCATCACCCCACTGAGTCTAGAACTGGTCCAGGAGTCGATCCAAACCATGGACCAAGACTGAACCACATATTAAAACCATCTACAGGTCTACACTGCAGCTGATACATTCTACTGTCTCTGGTGATACTAAAATGAAATAAAACGTGAAACTGAAACATATTCTGAATCTTTCCTTATGGACATTAAACTGTATTTTATATATAAAAAAAGTATTAAAATGCAGGGTAGAATAGATGTAAATACAGGATTTGACTGGTGTCTGTAGAACAGAACTTTAAAACCTGTAGCTCAGGAGTTTCCAGCAGCTCTCCACCCTCTTCCAAGTAGCTCTCCAAGGGATTTCTGAATTATATTTTGTGCTGATTAACAGAGCATTGGTTAATTACATGCCTGTTAAAATTGTATCAATTTAAAGCCTTTAATACTAACAATGGACAATGGTTTATGTTTTATGTTTTGTGCTTCTACTGGGAGTTCTTCTTCTACAGGAGATGTTTGGGGGATGATATGGAAAATGGGGGGAGATAGGAGGGACTTTACTTATCCTGTTCTTGTTTATGGTGATACATTAATTCAATCCAGTGAAGGAAAAGCTGAATTTATGGCATCCACTTTGGTGAAGAGTCACAGCTCTGATCATTTGTCTGTTGAAGAGAAAAGTGTCAGAAAACAAAGTGGATGTGCTTATGTGGGAGCGCTGAAGAAGAAAGAACATGTGCAGGACACAATGAGTGTTCTATCACTGTTCAGGAGCTGGGATGAGCTCTGGCTAATCTGGAGACCAGATTTACAAAATCAAAAACTGGAACAGCCCTGGTTTGGGGTGGTTAGTAATGATAAAACTGTGAAACGATTGTGTAATTAAGGAGAATTCTTCTGCACTCCGCCCATTCATGATTAACATGTGAGACAAGTCATTTGTAAGCAGCTTTTCTGTATTTTACCTCAACAAATGACTATGTATGCCTCTCTTTAATGTTGGCAGGGATCAAATTGGTCAAAAATAGTGACACTTGGGACATTTCTTGTATAAAATTGGAACAGGGGCCACAGGGCTTAAAACTGAGACTATCCTGTAAACAGGCATGTCTGGTCACCCTAGCCATGCTCATACTCATTCTGCTCACAAATTGTTGATGGATTCATGGGAAAAGCATGAGGCCCTAAGTCAAGCTCTGGGTGGACTGCTGGAGCACTTGGAGTTTTTACCTGTCATTTAGTCCAACAGTCATTTGGCCAACTCTTCGGTTGACTAAGGAGAGATTTCGAGTCGATCACAAAGACGAATAATTTACAAAGTACGTTTAATAGTCACAGTGAAGAACAATATTCACATTATGGTAAGGTTTTCACTGATGGCTCCAAGGATCCAGATGGGGAACACACAAGCTTTGCTGTGTATGTTTCAAAATGTAACACTGAAATAAGTAAGTGTTCCTTTTTGGAGTGCCTTTACAGTGGAGCTACATGCTCTATATGAAGCTTTAGAACTAATTAGAGTAAGTAAGTAGGAAGAAGATTGTCCTTATGTGCACGGACTCAGTAACATATATATTTCTCTAGTTCTCGTGTTCCTTTTTCCTGATATTACCATCTCTTGGTATTGTGATGTCGACCACCACGGCTCTGCTCTGTTTCTTATCCACCACCACTATGTCTGGTTGGTTCATCACCATCCTGTCAGTCTGTATCTGGAAGTCCCACAGGATCTTGGCTCGGTCATTCTCCACAACCTTTGGAGGTGTTTCCCACCCTTGACCCCATCCTGGGGTCTCCAGCCTGTACTCTGCACAGATGTTTCTGTACACTATGCCCACCACTTGGTTATGTTGCTCCATGTATACTTTCCCTGCAGGATCTTACACCTGCAGTTCTGTGCTGGACTGTCTCAGGAGCCTCTTTGCACAGTCTACACTGGGGCTCTTGTCTGGTAGATCTGGGCTTCTATTTCTTGAGTGCCCAGGACCTGCTCCTGAGCAGCCAGGATCAGTGCCTCTGTGCTGTCCTTCAGACCAGCTCTCTCAAGACATTGGTAGGATTTCTTGATATCAGCCACTTCAGTTTTGTTCATGGCTTGTCCTGCCACGATGGTTCCTCCAGCTCCTCTTCCTCTGGACCCCACTGTGTGAGACATTCTCTGATCTGAGCACCTCATCTGTCGGGCCTTGTCCTTGATGTTCTCAAGGAGCTTGGATGTTTTCATTCTGGACAGTGGTATATAAAATATATATAATATATATGCCGAGGCGGAGGCCGAGTGTGGAAACCACTTACTATAATATGTTTCTCTGATTGGACAAGAGGGAGGAGAAAGACAGAGCAGAGCGTGATCAGAAGAGCCCCTCCACTAGAACAAAAGGTCAGTCCTCTGTTCACATTTATACATTTTTATGGAAATGTTCTAGAATTTGATGTAAGGCATTGCAGTGGCAAATGTTACTTGTTTCAAATGTCTAGAGTAGGGTTGTCAAAAGTATCACAGTTCAGATAATCAATAGTCATGTGAGCAGGTATTGATACTAAAAAAGTCCCATAGACAGGACAGAACCTTTCCTGAATGTCTTGAGGATGATAGTAGTATTGTAGTAGATAACAGTATACACACATGGACCAACATGAACCTACTGCACCTCTGAGATCACACACATATAAAACCACATGGGAATAGAAAATAAAGTACTCCCATTTAATGTGGAAAATCATATTGTCTAAAGAAATAGTGTTTTTATTAACATGGTATCAGAGTATTTATTTGTATTTGTATTATTATATATTATTTGTACAGCACAATTTGTTCTCAAAGTCATTCAAAGTGCTTTACAGAATAAGAAATACATTAAAATACAATACAAACAAATCAAAACATAAATAATAAAAAAATGGAAGGATAGAGGGACATTAAATGAGAAAGAAGAGGGAGAAGTGCAGAATGAAAACCTTTCAGTCAGACGCAGCTAAACAGAAATGTTTTGAGTCTGGATTTAAACAGTCACAGTTGAGTCTGTCTCACATGTTCAGACTGTTCCAGGTTTTAGCTGCATTAATCTGAAACTCTGACTACTCGTGTTTAGTCGTGACTCTGGCACCAGCAGGAGGTCGGTGCCTGAGCTCCTCAGAGTGTGAGATGGTTCATATGACACTAACATGTCACAGATGGACTTTGGTGCTCGGCCATGGAGACACTTGTACAAGCAGAGCTGCTTTAAAATCTCTGAGCCACAGGAGCCAGTGCAGAGACCTGAGCACAGGACACTTGTGTCGTACTTCCTGGTTCGAGTCAGGACCTGAGCTGCAGCTTTCTGGATGTTCTGCAGCGTCTCACAACTCGTCTGGAGAGTCTCTCCAAGTCTGATTTAGACAGTTACCTGTGATTTTTGCTATGTTTTTAGATGGTAAAAAGCTGCAGATGTTATTGACTTGATGTGGCTGTTAATTTGAAAGTTTTAGAGAGAGAGACTGGAGGTGACTGCTCACAGTCTCTTTGTTTCTGTGGGCCAACCAAAACCAGCCGATGGTTTGGGAATATCAACATTAACCACATGAACATTTGAAATATTTACACCCTTTGTAAGGAGCAGGTCCAGAGTGTGTCCTCTGTTGTGTGTGGGCTCACTGACATGCTCAGTCAGACCCAAGAGGTTTAAGGAATTCTCCTGTAATGACTAAACCCTCAAAGTCTGAAAGCATCTAATTAAAATCATCAGTAAACTTTGACAGTTTTATTGATGATTAAAACTATCATGAATAAAAGGAGGTTTGTATATGAATATTTGGTGTATGGAGGGTGATTGTTTTAGCTCCATTTTGAAGGAAACATACTCAAATAATGAGAACCCCCCCACATGACGACCTGTGTGTAACCAGATGGTCTCTACATGGACACACCTCCACCCTGTTTGTTTGCTCGTGTTTCAGATTAAAATTTAAAGTTGGGAGGGGTTGATTCTGCATTACCTGTGTTTTTGTCAAGTCATGTTTCACTTAAAAACATAAAGTCAGCATTAAAAGAAGAAATAAAATCATTAATAATTAAAAATGATTTGAAGATCCAACATTGAGCACAGTAGGTTTCAGATTAGTTTCAGTAGGACTGGACGTTATCTTTTTACTGGGATTTTGAACTAAATTTCTCTGATTAGACAGTCTAACCTAGCCTGATATTATCTTTGTCATGACTATGTTCTGGGACAGCAGAGGCCCTGTGCGTCCCTGTGAGCTCCTGGTGATAACAGCTCTGGGGGAAGGGGGGGGGGGGGCGAGCAGGAGGGAGTTTGAGTGAAGGACCAGGTGAGGGCTGAGGAGGTGGAGCTGCTCAAATAATAATAACAATTTTATCTTCTGTACTTGAGTGAAATTGGTGGTCCATACTGACATTTGCACTTTAAACTGTTGGTGGTTTAAAAGAGTAAAATGTGTTTATGCAATGTTCATATGTTGATAATAAAAATGTATTTCCGGACCTGGTTTCTGCTTCAATACAGTTTTAGTCCTGGTTTACCCCAGGTTTAGTCCTTCTTCAGTCCCGTGTGTCTCTGATGTCTGACCCTAATTAGTCCCCAGGCTCTGCTCCTCAGTCCTTAGTCTCAGTTTTCATCCAATCACATCACTTCTCACCTCACCTGTTTACTGCAGCCCCACCTGGGAGTTTCAGCCAATCACAGTCCATCGCTGCAGATTCGAGCAGAGCGTGCTCAGAAGAGCCCCTCCACTGGAACCAACGCCCACAAAAGGTCAGTCCTCTCTTCACATTTATACATTTTTATGGAAATGTTGTAGAATTTGATATAAGGCATTGCACTGGTGAATGTTACTTCATAGTTTAGCTGAATTTTGAAAGAAATCCAAATGTCTAGAGTAGGGTTGTCAAAATCAGAATTCAGATAATCAATACTCATTTCAGCAAGTATTGATACTAAAAAAGTCCCATTGACAGGACAGAGCAGAATCTTTCCTGAATGTCTTGAGGATGATGTTGAGCTGGATCAGAACAAGTGTCAGAGCACATAGACTAGTACACACACATGGACCAACATGAACCTACTGCACCACAGACCATTACACACATATAAAACCACATGAGAATAGAAAAGAAAGTACTAAAGTTTAATGTGGAAAATCACATTGTCTAAAGAAAGAGTTTTTATTAAGTGTATTTCTTAATATCAAAACCAAGGTTGATATTTTAATATCCTGAAGGCCATTTAAAGACTTGGCTCAGGTCAAAACAAGTGTGTGATCATTCACTATAGTTTACAATGTGCAATGGGCAATGCGCAATATACTCTTTATTAAATAAGTATTTTAATATTTTACTTACAGGCAATATGCAATATACTAAAGAATTTCACCTTTTAGGGCACATGCAATACATTGTAGAATAGCACTTTATAAGCCGAGTTATTTAGCAATCTCACCTTGCACTTTTTCTTTTCTTTTTTTAGGGTTGTGCAATACTATAATAATTTTAGCAATGGGCTGTGTGCAATACTTAACTAAACAGGGCAGTGTGCAATTTTGATCAAATAATCTAACATCCTTTAGTTGACCTGTGGCTGAGATTTTGTGACTGACCAGCTCTTTGTGTCTGTCTATCTGTATTATTGTATTGTGTGTCTGGGTGGATTGTTTTTACTGTGTGTATTTGTTTTATGATTACATCAACCTGTCCAGGGATAGCAGATGGAAATTAGCCTTGGACTACAATCTGATAACATATTTACATATCATGTATATATGTTCATTATTGTGTTTTGTCCCTATTTCAAATAAATAAATAAATACATAAATACATAAATGAATAAATAAATAAATAAATAAATAAATGACAACTCTAGTGGAGTGTTTAAATGTGAACGTGACTGTGCCGACAGAGAAGACTGAGAGGAGCAGTTTTGAGGGTTGTAGATCAAATTCAAGTCTACTTTCTGATCTGATTCAATGCTTAAGTTTAACCCAAGACACTAATCTAAAATAAAACTGGGACTAGAACTGAACATGGACCAACAGAGCCAGATATAAACCTAGACTAAAACAGGATTAAACTCAGGTTCAAATCAAGTCTAAACCCGGTCTATCCCTGGTCTGTCTATGTGGATCTACAGGCTTCTTGGGGCGTACACGTTCTTATTGGAGCCTGATTAAGAGAAGGATCGGAGGCTTTGGTGATTACAGGCAGAGCCCGTTAAAGATGATCTCACCGAACGCCCTCGACGACCTGCTCGACGACTGTCACCATGGAGACCAGGCAGAAGAGGCCATGACGGAGGCGGGAAGTGCACACACGGTGAGACCAGAGAACACAGAACAGTGTATATGAGGCTGAAACAATAATTGCATTTAATCCAGCCCTGCTCATAGTTTAGGGTTCAGGGTTTATGATTAAAGCTCCAACATTACACAAAAGCGACTCTTGTACCTTTAAGCCATATTAGAATGTAACCCTTTATTTTAGTCTGTCTACATCCCCAAAACTCCAAATGCTCTATTCCACCTTGTGATGTCATAAAACTGAAGTTTTCAAGTTAACAGAAACTTTTTACCTTTAGTTGAACAGAGATTGGCTGACATCATTCTGATGATTCTAGTGAAGTTGTTGAGTTTATAATGTGGAGTTCTTCTGGCATTACCACATGACATCACCTGACATCAGGTGTAAGTCGCTCTGGAGTGTAAGTCAAACCAGCCAAAAATGCATAATGAAGAAGAAAAAACATGTAAGTCACACAGGACTATAAATCACACTTTTGGGGGGAAATTTATTTTATAAAATCAGAGACCAGGAACCGACATTTCCTGTGTAAAGTCAAGTTGTAGTAAAAACAATAGAAGAGAGAACAACAGACTGTTAATGTCACATATGAACAGTTCTTCAGATAAACTATAACATAAACAACAGAACAGAACAAGTTTACCAAACTCTCCATCTCACTCCAAATCACTAAATCCATTCAATTCTTCATCCTCGGTGTCACTTCTGAACAACTCCGTGACCTCCAGAGGTAAACAGAGCGCCACTTCCTCTTCTGCGTCTCTGTACAAACCTGTTTAAACTCATATGACACATGTTTGACCCTGTGTCTCCTCTCAGACCCTGAGCGCCGTCTCTCTGCAGGAGCCAATAACATGCGCCAGCTGTGGCGGGCGTGTCCAGGATCGCTTCTTCCTATTGGCCGCTGGAAGGGTGTGGCACAGCTCCTGCCTCTGCTGCAGCGAGTGCCACTGCGAGCTCCAGACCCAACCCTCACTGTTCTGGAGAGACGGCGCCCCTTACTGCCACCTCCACTACTGCAGGTCAGAACCTGTATGTCAGATGCCCTCCCTGTGTGTGTGTCAGACGCACCACTAACACCTGGCGACACGTGCCTGTGAATCACAGGATTTTTAGACAAACTGTTGAATTTAGAAGAGAAAGTACAATGAATTTTAAAATAACTCTTTGAATCCGTAACATTTCCTCTCTGTTTGGTTTTTGCCGCATTAGTTTGTCCTTTTTGCATCATTGTCCTTGCCAGAACCTGAGGGAGAATCTCTCACACAGAAAGGGAGGGCATCTGACACAGAGAGGGAGGGCATCTGAGACACACAGGGAGGGCAACAGCAGGTCACATGTACATTTTGTTACTAATTCCATGCGTGGTGCTGATGTTTCTCCTGGTTCTTCAGGCTCTTCGGAGGAGGTCACTGTGCCCGGTGTCTGCAGCTCATCTCAGCCTCAGACCTCGTCATGAAGTCTGGAGCCCTGAACTTCCACCAGCACTGCTTCTGCTGCCAGGTCCAACACCATCCCTGCTCTAATGTGACCAATGTCCCAGAGTGGGGCTTTAACCCTGTGACCAATGTCCCAGAGTGAGGCTTTAACCCTATTTTAATGTGATAACATGTTCCATACTGGGGCTTTAACGCTCTTCTAATGTGATGACTTGTAAGTAAGTAAAGTTTATTTCTATGGTGCTTTTCACAGGCATGGGTCACAAAGTGTTTCACTTACAGAAGATAAAAACAGCAGAAGATACATTTATAATAAAATAAAATCAGTCATAGCAGCTCTAAACGCTTGTTCAAAGAGAAATGTTTTTGTTGCTGTTTAAAAGCATCTACATGATCTAGAGCGCGTAGGTGAGGAGGCAGTTCATTCTAGAGTTTAGGGGAGACGGATTGAAAGGATCTGTCTCCTCGCATTTTAAAACTTATCTGAGGGACCATGAGCAGGTTTCGGCTGGTGGAGCTCAGGTTCTGGGCAGAGGTGTGGTGTAAGCAGGAGTCTGACCGTGTAGGGCCCTAAAGGTCAGCACCAGGAACTTAAAGTGGACATGAAAAAGAACAGGGAGCCAGTGTGAGGAGTTTAAGATGGGAGTGATGTGTGCTCTCCTGCTGGTGTGGGTCAGGAGACTTGCTGCAGAGTTTTGGACCATCTGCAGTCGGGTAAGTTCCTTCTTGCTCAGGCAGGTAAACAGACTGTTACAGGAGTCTAGTGTGGAGGACACATGTGCATGGATCACCGTCTCTAACTCAGCTTTAGAAATCATCATGTGATGTTTAGATTTGTTTTGTAGTTGGAAAAAACTGTTTTTAGTGAGTTGCTTAGAGGTTCTAAATCAGGAGTGTCAAACTAATTTTGGTCTGGGGGTCGTATCCAATCTACTTTGATCCCAAAGGGGCCGGATCAGAAAACTCATGTCATATAAACCCCAAAAATAACAATAAGTTCAAATATTTGTGCAGAGAAACACAAATCTATTACAGAAATCTTTTTTAATTGATGAACTCTTTCTTTTACAAAATATTATAATATTATGAACAACTGAAACTTTAAGAAAAATACAATTTAAACACAATGTTTGAACATGAACTTGTATGCAAACAGGAATAAGTCAATTTTTCTTGTAAAATCCTGCACTTGGCTCCACTTTTCTCATGTTGGACATTTTGTTGATGAGGGTGTCACGGTCAACAGTCAAAACGATCGTCCTTTAAGAACGTTTGGAAAGAGACAAATCTTCATTTGTGCTGCTCTGGTGGGAGGGGCCACGTACAGAGACGCTGGAGACGCTGATATGATAAACACCACAGAAAATTAACAATATTTTAATAAAAAATATAATTAAAATATTTTAGTAGAAAATCAGCCGAGGGCCAGATTAAAGGTGTTGGAGGGCTGGATTTAGCCCCCGGGCCGTATGTTTGACACCTCTGCTCTAAAGACATTGCATCATTAAAAAATACTCCTAGATTTCTTAAGTTGTTTTTAGTTGAATTTCCCGGGACACCTCAGTGTTGTTTAATGTTGGGGACAACAATAAAAGTCTGGGTTTTGTCTGGGTTCAACTGAACACTCTTATCACTTAGCCACGTCTGACAGTCAGACATGTTCCACAGTGGGGCTTTAAGCCTGTTCTAATATGAGAATTGTCTCACTGTCCAGGATGAGACAAACTTGGACATGTGGAGGTGAAGGCTCTGGAGACACAGGCTCAGATGTGTTTTTTGTCTGGTTGGTTGGGACACACTGAGCACCTCTGGGTGGCGCTGTTCAGACCCTCACAGGTTTATCTGGATGGGCTCTGTGTGTTTTGTGTTGCAGGAATGCGAGGAGCCGCTGGTGCCCGGGTCTCTGTACCGTCTCCAGGGCCAAAGCCTGTTCTGTCAACCCCACTGCAGCTCCTCTCTTCCCCCATGTCCTCCAGAGCTGACCCCCTACACACAGAACCAGCACACAGGCACGGGAGGGCACCTGACACACAGAGGGCATCTGACACACGGGAGGGCATCTGACACACAGAGAGGGCATCTGACACACGGGAGGGCATCTGACACACAGAGAGGGCATCTGACACACGGGAGGGCATCTGACACACAGAGAGGGCATCTGACACACGGGAGGGCATCTGACACACAGAGAGGGCATCTGACACACACGGGGAGGGCATCTGACACACAGAGAGGGCATCTGACACACAGAGGGCATCTGACACACACGGGGAGGGCATCTGACACACAGAGAGGGCATCTGACACACAGGGAGGGCATCTGACACACAGGAGGGCATCTGACACACACGGGAGGGCATCTGACACACACGAGAGGGCATCTGACACACACGGGGAGGGCATCTGACACACAGAGAGGGCATCTGACACACAGAGGAGGGCATCTGACACACACGGGGAGGGCATCTGACACACACAGGAGGGCATCTGACACACACGGGAGGGCATCTGACACACAGAGAGGACATCTGACACACACGGGGAGGGCATCTGACACACACGGGGAGGGCATCTGACACACACGGGGAGGGCATCTGACACACAGAGAGGGCATCTGACACACACGGGGAGGGCATCTGACACACACGGGGAGGGTATCTGACACATTTTTTTTTTTTTCAGGTGAGCTCCAGACTTTGACGGAGGGGGAGGAGTCTGAGAGCAGCTCTGAGTGCCGGTTGATGGACAGTTCCACAGAGGGGCGTGTCCACAGGCGGGCTAAGCGAATCCGAACATGTTTCCGCAGCGAGCAGATCCGAGTGCTCGAGTCGTACTTCGGACAAAAACAAAACCCGGACGGAAAAGACTGGAGCGTCCTGTCACAACAGACTGGACTGAGCAAGAGGGTCCTGCAGGTGAAAAAGACCTTTATTTAGACCTGGTTTAGTCCTGGTTTAAACCTGATTTAATCTTGGTTTAAGCTTGGTTTAGACCTGGTTTAGTCTTGTTTTTGTTTTTTTTCTCCTGGTTTAGACCCTGTTCAGTCCTGATTTAGTCCTTGTTTAAACCTGATTTAGTCTTGGTTTAGATCTGGTTTAGTCCTGGTTTAGACCTGGTTTAGACCTGGTTTAGACCTGATTTAGTCCTGGTTTAGTCCTGGTTTAGACCTGGTTTAGTCCTGGTTTAGACCTGGTTTAGACCTGGTTTAGTCCTGGTTTAGACCTGGTTTAGTCCTGGTTTAGTCCTGGTTTAGACCTGGTTTAGACTTGGTTTAGTCCTGGTTTAGACCTGGTTTAGACCTGGTTTAGTCCTGGTTTAGACCAGGTTTAGATCGGGTGTAGTTCTAGGTTAGTCTGAGTGAAACTTAGAATAGACCTGGGTAAATTCTGAGATTCCTGTAGGAGACCAGGTTTAATTCTGGGTTAGTCCTGGTTTGTGCTTCTATTAAGATGTTATTACTTCGACTGGAATGTTCCACAGTACAACATTACATGACAGTACAGCTATTTTATTTATTTTCTATAAAAAAGTAAAGACAACATCCTCACATGTTATAAACTTCATAATCATTTCAGGTTTGGTTCCAGAACGCTCGGGCCAGACTGCGCCGCTCCGTGACCTCTGATGACCCCCAGGTCAGCCCCGCCCCCTCCTCTCACCTGGGGCCCGTATCCATGACGACCTGTCCCCAGGCCCCGCCCTCTCCGCCATTCACTGCCAGCACCATCGACCAATCTCAGCTCTCCATGCTCACGGCGCCCCTGAGCCCCACCCCCTGCCTGAACTACGACTCCCACGATGCACCTGGGTCTGGCCTGCAGCTGATTGGACAGTTTCACCCTAATGGACTCTTTTAAACTGTCTGATTTATCTTGCTCCTTTTGACTTTCCAAAAAAGAAAATCTGATTCAAATGACTTGAAATCTCCGTCTGTACCGAGGAGGTGTATTTAACCACTTTTAAATCAGAGCGATTTTGAAAACTGGACTTTTCAGACCTTTAACCATGAGTGATTTGTGCATGTTTGAGTGAGTGATTTGTGTATGTTTAAGTTATCTTTCCTCTCCTGTATTCAAGAAGTCATTGCTCTGTTTTCACCTTCACCAATACACACTCACTGCAACTTATACACTTCCTTCTCCAGTTAGATTTTCTTAATGGGTGATACACGCGGGACTGGGCAGAGTCACTCAGTCATTTTGGTGCAAATGTAAAAAAACTAAAAAAAAACTCTACTTTTTGCTCTAGTGTGATGTGCAGCTCTCCACAAGAGGAGCCACAGCCTGCGGCGCTTTGTTGTCGACATCAGCTCCCACTGGACTCCACAGTTTTCAATATTGTGATTTAAAATGTGAATTTGGCTCCACATCAAGCACAAATCTACATAAACATGATGTCTGTGTCTGGAAGAGTCTGTATCAGTCTTTAGTAATGTGCTTTTGATTCATATTTTAATAAGACAGACTTTTCCACAGTCTCAGGTCGTTTCTCTTCAGCACTTTTGTGGAGTTTTGTTAAAGCCGCTGCTGTCAGCCGAGCAGAAAAGATTTCCACAAAAATAATAATAATTTTAGAAATGTACTTGCACAAATGAAACAGTCACAGCACAAATGAAATACAAACGTTTCATATAATTATCTGCCTATTTTGAGGCTGTTTAACAGTTGGAGGGGCTGGATGACGTCATTTGGGCGTTTTAAAGCATTTTGAAGCTTCCTGGGCGTCTGGGAGAATTTGACCTATAAAAGAATCATTAATATCTCCAAAACTAAAGCAGCATGAACAAAACTTAGAGATCCAGAAACATCATAGAATGATCCTCGGGTTACTAAATAATTGTTTGAAAAAAAAATATATATATATGTATATAATTTTGTCTGAAATAATTGTTGAATATTTTAGATGAGCAGATCGAGGTTCAGTCCTCGCTCTCTCCACTGCACACTGCTGCGTCTTTCACGTCACCTGCACAAAGACAAGTGTCAGTTTACCATTAGACAATCTAATACATTTGTATTCATGCAAAAAGTCCAGATTATGTGAATGGATCAAACTGATTTGGATTTGTTTTAGATCAGGAGTGTCAAACATATGGCCCGGGGGCTGGATCCAACCCTCCAAGACCTTTAATCTGGCCCTCGGCTGATTTTCTACTAAAATATTTTAATGACATTTTCTATTAAAATCTTGTTAATTTTCTGTGGTGTTTTATCATATCAGTGTCTCCAGCGTCTCTGTACGTGGCCCCTCCCACCAGAGCAGCACAAATGAAGACTTGTCTCTTTCCAAACGCTCTTAAAGGACGATCGTTTTGACTGTTGACCGTGACACCCTCATCAGAAAAATGTCCAACATGAGAAAAGTGGAGCCTAGTGCAGGATTTTACAACAAAAATTGACTTATTCCTGTTTACATAGTTAATTAATGTTCGTTCATGTTAAAACACTAAGGTTGAAATAAAAATTTTTTTTTAAGTTTCAGGTTGTTCACATTATTATAATATTTTGTAAAGAAAAAGTTAATCAATTAAAAAAGATTTCTGTAATAGATTTGTGTTTCTCTGCACAAATATTTGAACTTTGGGATCAAAGTAGGTTGGATACTCCACTGGACCAAAATGAGTTTGACACCTCTAGTGCTGCTGGTCCTAAAGGTCCTGACTCTTGTGAGCTTTAAGTTATTTAATCATGTTCTTGTTGTTTCATTCACACATGTTTGAGTAACACTTTATTGTTAGTCTGTCTCCATCTCCAGAGTTCAAAATGCTCTGTTGCACCTTGTGATGTCCTGAAGCAGTAAGTAGGTAGTGGAGAACAGCTCCTTTTACCTTTTCTACAGTAGATTCCAGGGCTGAAATAATCCAAAAATCCTAAAATCATCCAGATTCTAGTGAAGGTGAAGGAGTTTAAAAACACAGTTGAGCATTTCCTGTATTACCACATGACATCACAAGGTCGAGTATTTTCTACATGAGAGAAGAACTCAGCCTAAATGTGCAGGTTTGTGTGTTAAACATGTGAATGAAACAAAACACGACTCCAGGTCTGTTTGTAATGAGGACACGACATTAGAACAGAGATCAGAAAATAGTGTAATAAAGACCCAATAAAATAATATTTTTCGTTAAGCAATTTGTATTTTTGATTAGGTTTCTCTCTTAAAATCTGAAGTCTCTTGCAGAAACTTTGGAAGTGGCTCAAATCCACACTCTTGTCTTTGTGGAACTTTGTCAACTTGTCTGTAAACATCTGTGGTTTCACTCATACCTGTGTGACTGTGGCTCCTGTGGTGCATTCCTACAAAAAAAAAAAAAAAAAAATCTAACACTGAATAAGAACGTCTTATCATGTGACTGGAGCAAACGCCATTTTGTGTGAAGTCAGGAGGCTTTAACCAATCAGATGGTTTTGCGCAGCTTGCATGTTCTCCCTTTGTCTGAACGGGTTTCCTCTAGTTTTCCCATCAACCTAAAACATACACAGTTGATATTTTGCAGTGACATCCTGCTGGGGGTGTTCTACATGTGTCTGTATGGTGGAATGTTCTGCAGGTACTAGAAACAATGCACACATGAGCAAATGCTTCCAAAAAAAGTCAGAAAACTCAAGAAAAAAAACCCAAAATGGATTTAAAGATCACATTTTCAGGAGCCTGTGGTAAACAACAAAGGTGAGAGTGACTGTAATGTTATTTGAGAGAGTTGTTTAACAGCCACGTAGTTAAAGTCAGTTCTTTCTCGTCAGCTTGTGTTAACAAAACTCACATTAAATGTTGAAGCATCAGCTGCAAAGTATCAATATTCCACAAATCTGACCTGTGAGTTTTAAGTCACTTTAGAAAGTTCTTCTCAGAAACACAGCTGCAGTTGTGTTTTGTTTCACTCACATGTTTGAGTAAAGCAGTGGAGTGGAGACTTTTTAAGTGAAGGTACATGATTCATGATGTCATCAATGTGATAAATCCTGCCCACCTCCCAGGACTAAACCAGGTCTAAACCAGGTCTAAACCAGGACTAAACCAGGACTAAACCAGGACTAAACCAGGTCTAAACCAGGTCTAAACCAGGTCTAAACCAGGACTAAACCAGGTCTAAACCAGGTCTAAACCAGGACTAAACCAGGTCTAAACCAGGTCTAAACCAGGACTAAACCAGGTCTAAACCAGGTCTAAACCAGGAACTAAACCAGGTCTAAACCAGGTCTAAACCAGGTCTAAACCAGGACTAAACCAGGTCTAAACCAGGTCTAAACCAGGAATAAACCAGGTCTAAACCAGGACTGAACCAGATCTAAACCAGAACTGAACCAGGACTAAACCAGGACTGAACCAGGACTGAACCAGAACTGAACCAGGACTAAACCAGGACTAGACAAGGTCTAAACCAGGACTAGACCAGGTCTAAACCAGTACAGAACCAAGACTAAACCAGGACTAAACCAGGTCTAAACCAGGACTAAACCAGAACTGGACCAGATCTAAACCAGGACAGAATCAGGACTAAAACAGAACTGAACCAGGACAGAGTGTCAGTATTGGTCTGGTGGTGTGCCCATGTAGACTGCTCCACAGACTCTGGGTTCTCTCTCTCTCACTCTCAAGTCCAAGATTCAGCCCGGTTCAGTCCTGGTTCAGTCCTGGTCCCTTCATGTTGCAGGTCACTATAGAACAGTACTGGAGATATCAAGGTTATAGCTATTTTAGATTTGTTCATTGCCCTCTACACCCCAGGAGTAATTCTTTATTTTAGTTAGTTAGTTGATTTTCTTCTTTGGTCAGTTAACATAATCATGAATCATGTTACAATGATTTAACACAGGAATTATGCCTGTTACTAAAATTATTCTACAGACCAAAGGGCTTTAAGCTTTTTTATTCGTCTGTCTACGTCTCCAAATTTCAAATTCAATTCCACCTTGTGATGTCACGAAGTGGTAGTGCTTAACAGCTTCTTTTACCTTTTCTTCAGTATAGATCGGCAATTCCAGGACTGAAATGATCCAAATGATTCTAGTGAAGGTGTGTGGAGTTTAAATGACATCATAAGGTGGAATGGAGTGACAAGAGCTCAGCCTAAATGTGCAGGTTTGTGTGTTAAACGTGTGTGAATGAAACAAAACACGACTCCAGGTCTGTTTGTGAAACCATCAGAAACAGATCACAAGATGGAGTAACACGGGCCCTTTAAATGCACTTCACGAACACGTTTCCACACACGTCCGCTCGGCCCCGGCCCCACGCCTCTCTCATTGATTTTTGAACGTTTTAATTGTTCAGAATCATCTTCAATAAAAATCCTGGGAGCGTGACGCGGTTGGACATTCTTCTGGCCTCCTGTCCGTCCTCCAGGAGATCCGACCTTGAGTCTGAAGAGCCGCCATGTTAACGAGCTAACAACACTTGCTACCCTCCTCAATCAGACGTTAATTAGCACAGCGCGCACCTCCTCTCGCCGCTTTGGTTTCTGAGGCCCAAGAATGAAACGACAGAAAAAAAACTGAAATTAGTGCGTCACAGAATGTTTAGACCAATGGCGGACCACAAATGCGTTTTTAAAAAGCGGAGTTCAAACCATTCGGGGTTTCAGACCAGACGCTCCAGAGCGACACAAGGTAAGGCCCCGCTTCACAATCTGCTTCACAATCTGCCTCACGAATCTGCTTTAAGGTATTGCTTTAAAATCTGCTTCACACATATGCTTTACCATCTTCTTTAGTATGCTTTACTATCTGCTTTAAGAATCTGCTTTAGGATTTACTTTAACATCTACTTTACACATCTGCTTTACAAATCTACTTTACAATCTGCTTTACCATCTGCTTTATCTGCTTTCAAATATGCTTTACAATCAGCTTTATGAATCTACTTTACAATCTGCTTTCAAATATGCTTTACAGTATGATTTAAAATCTGCTTTACAATCTGTTTCGCACTTCTGCTTTACCATCATCTTAACAATATGCTTTACCATCTGCCTTATGAATCTGCTTTACAATCTGCTTTAAAATTACTTTACAATTTGCTTTACGAATCTGCTTTACAATTTGCTTTAAAATCTACTTTACAATCTGCTTTAAAATTACTTAACAATCTGCTTTAAAATTTCTTTACAATCCACTTTACAATCTTCTTTACTATCTACTTTACAATCTTCTTTACAATCAACTTTACAATCCACTTTACAGTCTGCTTTAAAATCTATTTACAGTCTTCTTTGCAATCCGTTTTAAAATTTGCACTACAATCTGCTTTAAAATTTGCATTACAGTCTGCTTTTTAGTGCCTAGAACAGCTTTATTTTTTATTTATTATCATCTCGCAACATATGAACTCCTTAGACTTAGACAAACTTTATAGATCCACAAGGGAAATGACTTGGACACAGCAGCTCACAATATAATATAATAAAAAAGAAAAAAAAATCTAGTCAATAATAAATTCTAAATATGTAAATGTACAAATAAAAATAAAATACAAAAATATAGTAATACAAATATATCTTTATACAAGAGGTCGTAGGAAACAGTGCAAAAATGATATGATTGACAGGACATAGGGTTATCTGTTCCATAAGGGTGAGTTGTTGTACAGTTGTAGGGAGTATTATCTGTTCCATAAGGGTGAGTTGTTGTACAGTTGTAGGGAGTATTATCTGTTCCATAAGGGTGAGTTGTTGTACAGTTGTAGGGAGTATTATCTGTTCCATAAGGGTGAGTTGTTGTACAGTTGTAGGGAGTATTATCTGTTCCATAAGGGTGAGTTGTTGTACAGTTGTAGGGAGTATTATCTGTTCCATAAGGGTGAGTTGTTGTACAGTTGTAGGGAGTATTATCTGTTCCATAAGGGTGAGTTGTTGTACAGTTGTAGGGAGTATTATCTGTTCCATAAGGGTGAGTTGTTGTACAGTTGTAGGGAGTATTATCTGTTCCATAAGGGTGAGTTGTTGTACAGTTGTAGGGAATATTATCTGTTCCATAAGGGTGAGTTGTTGTACAGTTGTAGGGAGTATTATCTGTTCCATAAGGGTGAGTTGTTGTACAGTTGTAGGGAGTATTATCTGTTCCATAAGGGTGAGTTGTTGTACAGTTGTAGGGAGTATTATCTCTTCCATAAGGGTGAGTTGTTGTGCAGTTGTAGGGAGTATTATGTATTAGATAAAAGTGAGTTGTACAGTTGTAGGGAGTATTATAGTATGAATGTAGTCCAGTATCTCTCACTGTGTGAATGGAGCTGCAGGAGCCTGTTGGAGAATGAGCTTCTCTGTCCCTCTATAGTCTGGTGCAGTGGGTGAGTTTTAGTACAGTTGTAGGGAGTATTATCTGTCCATCTATAGTCTGGTGCAGTGGGTGAGTTATACAGTTGTAGGGAGTATTATCTGTCCCTCTATAGTCTGGTGCAGTGGGTGAGTTATACAGTTGTAGGGAGTATTATCTGTCCCTCTATAGTCTGGTGCAGTGGGTGAGTTTTAGTACAGTTGTAGGGAGTATTATCTGTCCATCTATAGTCTGGTGCAGTGGGTGAATTATACAGTTGTAGGGAGTATTATCTGTCCCTCTATAGTCTGATGCAGTGGGTGAGTTGTAGTACATTTGTAAGGAGTATTATCTGTCCATCTATAGTCTGGTGCAGTGGGTGAGTTGTACAGTTGTAGGGAGTATTATGTGTCTCTCTACAGACTAGTCAATCAACAACACACCCCTTTTTTTTTTTTTTAACTACTTTCTACATTTGAAATACACGCAGATAATGTGGTAAAGAAAAACAAGTAGATTAAATATTTTTGTCAAATGTAAATATAGCAATTAAATATATATATATATATATATATATATATATTTTTCTTTGCTATAATTGCTTCTTATATCTGATGTGTTCTGTGTGTATTTAAAGTGTAGAAAGTAGTAAACACAAAGACAAAAAAAACACTAAATGTGTATGTGTTCAAACTGTAATGTGGTCGTGTAGACAGAAACTTTTACAGGTGGTTCAAATTCAACCATTGCTCATGTGAAGTGTCCACACCGAAATGAAATGATTTGGTACTATTTTATTTATGTACTGTATATATTTATGAGACAGGAACAGTGCACAGTCTACATGACGCTCAACAGGAGAGATGCTTTGTACCAGGTCGTAGCACTAGAGCTCATTTCCACCTGTAGACCTGCTGCATGTTTTTTTTGTTTTGTTTAGTTTGGTTACATTTTAGTAAATTGTTGAATGCTTTAAATAAAATGGTTAATGTATAATATTTTACAAGGTCAGGAGTGTTTAGGCGTTATAAAGACATTATGGGCTTGTTCTAAAAATCCACTTTTTTGATGATTTGCAGTGCTCGTTTCTGTAATAAAATGAGTGGATTCACAGTAGAAGCGTTGGCCGACACTTCAGCACAGTGATGTGACGAGGAGCAGTGCACAGTAGAATGCACCAGGAGCATTTTCATCACTCACTGCTCTTTCACTTTGTTTATTACAACACGACCTTTTGAAAAGCTCCTAGTGTTTTTGTGCCTCGTGGACTTTCCGTGATCAGGTCTGTTATAACATCAGGTCCGTTATAACTCCCAGGATTTCACTTTCACTTACATTTTCACTTAGGACGCATCATCACAACTGGTAACTCTGAGTTCATTTTGAGATCATCGCTTTAGTGTCATTCAGGTTTAAAAGGCCTTTGTTAAACTATTTTATGTGGTTTCCTCATCACAAACAGACCTGAGCTGTGTTTTGTTTCACTCACACATGTTGAACACACAAACTCTGCACATTTAGGCTGAGTTACCAGTCAGAAAACACTCTGTTCCACCTTGTGATGTCATGTGTAAATACAGTGGAAGTGCTCCACTGTGTTTTTAAACTCCATACACCTTCACTAGAATCATCTGGATTATTTTGGCGCTGGAATTGTGAAACTCTACAGAACTAAAGGTGAAAGGAGGGAGACACTAGAGGGCAAAACACTTTTTGTTTTTTGTTTCTTGGTCAGTTTGGTCTCTTAAAATATGTGGAAACAACAGAAGAGTCCACGCTGCACTGAAAGATCTTTTAATATTTCATTTAATCAGCCTGCCTCCATGTACTTCTATGGGACAGTGTGAAGCTCCATGTGTATCAGTGTAACAATGTAATGGCTGTTTTATGAAATTCTATTTCCTCTCATAGAGACACAAAGATCAGCCCTTATGTCTCTACACAGCACCTACACACACCAGAGTGTATGTAACAGGCCTCTGACAAAATGTACACAAGCATTTTTTTTATATTTAATTCCAAGTTTGATTTATTCATGTTTTAACTCCAAAAAAATAGATGGAATTTGACTTTTTAGGCAGTTTTTCTATCGGAATCTTGTTTAGCTAAATAAGATCTCCAAAATACTCTCTGTATAGATTTTAACATCTGATATGACAGCAAAAAGAAGAAGAAATTTAAACCTGTCTCTTTTCAAGTTTCTGTTTTGAATGTGCTAAATATGGTACATTTACATCATTTTAACATATAAAACTTTTATATTTAAATGAAAACTTACTGTAAATGTAAATGTAATAGCCCACATAGTCTCGCCTAAGAGCTCACAAGTCAATTTTGCATAATATAAGACTTTTAATGACAATTTATCCATCCACTTTTTACTAAGTAAAATATGTTGGTGTCTGCAAATACATTTTAGTGACATTTAGTGATACAGTAAATATATAAAAAAAAACTTCTATCTTGAATAGTTTTGGTCCCTGGGACGACGTGTGTGATTCTCAGTTGTGATGCTTCAGTGAGAATCTACAGTGTGAACAATCATGGTTAAATTCAAATGAAAAAAGTGTTTCCAAACTTGTAGTCATGTCCTGTCTTTACTGATTGGTCAAAAGGGACATCTGGGACATGTCTTCTGTAAAACTGGGAAAAATCCCTGGTTTTACCCAGGTCAGCAGGGGCATGTGAGACGTGTGGGGTGTGTGGAACATGTGGGACGTGTGGGACATGTGGGGTGTGTGGGACATGTGGGACGTGTGGGGCATGTGGGACGTGTGGGACATGTGGGGTGTGTGGGACATGTGGGACGTGTGGGGCATGTGGGGTGTGTGGGACATGTGGGTGTGGGACATGTGGGGTGTGGGACATGTGGGGTGTGTGGGACATGTGGGACATGTGGGGTGTGTGGGACATGTGGGACGTGTGGGGTGTGGGACGTGTGGGACATGTGGGACGTGTGGGGCATGTGTGGGGCATGTGGGACATGTGGGGTGTGTGGGACGTGTGGGACATGTGGGGTGTGTGGGACATGTGGGACATGTGGGGTGTGTGGGACATGTGGGACATGTGGACACTCTACACTTGAGGACCATTTTCATTTGAGTTCCCTGATTCTTCACACTGTAAATGAACTCAGATGAGCTCAGATTTGAGTTCTTGACACTTTTATCATTTCTTTTCCCTGAGGAAAAGCTGTGAGGTGAAAACCATTTCAGGGACTTCATCACTGAGACTGAGGATCTGACAAAAGAACATATTTAGTAGAATTATTTAACATTTCTTTCTCTGCTACATAATTCCACATATTGTGCTTCATATATTTGAAATCTTTATCTAATAATAAACAATAAGAAAGATGAAGGAGGCTGTGTCCAGACTTTGGCCAGACGCTTATGTTACAAACAGAACAAAGAATAAGAAATAGAACAATATGAGAAATCTATGATAATAATATAAGAAATGGAACAATATAACCACTTCAAACTACACTGAACAATAGTCATATTCATTTTCTCCATCAGCATCATTCGAACTCAGAGTCTGTTTCATTTTTGCAGAAAATTAAAATAAATATTTTGTAGAGACTACACTTCTGTTGAGATGTGAAACAGGCTTTAGTGTTTAGTGTTTGTGTGTGTGTTTTTTGTTTTGTTTTTTGTTTTAAGTTACACTGTGTACTCCTACTTGTCTCCATGGAGATATTATTGCTTGCCTACAATATTCCACAGTATGACTCTAAACACCTGTATATAGACATAGAAGATCACCAGGACGGTTACAGATCAGCTCTGAGGAGAGGCGAGGAGGCTCACTAGTCAGAATGTGGTTTTAATAATAAACTGTATGTGATTAAAGTGAAACAGAGAAGTTTAATCTTCCTCCTTTAAACTTCTTCCTCTCTTCCTCTTCAGTAACTGTGTCCTCCTCTTTCAGATGGTGTGCTCCTCTTCTCCTCTGCTCCTCCTCCTCCTCTCTGTGGTTGTCCCCTGCGTCCCCCTGTCCTCGTGCGTTCCTCTGCCCACACACGAGCCTCCTCAGCTGGGTTTGGCTCTGCTGCACCTGCGGGCTCTTCTGGACCAGCCGCTCGCTCTGGAACTACAGACCCACCGGAGTTCAGATCAAGACCCGGGACTGGACCAAAACCAGGACCAAGACCAAGAACAGGATCTAGATCAGGATCTAGCCCAGGAGGAAGAGCTGGTGAGACACTTTTTGAAAAAAGAGCTGAGGTGTTCCTTGTTTCATCTGCATTTAGTCCTGGTTTAGACTGGGTTCGATCATGGTTTAGGCCTGGTTTAGACTGGTTTAGAATTGGTGTAGACAGTTAAATCCTGCATTAAACCTAGTTTTGTCCGGGTTTTGTCCTGGTTTAGACCTAATTTCGATTTTTTGAGACATGTGTTAGACCTGGTTTAGACCTGGTTTAGACCTTGTCTAGACCTGATTTAGATCTGGTTTAAACCTGGTTTAGACCTGATTTAAACCTTGTGTAGACCTGGTTTAGACATGGATTAGACCTGGTTTTGTCCTGGTTTAGACCTGGTTTAAACCTTATTTAGATCTGGTTTAGACCTGGTTCAGACCTGGTTTAGACCTGGTTCAGACCTGGTTTAGACCTGACTTTTGTCTTTTCCTTTGCAGACTTCCGTGGAGCCCTTTGGGAGCTGGGACACATCAGACCTGGACTCAAACCAGGCTTCCGACCAGGACTCACAACAGGACTCAGACTCAGAATCGAACCAAGTCTCAGCTCAGGTCTTGGGTCACGTCTTGGTTCCGGACTCAGCTCAGGTGTTGGGTGAGGTTCTGGGTCCGGACGGTGAGCAGGTGTTGTCCCGGTTGGGTCGTGGGGACATGCAGCGGGACCTGGAGGACGGGGGCAGACTGACCGAGGCTCTGACCGCTGTGGCCGGGGGACTCCAGGCCGTGAGCCGAGAGAAAGGAGGGTTTGGGTTCAGGTTCGGACGCAAGAGGTGGACCCCCAGAATCCCAACCAGGACCGGACTAAACCAGGACTGAACCAAGTCTAAACCAGGACTAAACTAACACTGAACTAACACTGAACCAGCACCGAACCAGGACTGAACCAGCACTAAACTAGGACTAAACCAGGATGGACTAAACCATACTGAACCAGGTCTAAACTCGTACTAAAACAGGTCTAAAGCAGGACTAAACTAGGACTGAACCAGATCTAAACCAGGATTAAACCAGGACTGAACCAGGGCTGAGGAGGGTCCAGATTGATCAAACCATCCATTACAGAATGTGTTGGCCTTGTTTAGTCCTGGTTTAGTCCTAGTTTAGTCCTCATTTAGTTTAGTTTGTAAAAAGTCTATTTATAAAGAAAACAAAACCTTAAGCCTTCAGTTCTGCCTAGTAACAGCTGATCTGTTTTCTGATAAGTTGATTTTCTCAGCCCAGAGTCATGTGTCTATCATTAGATTTAAGAGTTAAGGCTTTGTTTAGTCCAGGTTTAGTCCAGGTTTAGTTCTGGTTAGTTCTGTTTTAGCCCTGGTTTAGACCTGGTTTAGGCTCAGTTCAATCCTGGTTCAGTGCTGGTTTAGTCCTGGGTTAGACCTGGTTTAGACCAAATTTAGTCCTGGTTAACTCTGGAAAATTCAGCACTCACGTCTGCCTAGTAACAGCCGATCTGTTTTCTGATTGGTTGATTTTCTCAGCCCAAAGTTATGTGTCTTTCAAATAGATTTGAGAGTTAAGTGCTTGGTTAGATCAGGTTTAGTTCTGGTTTAATCCTGGTTTAGACCTGATTTAGTCCCGGTTCAGTTTAGTTTGAAAAAAGTCTATTTATAAAGAAAATAAAACCTTAAGACTTCAGCTGATCTGTTCTCTAATAGGTTGATTTTCTCACTCCCAGAGTCATGTGTCTATCATTAGATTTAAGGGTTTAATCCTGGTTTAGTCCTGGTTAAGACCTGGGTTAGACCTGGTTTAGACCTGGTTTAGTCCTGGGTTAGACCTGGGTTAGACTTGGTTTAGAAAAAAAATTGTTCTGGTTTACTCTAGAAACTTCAGCACTCACTTCTGCCTAGTAACAGCCGATCTGTTTTCTCTGATAGGCTGATTTTCTCAGTCTCAAAGTCATTGCATCTTTCAATAGATTTAAGAGTTTAGACCTGGTTTAGTCCTGGTTTAGACCTGGTTTAATCCTGGGTTAGACCTGGTTTAGACCACATTTAGTCCTGTTTAACTCTGGAAACTTCAGCACTCACTTCTGCCTAGTAACAGCCGATCTGTTTTCTGATTGGTTGATTTTCTCAGACCTTGTTTAGACCAGGTTTAGTCCAGGTTTAGTTCTAGTTTAGTCCTGGTTTAGATCTTGTTTATACCTTGTTTATACCTGATTAAATAACTGTTTAGACCTGGTTTAGTCCTGGTTTGAAGAGTCTATTGTCCAGAGTGATGTGTTTTTGTTTTTTTTTAACTGAATTTCCGCAGTGGAGAGATTAGTCCTGGTTTAGTTCTGGTTTAGACTTGTTTCAGTCCTGGTTTAGTCTTGTTTTGAGTAAGAACTGAACTGTGACAGATTATAAGGACTAAACAAGGATTAAAACCAGACTAAACCAGGACCAAAGCAGAATTAAACCAGGGCTAAACCAGAACTAAAGGTGCATGATGTAACTTTTCTGTTCATCACCTGCTTGTCTCCATGGAGATGTTATTGCTTTCCTTGGAATGTTCCACAGCATGGCAATAAAAGTATCTACTGTATCTCCATGGAGACAAGGCCAAGGTCAGATCTGTGGAGAGGCGAGTCCTCACAAGAATGCATGATTTTTAAGGTATTTTTCAGCAATAAAAACACATCTGTAATTGAATAAATGCAAAAAAGATTAGTTTAACATGACAAGCAAAGCAAAAACATGTCCATGGTTACGGACACTGATCAGAAAAGTTACATATTGCATCTTGAAATTACCTCAGAGTCTTAGTTGTGATGATGGTTTAAAGTCCTTCCTCCTGAAGCGCTCGTTGTTGGGGTTGAATATTGACTCCACTTTCTGAAGCGAATGTGGAAAAATGATTTGACTGGAGTGTGTTTCTCGTCACAGAGAAGACGCCGCGTGATCTGAAAGAGTGAAAACTAAAATGTGATGAAGAAAAATGTGTTTGTGACCCAGATCTGTGGAATGTACATATGTAAGTTATTATACAGAGATGTGTGTTTGTAAAATGTCAATAAAGATTTGAACCTGCAGCTGTGTCTGTGTCCTAAACCAGGACTAAACCAGGACTGAACCAGGACTAAACCGGGACTAAACTGGGACTAAACCAGGCCTAAACCAGGTCTAAACCGGGACTAAACCGGGACTAAACCGGGACTGAACCAGGACTAAACCAGGACTACACCAGGACTAAACCAGGACTAAATCAGGACTAAACTAGGACTCAACCAGGACTAAACAAGGACTGAACCAGGACTAATCCAGAACTAAACCAGGTCTAAACCAGGACTGAACCAGGATTAAACCAGGACTAAACCAGGACCAAACTAAAACTAAACCAAGACTAAACCAAGACTAAACCAGGACTAAACCAGCACTCAACCAGGACTAAACAAGGACCGAACCAGGACTAAACAAGGACCGAACAAGGACCGAACCAGGACTAAACCAGGACTAAACAAGGACTGAACCAGGACTAATCCAGGACTAAACTAGAACTAAACCAAGACTAAACCTGGACTAAACCAGGACTAAACCAGATCTAAACCAGGACTGAACCAGATCTAAACCAAGTCTAAACCAGTACTAAACCAGGACTGAACCAGGACTAAAGCAAGACTAAACTAGGTCTAAAAAGGGTCTGAACCAGGACTGAACCAAGATTAAACCAGGTCTAAAACAGAGACATTTCAGACAAAGTAATTAAATTTCCAGGGAGACAAGAAGGTGACAGAAAAGTTACATATTACTTGTATAAATTTAGAGAGTAGTTATTGGTCATGACTCGAGTATTTGCCTTGTGATTATGATAATATAACTTCTGTTCAGAGTATTCGGCCTATTTTAACATAAAACAATGAGTGTAGTCCTAGAAATGTCTCTGTTTCAAGTGTTAAACATGTGAATGAAACAAAACACTGCCCCGGGTCTGTTTGTGATGAGGAAAGGACATTAGAACAGATCAGAAAAAGCGTAATACGGGCTCTTTAAAGAATGACGCACCACGCCTCGATCTGATACGCGCTTTTGGGGAGGAACGGGAGCGCGCGTCGCCATTTGCTGAAGAACCGAGTCACAGCTGAGCCCAAACCGTCTGAACTCGGGTAAACACGAAACAAACTCGGCCTGGAGGAAACCCCGGACACCGAGCCCCGTTCGCCATGAGGGCCCTTCTTCTATGTCTCCTTTGGGGGACGTTTGTGTGCGTTTTCTCCGGTAAGTTCACCGTTTTGTCCACGTTTACGCACGGGACACGTCAAAACGAAAGTGAAAGTAAACATGTTGTGACGCACTTATTTTTTAGGCACATATCGTCGAAATTAACCGAAATGTGTGTCGTTAACGCGTCTAATGTGGTGTAGAAGTGTTACTATGGTTTCAGGTCTTAATAAAAGTACGAACATAAACTTTGAAGTGTTGTTTAGAGGTTGTATTTTGGACAGAATTCCACGCGCTATTTACGTCTTTGTTCAAAACGTGGCCCACACGTGTTTAAACGAGTTATTATTGCGCAGATGTTGTAACAAGTGACGAGGCCATGATAAAGTTGAGTTTGTGTTTAAACACGACATTAACAACAGCGCAGAGACTGTATCAAGAAGAAGAATGTCAGGCGGAGCTGACGCACGAAACTGAACTACGGCACCTTCAGAACCAGAGCGAGCCTCACTGTTGAACTGTGAAATATATTATTAAAGCCGCAGTATGTAACTTTTTAACAAAAAAATAAAAAATAAATAAATAAAATAAAATAAGTCTAAAACAAAAGTGCTTGCACCCTTAAAGGTTGTATGGAGGATTTTTTTTTGTTTCAAGTTGTCAATGATAGCATTATAGAGGTGCAGTAGCCTTGTAATTATGATGACCAAAAAAAAAGAGAATAAAAATTCATCAACTCTGGACGTGGTGGGGCTAAACATTTGCCAATAGATAACGACACTGCCTCGTTATCTGTTAGCTGACAGGCTGTCAATCAATCTCCCTACGTTTCTAGCGTAACTGACTTGCCTGCGCGCCGCCGGTACGTGGTTTACGTACGCCTGTCACGCAGTCCACAGACGCAAGACGCACAGACGCTGTTTACTCCACCAACGCAACAGTTCTTTTTTTGACCTATATCTTCCTCGCAGTTAACACAAAGTTTGTTGCAATTGCAGACAAGAATCCAGGAGCAGTTAGCCGCAAAAGAAAGTCTGTTTTTGAGGTCACTGAAAGAAGAAGACAAGGGGAAAAGCAGCGAAGCCAAACTAAGGTGATTCTTATAGATTCATTCCAGTGATGGCGCGACTGAAGCAGACGCAGGGTCTAAAGACTGACGCATTGGTCGCCAAATTACTCCTGGACAGGTCACTTCTGCTTATTATGAAAACGTACTTTATTTCCAAGAGCTAGTCAAACGTTTTTCAGGACACAAAAGCGATATCCTATGTCTGAAAACGTAATTTTCAAGGCAAAGAAAGAGTCCGCTTGCTGCTGCGTGTTGTAGGTAGTTCATTCGCACGGAATCTCCGCGCAACCTTCTCTGCACCCCTTTCCTGCTCCTGTCCCCGCTGCCCGATCCGCTCTTCCCCCTGCTCCTCACTTCTCCGGGCACGGAATCTCCGCGCACCGCTCCCCTCTCCCCTCTCCTCTCCTCTCTCCCTGCTCCGCTCTTCTCCCTGCTCCTCACTTCTCGTCTGCGAACGAAATGTCCGCGCACCCCCTCCCCCGCTCCTCACTTCTCCGCCTTGCCTAACCAACACTGTAGTTAGTTGTTTACAAGTCATGTGCAGCACCGGCTGTAAACAAACCTGTTTCTGGCGTAAAGAGGAGGCGGGAGGAGGCGTTTCTACGTAGGGAGCTGTGGGGGGGGGGTTCACGCAGGAGCAACATTTGAAAAAGGACAAACAGTCGCTGGATTTCTCGTTCCTTGGAAAATCCTCTATACAACCTTTAATATATTAACATGTGTCCGTACTGTCCATGGGCTCGCACCTCCACAGAAGTTATTTGGCCTGGAGAATGTTCCGAAGTATGGTTTTAACTTTCTGTTTCCGTGGAATCAGGCAGGTGACATCCCGCCTCAAGAAAATTACAGACTGGAGCTTTATATCAACATAAAAGATGTTTCCCTTCTTTAGTCCTGTGTCTCAGATGCCCTCCCCGGTCGGTGCACTCTCTTAGGGACTCCATGAAGACCGGGTCCTCTGCACTGCTGTTTGGCCCATGGGCAACACAACAGTGAGACCTGCCCCTGACCCAAAAGCACAGGGACCTGTGGGGCTGTATGCACTGGCCCCTCACACAACTCTGTGCTCTGGCCCCTCACAGATCCTCCTGAAAGTGGTGGGTCTGTGACTTGTTGCTCCTCTGGGCTATGCCCAGCAGCACAGTGTCGCTGTGGAGCACCCACCCCAGCCCGGGCTCCAGAGTGGGGCCCCTGTGATGGCAGTTTGGTGGTGTAACTGGCGTGGTTGCTACACTCATCATGAGGGGCTTCTGAACTGAGTGGAACATCTGCCTTTTTAATTAAGAATGACTACAGCAATCCTCTGTTAAATAAATAAATAAATAAATAACATACATACATAAATAAATAAATAAATCAATCAATCAATCAATCCTTTTGCCATATCGCCCAGCTGGTGCACACTGGCCCTTCTCTGTCAGTCTGCACCCGGGCGGCTGTGGCTACAAAAGTACCATGATTAAAATGTCCTTTCTGTTTCTGTGTCTCTACAGAACTCCACTCTCTCACCTACATCTACACCGCCCTGTCCAAAAAGGTGTCAAACCCAGGCATCCACGAGTTTACAGCCATGGGTCTCCTGGACACAAAGATGATCGATTACTTTGACTCAGACCTGCAGGAGAAGGTCCCCAAACAGACATGGATGAAGGAGAAGCTGGGGCAGGACTACTGGGACAAAGGAACCCAATCCAGAAAGAGCAAGCAGCAGTGGTTCAAAGTCAACCTGGACATCCTGAAGGAACGCATGAACCAGACCGACGAAGGTGAGTCCTGGTCCAGTCCTGGTCCAGTCCTGGTCCAGTCCTGGTCCAGTCCTGGTCCAGTCCTTGTTCAGTCTTGTTTCTGTCTCCTCAGATGTCCATGTTCTTCAGTGGATGCATGGCTGTGAGGCAGACCTGATTGATGGGAAGCTGCAGTTTCAGCGTGGGATTGATCAGTACAGTTACAATGGCAACAGCTTCTTGTACTTTGACGATGTGCATGGCATGTGGGTGGCCGCGGCGCACGAGGCGGAGCCAACCAAGAGGAAGTGGGATGAGGTGGTGGTGCTGAAGGAGTACACCAAAGGATACCTGGAGAAGGAATGTCTGGACTGGCTCAGCAAGTTCATGGACTATGGCAGAGCACAGCTCATTCATGCAAGTAAGTACAAGTACTACTACTACTACTACTACTACTACTACTATTACTGCTACTCCTTCCTGCTCTCATCATAAAACACCATGGGATCACATAAACTGACCCACAGGTTGGTGGTGCGATTCCTGCTCCCACAGATGAAAGCTGTTGTTGTGTCCTTGGGCAAGACACTTAACCCCCCTCACCTGTAGTATCTGCATACACTGCTGTGTGAGATCCTTGATGTAAAAGTGCTTTGAGTGCCTTAAAGGTGGAAAAGCGCCACATAAAAATGTGACCATTTACTATGTATCATTTACTGCTACTAGTACTAGTACTACTACTACTACTACTAGTACTACTACTACTACTACTACTACTATTAGCACTGCTACTACTACTCTGATACCACTCAGAATTAGTTGGGCAAACAGCTGCTTAAACATACTAATAACTATCACTACCGTTGTGATCAGATCTCCTCTGGTTAGAGTCTTTGCGTTTGAGGGCAGAGGCATAAACCAACGACTGATGTTGTGATTTTGGGCTTTACGAAAAGGTATTCAAGTCAAATCATCAAATAAAAATAAAATATCAGATTTTTCTCAAATCTGGCATTTGACACCTGAGACACGAACGCTCCAAAATGCTTGTCTCATGTGTAAAGTCCATGTAAGACACACTTTAGCCTCTTGCCCAGTAGTGAGCTGTAACTTTAGGCTTTATTTGGAATCAAAGCACTCCAGAACCTCCAGATGTGACAAGTGTGATCTCTCTGTAGAACCTCCAGATGTGACATGTGTGATCTCTCTGTAGAACCTCCAGATGTGACATGTGTGATCTCTCTGTAGAACCTCCAGATGTGTACGTATTTGCCAGTCCTGGGCGTCAAAAGTCCAGTGTGCGTTTGAACTGCTTGGCGACAGGCTTCTACCCCCCCGACATCGTCCTCAGGCTGATCCGGATCAATGGGATGCAGAAGATACTCGCGGAAGAGGACGGAGTCACTTCGACGGGGATACGGCCCAATCAGGACGACACGTACCAACTCCGAAAATCTATTGAAATCCTGAGGACCGATGAGGCACAGTACTCCTGCCAAGTCATGCACGCAGCCACTGGTGTGAACATCAAGAAGGAGTGGGGTAAGTGAACAGAAAGGGGTTGGATACTCCAAAAAACTGATCATAACCAGGATACTGGAGCACATGTAAACACACTGTGATTTTTATTATTAGTGAGGATTTAATCTGTTTATACCATGGTCCCACCAACTAAAAACAATTTACTTTTCACTTTTAATTATTTTAACTGTTCATAGTAGAGCCCAACCGATATATCGGCTGGCCGATATGGGAACCTGGAGACATATCGGCTATCGGCCGATATGCTTGCTGATATGGGCCGATATTTCACGTGGGCATGTTATACCTCGTTATAAAGCTTAGACTCTGTACATTATGTTAATTTAATCCAATTTACAAGCAGATAAATGTCCTAATATGTGGCTCTGCATCAGTATTTATCTGTGGTGTAATTGTCTGTGTCTGTGTCCGTACTGTCCCTGAACACACCACCAGAGTCACGTCACTTCACTCCGGTGTTTGTTTACACCCGCGGCGGTGCACAACACTGAGATTATTTTTTTTTTTACGGATAATCGGTTTGAGTGTGGATTAAAAGGACTTTTATTAGTGCAGACTTGTGATGTGAGGAGGAGCCTGTGTGAGGCTGAGTGTTGGAAATACATCGACTTTGAAGCTAGTTTTGGCTATTTGTTATTAGCGATTAGCTGCTGTAGCTCCTGCACATAAATAGGCTGTTTTCTATTGGCCTATTGTAAAGTGACTGTATTGTCCGTATATTTGCTGCTGGACCAGCATTGATATGTAAATGAGCTGTGAATAGACGTGTGAATGATCCACATTTATGCATATAATTAATTACCGCGGTGCGCACGTTTTTACGGCTAAAGGCTAATAGCGATAGTTTACTAGCTAGGAGTTATGGGTCGGTCGCGATCGAAGCGGCCCTTAGAGCCGGCTCTTTGAAGCGAACAACAGGAGCATGTTTCTTATTGGGAGCCGTGTTTTCTCTTTTTCTCACTTTTTCTCTTCAAGTCGCTTGTAGACCCGTAGTTTGACAGCAGCAGCGGCTGAAAACGAAACTTTCAGAAATCTGCGTGTGCATAGGATAAAAAAAAAAAAGTGCATATTTTTGGCTGCAGTTCAGCATAAAATGAATAAACCAGGACTAAACTTGGGCTCGAGTGAGGGAGAGACCGAGTCCTGACACTCAGTCCTGGTTCAGTTCTGGTTTAGTCCTGTTTCACACATGGTTTAAATCAGTTTTAGTCCTGGTTTAGTCCTTTTTCAGTCCTGGTTCAGTTTTGGTTTAGTCCTGTTTGCAACAAAACAATCTCAAGAGTCGCTTGGGAGCCGAAAGAGCCAGCTGCTTTAGTGAGCCGAGCCAAAAGAGCCGGTTCTCCAAAAAAAAAACATGGAATACCCATCACTAGTAGCTAGAATGTGATGCAAAAATGTCATTAGGCCAATTTACTGTCTGTTTTTTAAACACTAAATATATCGGCGATTATATCGGCTATCGGCAGCTCCAACTACCATTATATCAGTTTCATATCGGCCACAACAAAGTCCATATCGGCCGGGCTCTAGTTCATAGATGTTCAAGGTGTTAGATAATGTAATTTTAGTTGAAGTTAGTCCCTCCTAATGTCTCTGTCTCTCATTTGTTGATTTGTTTACACATTGCTATGGTGATGCACAGAGTGTAGTGATGTAGAACAGTGTTTAACTGTTGCCAGAACTACTTATGTGCTTACACAAAAATAATGCATGACAGTTAGCCTTAAGACTCATTTATGCTCTGTGTTCTAGACACATGCAGATACACATACACATGGAGGCTTCTGTTTGTCCTCAGTATAAATGTAGTGACAGTTTCTACACTTGGAATACTCTGATTTGTTTATGTATGAAAGTGGAGCAGAAATGAGCCTCTAGAATTCTCACGGCCCATGGTATCACATTATACACAGTCCATCTCTATCTATCTCAATTTTTAGAATATCATGAAGAAGTTCAATATTTTTTGTCACATATTTCAGAAAGTCAAACCCATGTATTATATTATATAGACACGTGACAGAGAGTGAAGCTTTCAAGTTTCACTGTGTCATGAATCTACTTTTTTATGATATTCTAATATAAATTGTATTTACTGATAATCTGTATTTATCACCACAAACGCGCTCTGACCTGCTTGTGTCCTGCAGACGGTAAACTCCCGGACCACTCTGATGAGGATAGAGGCTTCCCGACCGTAGCAGTGGCCACAGGGATCATTGTTCTTTTGGTTCTGATCGGTGCGATTGTGTGTGGTGTGATGTACAAGAAACACCTGGACAGTGAGTCAAACCTACATTTACTCCTGATTTACTCTAATCTATTTCACTGAGCTGAGCTAAACGGTTTTATTTTTGTTTTACAGAAAAGAAGAACTGTGCAGGTAAGTGTCTGCTCCTCTGGTTCTGCTTCTCTGATTCTTCTCCTCTTCTCCTCTGGCCCTGCTCTCTTCTGTCAGGAAGAGGGGAGGGCATCTGTCACACATGATTCTTTCTACAGAAATTTCTCTCAACTCTTCTGTTGATGGTTCAAATGGAAGTCCAGGAGATGTTTAATAAAATTTTTGGAGCTCTATGACGACCAGATTTTCTAAATCACGAACTGGGATAATAATAAAATAGTGCAAAGAGCGTGTAACTGAGACTATTATTATGCTCTTGGTTCTTTCACGACATGTTCACACCTCTTTGTGAGATTATCTGAGAGACTTCCGTCAATGCAGCTGAGGACTTTTTTTTCCCCATTTTGGTCATTTTCAAGCACGGTTTTCTACATTTTCCCCATACAGATGATTATTTCTGTCTTTACTGTGGTTGGGGATCTGACTGGTCAGAAATATACACTTGGGACAAATCCCTGGTTTTGTATAAATGTGCTGGGACAGGGGACACGGTTCTCAAAACTGGGGCTGTCCTGGGTCCTGGTCACTGTATATTTGACCCAGTATCAACTCATGTGTCTTTTGGTTCTTTGTTTCTGCAGGAGACTACACCCTGGCTTCAAAGGACTGTCCCATATGTAAGTTTAATAAATCTAGATCGTAGAGACTGTAGTGTTTCCCATTGAGAAAGGAGAAATTGTAACTATACTGATCAAAAAGAACTGCTTAAAGAGGGACTATTATACAAAAATGATTTTTGGAGCGTTCTATCATTTTATTGGTGGTTTTCAGATTCTAGTGTGATGATGTCATACACTCAAACGGGGGGCAAGAGCCAAACTTCCCATTGATCACATTGTATTTTACCTTAAAATGTCCAAAAAGTAAATTCACAAATGTTGAACCTGATATTTTCATTATTGACTAAACCCTCAAACTCACCGTGTTACAACATAATTTTGCATTTTAACAATATTCGTTTTAGCTAGACACCATCTGTCTTCATTAATATTGTCCTATAGAAGCTGTGATGTCGTCTGAAACCCACCAAGAACATCATCCAAAACATGCCTGCAGAGGTTTTTAATGTTTGAGTAATCTAGTGATCTCTCCCAGACCACATTCTAATAGTCAGCAGTACGAGACTCCACCCACAAGCCAACATCACCCATGCTCCCACACGACAGTTCTCCAAACATATACAAAAACATGACACAAAACTGTACAGAACACTTTGACAAACCTGATGTGATTTGCAGGAGTTTCATCAAGTGGGACATCACTGTATTGTGAGTAGCGCTCTGAAGGGGGAGTGACTTATTGTGGAGAGCAAAGGAAGGGGGAACACCTTCAGAAATGAAAGTCAAACTTAAAACATGTAAATATGTTGTTTTGGACAAATGTAGCATGTGTAGAAGTGTCATACTAGTCAGTTCATTTCTCTCCAGCGATTAGGTCACGAATCAAAATACACTAAACGGTTCGCAAAAACCCCGGAAGTGCAAGTTCAGGCACCAGACAATCAGTGAAGAGCCATATATTTTGTGTTGTCAACGATTCCCGAGATCAAGGATTTAAAGCTGGAATAAAGAGAATGTTTGGTGAATTTCATCAAAGGGAAAGACGTTATTGTTCTTCCTACGGGATTTGGGAAAAGCTTAATATACCAGTTAACCACGTTAGCGGCGCATTACATACGTCATGACCAAATAGCAGTGATTGGTTAAATGATAAAAAGTACCCGCCTACTGTCGAGCGAACGAATCCTAACACTGCGAGGTCAGACGGTTTGTACAAAGTGAAACAAAGTGTAATACCCCATCTTTAAAAACTACATAAGGGAAGTAAGTAACAAACTGTGTAATACAGAACCTGTAAGGCCTACCATGGTTCCAGATGTAAATTTCCCATAATTCTTCCCTATAGATTTGTGTGACCTATAGATATTTTTCACAACGTCTCCAAAGTCTGAGCTGAACCAACAGGAAACACTGCTCTGGACCCTGTGTCAGCCGAATGTGCATTTGACACATTCATATATCTGTCTAGTACTGGCTTTGGTGGATTGTACCTGTGCTAAATATTCCTGACATAGTAGATATTGTGTAATTTAGACATGTTTTAGCCCTTGTTTACATGTGGTTGCTAGGCGATAGTAATTACTTTTAGTTATGTCTGCTGCCGGTGTCCAACCAGGGAGTAACATCACAGTAACAAAGTGGAAACGGCGAGGCAATATTTTTAATCAAATCTAAATGTAAACTATGTTTTAGAGAAATTACTGACCTGACCTGTCATATGCAAAGTGACTGAAATAATTTTTTTATTTCACTCTTTTTTGTTGTAGATTCCAATGGCAACGGACATGAATAGAGCTGACTCTGTTCTGTTCTTACTGTAGCTGTGATGTAGATGACCACTGGGACCCGTGCGTCTGCCTTAACAGTCAGAACATGTGAAAAGTAGGGATGGGACAAGATACAATTTCCACAATATGAGACGAGACGTGAGATTGGAACTGGAGAACGAGACAAGACAAGATTTTGACATAAATAAATTATGCTATCCAGTTCCCAATTTTAGCCTCACCATATTTGATTTACTTCATTTAATATTCTTGCTGTCATTACAGCAGTGCTTATTGGGGCTACAGGTTCTCAAAAAATGTAAGTCACCAGTACCTAACTCCATCCAATCCGAACATAAAAACATGGGGGAAAAGTCTCAGATCATTTTCAGCATGTGTGCTCAGGCTTGTGGCAGTTTTGTCTCTTGAGAGCTTGTCCCATCCCTAGTGGAAAGTGAAGGAGAAGGTTCCATTTCTGTTGGTTTTAAAACATTATTTATAGGTGGATTTCAGTTTTGCTCATGCTGTGCATTTCTCAGTATTTCTCAGTATTTTTATTTTTAATGTGATCAAAAGCCGCACACACCGCCTACACCAGCTTACTATACTTTCACTTCACAACACCACCACAGAGCACCAGACACATGCATACATTTATTTTATTTAGATTTGATTTATTTAAGAAAAGGAACAGTTAATATTAAATGATCATTTTGACAAATGTGAATGTGGCAGATTATAGTCCTGGGCTCATTTCCGTCTGCAGATCTCTGCAGGCTGCTGTTACAAAAAACACAACATAAACACACAACATTTACACAGGCTGGGGGGTTATTCTATCAAAGTGTCCAGGCTTATTCTGAAAAGAGAGACAGATGTAATAAAGGAGCATACAGCCAGAATCTGTCTGTGCCTCTCACAACAACCACACGTGCAAGATCATTTTAATGAAAGAATGGCCAAAGGCTTTTATATTATTTGTGTGTTTTTGATGAGTGCAGCGTCCACACACACGTGTGTCCGTGTGACGGAGCATACGGCTGGAACAGTCTCAGGTGACATGTGACTGTAGAAGTCCCTTAAACTGTATCAGAGACAGGTGTTAAAACACAGGTGTATGCTCCAGCGTCAACCAGACGAGCTTCTGCACAACTGACCAGGTGCATCAAGGGAGTCCAAACCATTTCATTTGCATTTATTATTTTTATTGCTTTACTGCAGCAGTCAACAGTCATATTAGGTCAAAGTGCCAGCACAGGAAGCTTTCTGATTGGCTGTCAAGTGTGTCACAGGGCTTTCTGATTGGGTGTGCAGCACATCAGCCTGCACACCTTCTCCAGACAGTTCTGAGCATGAAGAGACTCATACTGAGTTTCTTCATACTGAGTGAGGGAACATGTCCGTTTTTCCTCTTGTATCCTCTTTACACAGAGGTCCGTTTTCTTCAGGAGATTTTGTGTCTAACCTTAAATTCAGATGTGTGCCCTCCTTGGCCGGAGCGGGTGAGGTCTGTCAGAGTATTACAGATGAAGATCTGCTAGTGTGAGCTCCTCATTACTGATTAGAGAAAAACTCAAAAACTCTCTCAAAAACTAACATTTCTACATGTCCCAACAAAGCAGGCTAAACATTTGTGTGATTTGAAGTTCACCTTGTACACTTTAGTTCAGTGTTTAGACTTGTTTTGCTTGAAGTTCTTTTTGGGTTGAAGTTACATTTTGTTTTGAAGTGATGTATAAGCTCAGCTTTATTGCTTTACTTTACTTTGGTCAAATATTTCATCCCCGGTCGTCCTTGGAAGGGGTTTAGCCCATATCCTTTAGTTTGCACTACGGATGCACCCATCTGATACCGATACCAATTCTGATAGTATTGGATATGTGTGCAGATTCTGAAAAATGAGCTTTATCTAATAAATCTTACAAATATACCAATATGCTGATGTCATATGACTTGATGTATTAACAACAATTTACTGGTCATAAACTGCTGAGTGATGATAATAGCTCCATAACACATGTGGATTAGTTTTAATAAATGCTGTTTTCACTGTCTGGTATTGGCAGATTCTTAAAGCTGTAGTATCAGAATCGGTATCTGAACTGAAAAAGTGAGATGGGTGCATTCTTAGTTTGCACTATAGGTGTTTAAGTTCCCTGTCTGCTTTGTTTTGGGTGGGCTACCCCCTCTCAGTTTTCATAGAATGCTTTTATAATATTTTATAATTGTACTAAATTTATAATTGTTTTAAAGTTTTACTTGCTCTTTTGTTGTTTAATAAATTTTATTATATATTTTCAAGTCTCACCTCTGTGTTATTTTTTACAAACTTCTTTGTGTATCCGAGGCATTTTAACAAATAATCTGTTTTGAACATTTTAACTGTATGTGAAAATGTGTATTAACTTGGCTCACATGTCTGTGGTTGTGCTGCTCATAGTTTTGCCTCAGTTCGAATGTTCAGGGGCTTTAAAAAACAAATACAATATCAGTACAAAACCTCCATTTTCACAAAGTATAAACTCATTTCTAAATTTAGGGACAAAGAATTATTATACTTGGACTTTCATAGCACTTTTCAAAAATACCTAAAGTGATTTTACTTGAGTACAGTATTTTAACCAGGACTGAACCAGGACTAAACCAGAACAGAACTAAGACTAAACCAGGACTTAACCAGTTTCACACAGCGGTTGGACCAGGACTGAGGAGGATCCAATTTGGTCAGTCCTGGTTTAGTTCTGGTTTAGACCTAGTTCAGACCTGGTTTAATCCTGCTTTAGTCCTGTTTTAGTTTAGTTCGGAAAAAGTGTATTTATAAAGAAAACAAAACCTTCAGCCTTCACTTCTGCCTAGTAACAGCAGATTTGTTTACTGATTGGTTGATTTTTGGAGTATAGACTGCATATGTAAATTGACATGGCTTAAAATGTTTGTATTAACTCGCTCTACATGGGTTTTTATTTTGCTATTTTATCCGTAAATTAATTCCTTTTCCTAATATGGAAATCAGCTCCAAATTCGCCCCCAGAACTGCTGACCCCGTGAGCTCGTGAGTCGAACGCTGTGGGTGACGTCACGCTCCCTCAGAACACTTTTCATGCAGTCTGTGGTTCAACGACAGATTTAAGAGTTAAGTTCTGCTTTAGTCCTAAACCAGGACTTGGTTTGGACCTGGTTTACACCTGGTTTAGTCCTGGTTTAGACCTGGTTTAGGCCGGGTCCAGACTGTTTTGTCACAGTGGTGCAGAGTCCTGATCTGCCTAGTAACAGCCAATTTGTTTCCTGATTGGTTGTTTTTTTTTCAACCCAGAGTCATGTGATTTTACTGAATTCAAGCACAGGAGAGTTTAGTCTTGGTTTAGACCTAGTTTAGTCCAGGTTTAGTCCTGGTTTAGTCCCAGTTTAGTTCAGTACTGGTTTAGTCCTAGTTTAAACCTAGGAGCTTTTGGATTTTTTTTTTTTTTTTTAATGGCATAGAAACACAGAACCAGTACTGAACCAGGAGTGAGCCCAGACTGATCCAGGATATAAGTGTTTGGGTGTCTTGAAAAAAGCAATTTAAATGCATTGATTAATTAATTAATTAAATCAAGACTAAACCAGGATTAAACAGGGATTAACACCAGACACTAAATCGAGACTAAACTATGACTACACCAGGACTGAACCAGGACTGACACTGGACTGACACTGGACACTGGACATCCTGAAGAACCCCTAACACCCACCGCACAAGCACCATCACCGGACAGGAGAGCACCTTTAGGGACAGGCTCTTGTCCCTGTCCTGCCCCACGGACGCAACTCTGGAAGTCATTTGTCCCACACGTCACACGGCTCTACAACATATCTACAAATGATGAATTACTGCTGGATTATTATTATTATTATTATTATTATTATTATTATTATTATTATTATTATTATTATTATTATTATTATATCCTCTCTTTCACATAGTCTCTAGTCCAGGGGTCTCCAACCTGGAGCTCGGGAGCTCCCAGTGTTTCTCCACCCTGTTCCAAACAGCTCACCAAGGGATGTATGAATTATATGTATTGTGCTGAAAAACAAGAACAATTATTTAAGTAAATGTTTATTACCATTGTATAATTTTGATGTCTATCTTTGCGCACTAATACACTGATAATAGTTCAGGTTAACAGCTAAGGCTCTTTTATTTACTCCGTTTCTTTCGACCTCTGAAATGAGCAGCTCTGTGGCATTTTGGTTTTGTAAAAGTTGCTCACAGAGGGAAACAGTTGGAGACCCCTGCTCTTGTCCTTTTCCCCTCTTCACCTTCACTTGTCTCTCTGCTTCTCTCTATCTGTCTCTTTTATCTAAAGCTAAATTAAAAAGGGTCTAGGAGCTTTTAGATATATATATATATATATATATATATTATTTGTATCGACAGAGAAACTTGCTGGACGGGTTTACAATGTTACAACACAGAAATAATTTGATAAATTTAAAGAATGAGGACACAGATCTGCGCCACGCCTCGATCAGACACCCCTGCGCCCTTTGCACAGGTACGGGAGCGCGCATCACCATTTCCTCAAAAGAAACGGAGAGAGCGACGTCTAAGCGAGTCACAGCCGAGCCAAACCGCTCCAAACCCGGGAAAACACGGGACAAACTCGGTCTGGAGGAATCCCCGGACACCGAGCCCCGTTCGCCATGAGGGCCCTGCTTTTGTGTCTCCTTTGGGGGACGTTTGTGTGCGTTTTCTCCGGTAAGTTCACCGTTTTGTCCAAGTTTACGCACGGGACACGTCAAAACGATATCGAAAGTTTAAGTTGCTGTTATGACGCACTTGTTTTTTTATACATTTATCGTCGAAATGTGTGTCTTTAACGTGTCTAATGTGGTGTAGAAGTGTTAATATGATTTCAGTTCTTGATAAAACTATGAACATAAACTTTGGTGGAGTTGAGAGGCTGTATTTTGGACAGAATTCCACGCGCTATTTACTTCTTTGTTCAAAAGTGAAAATCAATTCTCAAAGGCACACAAGTCTTTAAACGAGTTATTATTGTGCTAAAATGACATGTTTTATGTTACTGTTAACCTGCTGGCAGATCATTTTACACTGACTTTATAATCACAATATTTCGGACCTAAACCAGTGAGAAGAGTTTGAAAAATCAATCTATCCAATAACCTGTTTATTTGGCCAATAGATTCAAAATGATTAGTTTTAACCAAATAACTAAAATAAACTTTAAGTAGCCTTTGGTACTTGTATTTTAACGGGAAGTTTTTGGTCAACCAAAGACTTCCCAACCAGGAAGTAGCAAACTGAAAAACAGGCCTCAGTTATTATTCAAGTTTTTTTTTCTTTATGTATATATTTATTTCATTTTTGTCATTTAGGTTGTGTTTATTGTACTGAAAAATATATATTAACATGTTTTTACCGTGAGTGGACTCGCGTCTCCACAAACCTGACTCTTATTTGGCCTGAAGAAAGTTCCTAAGTATGTTTTTTTTACTTTTTATTTACCATGGAATTACGCAGGTGATGTGCCGCCTCCAGAAAGTTACACACTGGAGCTTTAAATCAGGCAGAATTATACAAGATCAGATGCCCTCCCATTATCCTGGCTGTATCCCTGTGTGTCAGATGCCCTCCCATCCTCCTGTGTCCCTGTAGTGTTAGACAGATGTGGGAGCAGGTCACATGTCTCTGGCTCAGGGGTCTCCATCCTTTTTCCTCCGGTTGAGCTCCTTTACCAAACGAAAACACCAGAGATTTTAGCGCTCACAAGAAATGGAGTAAATATAAGAGCCAGATAGAAACAGTTTGGCCTATAAAACATACACCATTATCCATTTATTAGTGCAGAAAGTAAAAAAAAATATACGTTTACAATTTTACGATTTACAATTCTGTTCATCAAATTTTATTCAGAACAAAACTTATAATTCAGAAATTCTTTGGCTAGTTACTTGGAAGAGGTGGAGAGCTACTGGTGACTCCCGAGCTACAGGCTGGAAACCCCTGATCTAACTCATCTGCAGATGTTGTGGTGCGTCAGATGCCCTCCCAAATGTTGAAGAGAGACAGTAGTTGAACTGAGGAGTGACTTACACAACACGGTTCTGTAATAAATCTGATCTAATAATTCCAATCTGGAACGGTGGACTTTGTGTCTTGCTGATTGTAACCACCATAAACAGGTTAAAGATTACATTTGAAGACATCATCATCAGACAAGATTTTTGATTTTGACTTCAACTTATACTTATTTAAACACACATTTTTATCCTGTGCCAAATACTATAGAGCAGCAGCAGTTGTACTTCTAAATACAATATTACTTATTAGTAGTAGTAGTTTCTTTTCTTCAGTCAGTGAACATAATCATGCATCATATAACAATGATTTAACAAAAAACATATTATGCAGTTAATGCAGATCAATAAGGTTATTCTGTAGACCCAAGAGGTTTAGGCTGAAGTTTAACACTTGTTTTGCCAAACCCTATTAATTATATTATATTATAAATTATAGAACAGGATTCAAGACGGTAGAACTATTTACAGAAAAAAAAAATATATATATATATATATATTTTTAAATCCTGTTTTATGAGAGCAGGAAAGGAAATGTTCTAAATCTTTTAGTATACACATACACAATACAGAACACAATCCACTATACGTCAGTGTTCACACACACACACACACACACACACACACACACACACACACACACACACACACACACACACACACACACACACACACACTGACCCTGTACATGTTAACATTTATAGCTATTAGTTTATAATATACACTTAAATATATATTTGGGGGTTACAGTTAATCTGTAGGTTTGATGGGCTAAAATATGATTTATTGTATTTCTCTATAATTTTAGTCTTATATATTTTACTTTGTTATTGTTTGTTTGTTACTTTCTGGCAGTTGAATTCGTGTGGACAAGCATCCAATCAAATGACAGTAAAGTTCATTATTGTGTCTCCTGGTGGCAGAGTGGTTAGCCCTCCTGTCCCACAGTGAGCAGGTTGTGTGTGCGCTAGTTTAAGCCCAAAGTTTATTTTTGAATCTGTTTTGTGACTAGAGAAAGTTCAGAATGACAGAAAAATGTCATCTTAATTCTAACTGTCCAAAGTGTTCAAATTGTGTGTATGAAACAAAAAGCTAAATTGTTTTTGAAGTCTGCGTCTGCTTTAACCAGGAAAGTACCAGTGCGTGAACTGCTCAAACCGGTCGGACAACATATGTCAGATGGTTTTCAACTGACTCCATTTTGTTCATATCACAAACAGATGACATTTTAAGAGTCTTCACTTCCTTCAGTTTTTATAGAGTCAAGATCATAAACTATGGACGCTGCGTTCCAAAGACAAAGTGAACATGGTGGTGCTTCTCGGTCTGTCGACTGACTCTAGTTGGCTTATGTTGAAAAAGGTCGCCCTCTCTCTGTACAGTCCCTGACAAAAGTCTTGTCACTTATCCATTTTGTAGAAACAAAATCTTATAACCTGACTTTAAATTAATCGATTGGTTTTAGAAATGTCTCATATGAAAGCTAAAACCCTCCCAAATTATGCTCAATATACTAAAATAAATTTGCTTCACTGAAGAAAGATTGATCATTTAATGAACACAGAAAGGTCAGATTTTGGCAAGACAAAAGTTTTTTCGCCTACAGAAAATTGAACAAGTAATTTACTTTAAATACAAAAATATGTTGCATAATGTCAGTGAATTAAGTAGTGGTGCTGTGAGATCCATATTTAATATCTTGTATGACGTCCATGAGCTTGAAGGACGCATCCATGCGGTTCCACAATGATTCATACAATTTGTTGATGAAGTCATCAGGAATAACAAAGAAAGCGTCTTACATGCCTCCCAGAGTTCATCAAGATTCTTTGGTTTTGCCTTCCATGCTTCCTCTTTCATTCTACCCCAGACATGCTCAATGATGTTCATGTCTGGTGACTGGGCTGGTCAGTCCTGGAGCACCTTGATCTTCTTCACCTTGAGAAACTTTGATGTAGAGATAGAAGTATGCGATGGAGCACCATCCTGCTGCAAAATTTGACCCCTTTTATGGTTGGGAATGTAAGAGGAGCTAATACTTCTTGATATTTTAGGCTATTGATATTTGCCTTCCACCCTGCAAATGTCTCACACCCCCCCATACTGGATGTAATCCCAGACCAGGATTTTTCCGCCACCAAACTTAACTGTTTTCTGGGTCAATCTTGGATCCATGTGGCTCCAGTAGGTCTCCTGCAATATTTGCGGTGGCTGTGATGTAATTCAACCGAGGATTCATCTGAGAAATCCACCTTCTGCCACTTTTCCAGTGTCCATCCTTTTAGCAGGCTGTGGGCCTTGGCAAATGCCACACGGTTTTTTAATCGCCTTTTGTTTAGTGCTGGTTTCTGTGCACTGATTCGACCATGGAGGCCATTTTGAGACAGAATTCTACAAACTGTTGTGGTTGACACAGGGACTTGAGGTGACCAGGCCTGGTGGAGTCTGCTGCAGTGGAAAAGGGGCTGGCCTTGGATTTTTGAATCAACAAACGGTCCTCCCGAGCAGTTGTCTTGCGGGGTCTGCCGGACCTGGGCTTGTCAAAAACATCTCCAGTCATTTCAGATCTTTTTCTTATTCTTTGTACTTGACGCTGAGACACATTGAAGGTGTCACCACCTCAGCAGTGGATCCGGTCTTCAGCCTCTTGATAATTAAAGCTTTGGTCTCAGTGTGGATCTTAGGCGTGTTGTCAGAGGTCAAGTTGCAGTTGATGTGAAGGTCTGGTGTGCTGGGCTTCTTTTTATACACAAACACTAACTGATTGATCAGTAACTGATCACAGGTGAGGCTGTAATCTAGGATTGGGTGCATCATATGACAAGGTGACAAGACTTGTGTCTTGCCAAAATCTGACCTTTCTGTGTTCATTGAAGCTAATTTATTTTAGTATATTGAGCATAATTTGGGAGGGTTTTAGCTTTCATATGAGACATTTCTAAAACCAATCGATTAATTTAAAGTCAGGTTATAAGATTTTGTTTCTACAAAATGGATAAGCGACAAGACTTTTGTCAGGGACTGTACCTGCTGCAATGAGCCTCGTTATTTTGGTCTTAAAATGTTCATATTAACCCGCTCTAAATGAACATGGTGTTTTTATTTAGCTATTTATCTTATTCCTAATATGAAGAAATCCTGCAAGAAATGATAATGTTGAATATTTCTTTATGACACAGACATAAAGCAAGATAATCCCAGTGAATTTGTTGAAAAAAAAAAGCCTGATCTGCAAATAGGTGAATTAATCAATAATTGACCATAAAAGTGATTAATTCTACTCTCTACACCTCAGATCTCACCAGAGTACAGGAAAATGGCTAAAATCTCCCCACTATTGCAAAGAAATTATACTCACGAGAAATATTGAACCTCAAAATATATTGTTTCAGTTAATATATATCAAAAGTCAGTACTGTAATTATTGTGAGAAGCCTTTTTATGCAGGATTAAACTGTGTGAATGTGCCACGTGGACAAGTCTTTGGTGAAGATCAGAGTTTCTGTTTACTTCACATCTACTACGATAAAAAGAAGTATTTATGACATAAAATGAACAATATCTTTTTCCAGATTAGTTCACAGGAGTTTCTTTTTCTGTGTCTCTACAGAACGCCACTCTCTCACCTACATCTACACCGCCCTGTCCAAAAAGGTGTCAAACCCAGGCATCCACGAGTTCACAGCCATGGGTCTCCTGGACACAAAGATGATCGATTACTTTGACTCAGACCTGCAGGAGAAGGTCCCCAAACAGACATGGATGAAGGAGAAGCTGGGGCAGGACTACTGGGACAAAGGAACCCAATCCAGAAAGAGCAAGCAGCAGTGGTTCAAAGTCAACCTGGACATCCTGAAGGAACGGATGAACCAGACCGACGAAGGTGAGTCCTGGTCCAGTCCTGGTCCAGTCCTGGTCCAGTCCTGGTCCAGTCCTGGTCCAGTCCTGGTCCAGTCCTGGTCCAGTCCTTGTTCAGTCTTGTTTCTGTCTCCTCAGATGTCCATGTTCTTCAGTGGATGCATGGCTGTGAGGCAGACCTGATTGATGGGAAGCTGCAGTTTCAGCGTGGGATTGATCAGTACAGTTACAATGGCAACAGCTTCTTGTACTTTGACGATGTGCATGGCATGTGGGTGGCAGCGGCGCATGAGGCGGAGCCAACCAAGAGGAAGTGGGATGAGGTGGTGGTGCTGAAGGAGTACACCAAAGGATACCTGGAGAAGGAATGTCTGGACTGGCTCAGCAAGTTCATGGACTATGGCAAAGCACAGCTCATTCATGCAAGTAAGTACAAGTACTACTACTACTACTACTACTACTACTACTACTATTACTGCTACTCCTTCCTGCTCTCATCATAAAACATCATGGGATCACATAAACTGACCCACAGGTTGGTGGTGCGATTCCTGCTCCCACAGATGAAAGCTGTTGTTGTGTCCTTGGGCAAGACACTTAACCCCCCTCACCTGTAGTATCTGCATACACTGCTGTGTGAGATCCTTGATGTAAAAGTGCTTTGAGTGCCTTAAAGGTGGAAAAGCGCCACATAAAAATGTGACCATTTACTATGTATCATTTACTGCTACTAGTACTAGTACTACTACTACTACTACTACTAGTACTACTACTACTACTACTACTATTAGCACTGCTACTACTACTCTGATACCACTCAGAATTAGTTGGGCAAACAGCTGCTTAAACATACTAATAACTATCACTACCGTTGTGATCAGATCTCCTCTGGTTAGAGTCTTTGCGTTTGAGGGCAGAGGCATAAACCAACGACTGATGTTGTGATTTTGGGCTTTACGAAAAGGTATTCAAGTCAAATCATCAAATAAAAATAAAATATCAGATTTTCTCAAATCTGGCATTTGACACCTGAGACACGAACGCTCCAAAATGCTTGTCTCATGTGTAAAGTCCATGTAAGACACACTTTAGCCTCTTGCCCAGTAGTGAGCTGTAACTTTAGGCTTTATTTGGAATCAAAGCACTCCAGAACCTCCAGATGTGACAAGTGTGATCTCTCTGTAGAACCTCCAGATGTGACATGTGTGACCTCTCTGTAGAACCTCCAGATGTGACATGTGTGACCTCTCTGTAGAACCTCCAGATGTGACATGTGTGACCTCTCTGTAGAACCTCCAGATGTGACATGTGTGACCTCTCTGTAGAACCTCCAGATGTGACATGTGTGATCTCTCTGTAGAACCTCCAGATGTGACATGTGTGATCTCTCTGTAGAACCTCCAGATGTGACATGTGTGATCTCTCTGTAGAACCTCCAGATGTGACATGTGTGATCTCTCTGTAGAACCTCCAGATGTGACATGTGTGATCTCTCTGTAGAACCTCCAGATGTGTACGTATTTGCCAGTCCTGGGCGTCAAAAGTCCAGTGTGCGTTTGAACTGCTTGGCGACAGGCTTCTACCCCCCCGACATCGTCCTCAGGCTGATCCGGATCAATGGGATGCAGAAGATACTCGCGGAAGAGGACGGAGTCACTTCGACGGGGATACGGCCCAATCAGGACGACACGTACCAACTCCGAAAATCTATTGAAATCCTGAGGACCGATGAGGCACAGTACTCCTGCCAAGTCATGCACGCAGCCACTGGTGTGAACATCAAGAAGGAGTGGGGTAAGTGAACAGAAAGGGGTTGGATACTCCAAAAACTGATCATAACCAGGATACTGGAGCACATGTAAACACACTGTGTTTTTATTATTAGTGAGGATTTAATCTGTTTATACCATGGTCCCACCAACTAAAAACAATTTACTTTTCACTTTTAATTATTTTAACTGTTCATAGTAGAGCCCAACCGATATGTCGGCTGATATGGGCCGATATTTCACGTGGGCATGTTATACCTCGTTATAAAGCTTAGACTCTGTACATTATGTTAATTTAATCCAATTTATAAGCAGATAAATGTCCTAATATGTGGCTCCGCATCAGTATTTATCTGTGGTGTAATTGTCTGTGTCTGTGTCCATACTGTCCCTGAACACACCACCAGAGTCACGTCACTTCACTCGGGTGTTTGTTTACACCCGCGGCGGTGCACAACACTGAGATTTTTTTTTTTTTTTACGGACAATCGGTTTGAGTGTGGATTAAAAGGACTTTTATTAGTGCAGACTTGTGATGTGAGGAGGAGCCTGTGTGAGCGGTGAGTGTTGGAAATATGTCAACTTTGAAGCTAGTTTTGGCTATTTGTTATTAGCGATTAGCTGCTGTAGCTCCTGCACATAAATAGGCTGTTTTCTATTGGTCTATTGTAAAGTGAATATATTGGCTGTATATTTGCTACTGGACCAGCATTGATATGTAAATAAACTGTGAATAGACGTGTGAATGATCCACATTTATGCATATAATGAATTACCGCGGTGCGCACGTTTTTACGGCTAAAGGCTAATAGCGATAGTTTACTAGCTAGGAGTTATGGGTCGGTCGCGATCGAAGCGGCCCTTAGAGCCGGCTCTTTGAAGCGAACAACAGGAGCATGTTTCTTATTGGGAGCCGTGTTTTTTCTCTTTTTCTCACTTTTTCTCTTCAAGTCGCTTGTAGACCCGTAGTTTGACAGCAGCAGCGGCTGAAAACGAAACTTTCAGAAATCTGCGTGTGCATAGGATAAAAAAAAAAAAGTGCATATTTGGCTGCAGTTCAGCATAAAATGAATAAACCAGGACTAATCTTGGGCTCGAGTGAGGGAGAGACCGAGTCCTGACACTCAGTCCTGGTTCAGTTCTGGTTTAGTCCTGTTTCACACATGGTTTAAATCAGTTTTAGTCCTGGTTTAGTCCTTTTTCAGTCCTGGTTCAGTTTTGGTTTAGTCCTGTTTGCAACAAAACAATCTCAAGAGTCGCTTGGGAGCCGAAAGAGCCAGCTGCTTTAGTGAGCCGAGCCAAAAGAGCCGGTTCTCCAAAAAAAAAAAAAGGAATACCCATCACTAGTAGCTAGAATGTGATGCAAAAATGTCATTAGGCCAATTTACTGTCTGTAAATATGACATAAGAGTCAGAATAACAATAAATGTTGCCTAAATAAACCCAGTTTAGAATCCACTAGAGCCAAACCTATGTTTTTTAAACAATTCAAGATTTACAGTGAATTTTTACATCACTAAATATATCGGCGATTATATCGGCTATCGGCAGCTCCAACTACCATTATATCGGTTTCATATCGGCCACAACAAAGTCCATATCGGCCGGGCTCTAGTTCATAGATGTTCAAGGTGTTAGATAATATAATTTTAGTTGAAGTTAATCCCTCCTAATGTCTCTGTCTCTCATTTGTTGATTTGTTTACACATTGCTATGGTGATGCACAGAGTGTAGTGATGTAGAACAGTGTTTAACTGTTGCCAGAACTACTTATGTGCTTACACAAAAATAATGCATGACAGTTAGCCTTAAGACTCATTTATGCTCTGTGTTCTAGACACATGCAGATACACATACACATGGAGGCTTCTGTTTGTCCTCAGTATAAATGTAGTGACAGTTTCTACACTTGGAATACTTTATGTTTTTGTTTATGTATGAAAGTGGAGCAGAAATGAGCCTCTAGAATTCTCACGGCCCATGGTATCACATTATACACCGTCCATCTCTATCTATCTCAATTTTTAGAATATCATGAAGAAGTTCAATATTTTTTGTCACATATTTCAGAAAGTCAAACCCATGTATTATATTATATAGACACGTGACACAGAGTGAAGCTTTCAAGTTTCACTGTGTCATGAATCTACTTTTTTATGATATTCTAATAATTGTATAAATTGTATTTACTGATAATCTGTATTTATCACCACAAACGCGCTCTGACCTGCCTGTGTCTTGCAGACCGTAACTTCCCACCCCACCCTGATGATGAGGAGGGAGGCTTCCCAACTGGACCAGTGATCGGAGGGATCATTGGACTTTTGGTTCTGATCGTGGGTGGGATTGTGGGTGGTGTGAAGTACAAGAAACACCTGGACAGTGAGTCAAACCTAAATTTACTTCTGATTTATTTCAATCTATTTCACTGAACTGAGCTAAACTGTTTTGTTTTTGTGTCTGCTCCTCTGACTCTTCTCTTGTCTGCTCTTTTGGCTCTACTAATGTCTGCTCCTGTCTGATAAATGGGAGGGCATCTGACTCGGGGGAATAACCCATGATTCTTTCTGCAGGAACTCGCTCTGAAAACCGATCCTCAAACCCCATGATTGTTTCTGCAGGACTTCCCTCTCAGCTGGAAAACGAGACACTTCTGAACTCAACTGCTATTGGTAAATTCACTGAACAAATTGATCATATCAACACATGCAAGTGTGTGTTGTGAGCTGGAGAAGTGAACTATGAATTAAATCTGGATTTATTTCATATAAGTTGCAGTTTCCTACTTTTCTGCATAATCTTAGTTTTTGCACAAACTCCCGTGCAGGTGTAGTCTTGTGGGTGCAGTTTGGGTCAGATACATTCATTAAATATCTTAAAGAGTGTTATGATATGGTTATTTTGGAGATTTCTACCATTTTGTGACATTGTTCTCTCAGCACTTACCTTTTTTACTCAACTTATCCAACCATTTGACCTTGTGATTTTCTCCTGCATAAGGTTTGGACGGCAGGTCTGAGGACGTAAGGAAAGACTCAGACTCAGACAAGGACTCCAACGACTCTGCCAGAGGTGAGTCATTTCAAATTTCATTCCATTTCATTTCATATAAATACAGTTTCCTACTTTTCTGCGTAATCTTAGTTTTTGCACAAACTCCCGTGCAGGTGTAGTCTTGTGGGTGCAGTTTGGGTCAGATACATTCATTAAATATCTTAAAGAGTGTTATGATATGGTTATTTTGGAGATTTCTACCATTTTGTGACGCTGTTCTCTCATCAGAAACATGCCTTAAGAGGTTTTAGTTGTCAAGCTTTTTTTATTGTTTTTAACACTCACCCCTTTTTACTCGACTTATCCAACCATTTGATCTTGTGATTTTCTCCTACAGGAGGTTCGGCCGGCAGTTCTGAGGACTTAAACAAAGACTCAGACTCAAACAGAAGCGGCAGCGACTCTGCCAGAGGTGAGTCATTTCAGATTTCATTCCATTTCATATAAGTTGCAGTTTCCTACTTTTCTGCGTAATCTTAGTTTTTGCACAAACTCCCGTGCAGGTGTAGTCTTGTGGGTGCAGTTTGGGTCAGATACATTCATTAAATATCTTAAAGAGTGTTATGATATGGTTATTTTGGAGATTTCTACCATTTTGTGACATTGTTCTCTCATCAGCACTTACCTTTTTTTACTCAACTTATCCAACCATTTGACCTTGTGATTTTCTCTTGCAGGAGGTTCGGACGGCAGTTCTGAGGACGTAAAGAAAGACTCAGCCTCAAACAGAAGCGGCAGCGGCAGCGACTCTGCCAGAGGTGAGTCATTTCAAATTTCATTCCATTTCATATAAGTTGCAGTTTCCTACTTTTCTGCGTAATCTTAGTTTTTGCACAAACTCCCGTGCAGGTGTAGTCTTGTGGGTGCAGTTTGGGTCAGATACATTCATTAAATATCTTAAAGAGTGTTATGATATGGTTATTTTGGAGATTTCTACCATTTTGTGACATTGTTCTCTCAGCACTTACCTTTTTTACTCAACTTATCCAACCATTTGACCTTGTGATTTTCTCCTGCATAAGGTTTGGACGGCAGTTCTGAGGACGTAAAGAAAGATTCAGACTCAGACAACGACTCCAACGACTCTGCCAGAGGTGAGTCATTTCAAATTTAATTCCATTTCATATAAATACAGTTTCCTACTTTTCTGCGTAATCTTAGTTTTTGCACAAACTCCCGTGCAGGTGTAGTCTTGTGGGTGCAGTTTGGGTCCGATACATTCATTAAATATCTTAAAGAGTGTTATGATATGGTTATTTTGGAGATTTCTACCATTTTGTGACATTGTTCTCTCAGCACTTACCTTTTTTACTCAATTTATCCAACCATTTGACCTTGTGATTTTCTCCTGCAGGAGGTTCGGACGGCAGTTCTGAGGACGTAAAGAAAGACTCAGCCTCAAACAGAAGCGGCAGCGGCAGCGACTCTGCCAGAGGTGAGTCATTTCAAATTTCATTCCATTTCATATAAGTTGCAGTTTCCTACTTTTCTGCGTAATCTTAGTTTTTGCACAAACTCCCGTGCAGGTGTAGTCTTGTGGGTGCAGTTTGGGTCAGATACATTCATTAAATATCTTAAAGAGTGTTATGATATGGTTATTTTGGAGATTTCTACCATTTTGTGACATTGTTCTCTCAGCACTTACCTTTTTTACTCAATTTATCCAACCATTTGACCTTGTGATTTTCTCCTGCATAAGGTTTGGACGGCAGTTCTGAGGACGTAAAGAAAGATTCAGACTCAGACAACGACTCCAACGACTCTGCCAGAGGTGAGTCATTTCAAATTTAATTCCATTTCATATAAATACAGTTTCCTACTTTTCTGCATAATCTTAGTTTTTGCACAAACTCCCGTGCAGGTGTAGTCTTGTGGGTGCAGTTTGGGTCAGATACATTCATTAAATATCTTAAAGAGTGTTATGATATGGTTATTTTGGAGATTTCTACCATTTTGTGACATTGTTCTCTCAGCACTTACCTTTTTTACTCAATTTATCCAACCATTTGACCTTGTGATTTTCTCCTGCAGGAGGTTCGGACGGCAGTTCTGAGGACGTAAAGAAAGACTCAGCCTCAACAGAAGCGACAGCGACTCTGCCAGAGGTGAGTCATTTCAAATTTCATTCCATTTCATATAAATACAGTTTCCTACTTTTCTGCATAATCTTAGTTTTTGCACAAACTCCCGTGCAGGCGTAGTCTTGTGGGTGCAGTTTGGGTCAGATACATTCATTAAATATCTTAAAGAGTGTTATGATATGGTTATTTTGGAGATTGGAGAAAAAAAAGGCAAAAAAAAAAAAAACACTGCAAAAAAAAATAAAAAAAGGTTTTAATGTCTGCTCCTGTCTGATAAATGGGAGGGCATCTGACTCGGGGGAATAACCCATGATTCTTTCTGCAGGAACTCGCTCTGAAAACCGATCCTCAAACCCCATGATTCTTTCTGCAGGAACTCGCTCTGAAAACCGATCCTCAAACCCCATGATTCTTTCTGCAGGAACTCGCTCTGAAAACCGATCCTCAAACCGCATGATTGTTTCTGCAGGACTTCCCTCTCAGCTGGAAAAAGAGACACTTCTGAACTCAACTGCTATTGGTAAATTCACTGAACAAATTGATCATATCAACACATGCAAGTGTGTGTTGTGAGCTGGAGAAGTGAACTATGAATTAAATCTGGATTTATTTCATATAAGTTGCAGTTTCCTACTTTTCTGCATAATCTTAGTTTTTGCACAAACTCCCGTGCAGGTGTAGTCTTGTGGGTGCAGTTTGGGTCAGATACATTCATTAAATATCTTAAAGAGTGTTATGATATGGTTATTTTGGAGATTTCTACCATTTTTTGACATTGGTCCCTCACTTACCTTTTTTACTCGACTTATACAACCATTTGACCTTGTGATTTTCTCCTGCAGGAGGTTCGGCCAGCAGTTCTACGGACGTAAACAATGACTCAGCCTCAAACAGAAGCGGCAGCGACTCTGCCAGAGGTGAGACACTCATTACACAAATCACACAAAACATGTTTAATACAGTTGATACTTTGCAATGGCATCATGCTGTACTATAGCAGAATGTTTGACTGTTACCATGGTGACACAATGCACACATTAGCACTGTGTCACCATTGCAAAAAAAAAAGGTTTTAAGATCTGCAGGTCTGAAAACTCAAGAAAAAAAGCAAAATGATTTAAACTTTTTTTTTGATGGATGTCACAGCAGTATGAATGAGTTTGTAGCAGCAGTTTACAGCCAATAAGAGGCCGTCCACATGACAACGTTTTTTGGTCAAAACAGAGTAATTTGTATTAGTTTTGGCCTTTCGTCCACATGGAGCCGGCGTTTTGGGTGGCTGAAAACAGAGTTTTTTGAGAACGGGTTCCAGAGTGGAGAAATGTGAGAACACCGGCATCACATTGTCGTGTGGACAAGCAAACCACAGCCTTTGGAAAACGATGATGTCGCCAGGGTCCTCCGATGCAACGAAGGCTGCAGCCCTTACACTCGCCTCCACACACCGCAAGAGCTTTGCCAAAATGGGACAGGTGTAGCCTACAGAGCCGCTCCCATCACCCAGCAACCAAGCACACTGCTAGCGCCAATACTAACAACACACACCACAGAATACACACAGATCAATAACAAAGACTACGGTTACACTGAAATGAATCCGCACATCACCCTATCAGGAACGATCTGTGTCCAGACACGTCGTTTCTGTGTCCGCAAGCCTTCCCTATCCACACAGCTTTGTGCATATTTGTTTACGGTTTACAGAAATGAAACTTAAAACCACATGGCTTATGGCTAAATTACCTTAAAGTTTAAAAAATGGTGATGAGATCTGCATTATTAAATATTATTATGATTGTTAACAGCACCACATAGAGGTGTGTCTGATGTATTACATCGTTTTCAACCTGCAAAGAAAAAAATCCAGGAGCGTTGTTGTGTGGACGTAGCCTAAATGTCACTTTACTGTATCGAGATGGAAACTTTCATTCCCTCGTTTCCGGCCAACTCAGCTTTGAACATAACTTTATTTGTAGGAGGATTTCAGTTTTGCTCGCCTCTCTGTATCAGATAAATTAAAGCTGTGGGATCTTTACAAAAGCCACAGTCCTCATGGTGTATTTAGCCACAGAAACAAAAGGAAAAAAAAAAAAAAAAAAAACAAAAACAAACACTGCATATAGAGGAAGAGAGTGCGTGCATATTCACATCGCTATGTCTGTTTGCTTGAAGCTGATCAGCTGATGAACCCTCACATGGCTCAGTATTGTGTGTTTGGGGTGAATGACGTGTGGTGTATATGAACAAGACTGACCCAAAAGTGAAGGAAACAGAACTAAATGTAGTGTGCACTGGGGTCGGTCCAGAGTGCACTAACACGTCTACAGAGTCTGCAGCTTTAAGTTGACAATATGAAATGATTAGAACATTTGTGTTTCTTGCAGTACTCTTTCAGATATGTTTATTATATTTAGTTTGTTTCAATGTCGATGAACCAATTAGCCTTGACTTCTTTAGAATAACGCTAAAATTTGCTCTCTGCTTGCAGGTTCCAATGGCTCCAGTTCTGAGGATGTGACTGTGACTATGCCTCTGATGAACAATTAAATTAAAAATCAACTTGGATTTGGAATTACAAGTATCTTTTATAAGACTTAAGAGACCAATAAAAATACAGCTCCAAAAAAAATGAATTTAAGATTATTTTAGCTTTGACTTATTGACACTTTGCAGTCACATCATGCTGGGGCGTACATGTATTTCTATGGTGTGATGTTCAGCAGTTACCATAGAGACACAATGCACACATCAGCAAACACTGCCTGATAAGTTTTAAGATTGTCTAAAAAAATACAGATATATATATATATATATAAAGATTAGATTCAAATCTAACAGAGCTTCAGACAGAGCAGTGCCTACAGTTAGCATCACACCCCCAGAGATTGTTCATGACGTCAGCTGCAAAGTATCAACTCTAACCAGTCTAACCATTTTTTCATATTTGACAGA